CGCTACTATCCTCGGAACAGCCCGATACTTCTTTGTATTCTCAGCCAGCATTCGAGCCTCCAGGAACTTCTTCAATAACTTGACATTCGCGGTCCTCAGAGCGCCGCTGCGATGGTTAGATACGGTTCCGCTTGGTCGTATTCTCAACCGATTTACGTCCGACTTCCACTTGATTGATTCGCGGATCGGGTACGATCTAGCATTTTTCATTGGCTCAATGCTAGAGGTTTGCGGTGTTCTGGTCGCCGGTGTCCTTGTCTCACCACTTGTGATCGTCTTTGCTGCAATTCTGCTAATATTCTGCCTCAAACTCTCTCTAGCCTATCTCGCCGGCGCTCGGGAGATCAAGCGCCTGGAAAGCACTGCCAAAAGCCCAGTCTTTGAACAATTTGGATCAAGCTTAGCTGGTCTGATCACCATTCGAGCTTTTAGCAAAAGCGATACCTTCATTGATGTCATCTACGACAAGATCAATGATCACGCTCAGGCCTGGTGGGTGATGTGGCTGTTCAACCGCTGGCTTGGTATCCGCATGAATATTGTCGGTGCTATCTTCTCAACAATGACTGCGGCACTTGTGGTCTTCCTTCCTGGCATTTCGGCACCTCTCGCAGGGTTCGCGCTCAGCTTTGCCTTGCAATGTAACACGGCCATCGCTTTTGCCCTACGACACTATGTCAACATCGAACTTAACATGAATGCCACGGAGCGTGTGATGGAATACTCCAATATCGAGCTTGAGAACCAGGGCGGTGCTGATGCACCCGCTGCTTGGCCAACAGAGGGACGCTTGGAGGTCAGTGATCTCGTCGTCGGCTATGCTCCAGATCTCCCTCCCATCCTCAAAGGCCTCAGCTTTACTGTTGAGAAGAACCAGCGAGTTGGTGTAGTTGGTCGGACTGGCGCAGGAAAATCATCTTTAACGCTGGCATTGTTCCGATTCCTGGAAGCTCGCGAGGGCCAGATTCTCATCGATGGACTGGATGTTTCAAAGATCAAGCTGCACGATCTTCGGAGCCGACTTGCCATTATCCCGCAGGATCCAGTACTCTTCTCGGGTACTGTAAGGACAAACTTGGATCCATTCGATGAATATGATGATGGCGAGCTGTACGACGCACTTGCTCGCGTGCATCTCATTGCTTCATCTGACGATGAAGCTACTTTGACCTCTCAGGCTGCTTCACCGCGTCAACCAAGTGGGACTGGCTCGACGACACCGGACACTGCCACCGGCCAGCAAAGCAATGCGAACATCTTCACATCCCTCGCAGCGCCCATCTCCGAAGGAGGCCTCAACCTCTCTCAAGGTCAACGACAGCTTCTCTGTTTGGCGCGTGCTATTGTTGCTCGACCCAAGCTTATGGTTCTGGATGAGGCCACCTCGGCCGTGGACATGGAGACAGATGCGCTGATCCAGCAGTCAATTCGGGCTGAGTTTGGCCGCAATGCCACAACTCTGCTTGTCATCGCTCACCGACTGAGTACAATCGCCGACTTTGATCGTATCTTGGTGATGGATGCCGGCAAAGCAGTCGAATTTGGACCTCCGAAGGAGCTGATGGGGATTGAGAATGGTGTGTTTAAGAATCTGGTGGACCACAGCGGCGAGAAGGCTGTGCTGGAGAAAATGATTTTTGCGTAAAAAAATTGTTTATTATTATTATTATTCGAGATGCGAAGAATTTGTATAGATTGCCAGATTGTGAATATCAATAAAGATAGTACACCATGACAGTCTTGTACAAAATATCCCCGAACTATCCAAGGTAGGGGTCCTCCATAGATACTAGGTCTCTCTGATATACCGTCGAGGTCAAAGATTCGAGAAAGGTACATGTCACCGAGGGATTCCAATCAACAAGATGCTATCTGAAAAAATGAACCGAGAATGCACTCGTCTTCATTTCAGATGGCATGGCGAAGACATTGAGGGAAACCTCTCCAAGACCCACTCCTCGATCCCAAATCCCCATTCCCCATTTCCCATTTCCAATTCTCCATTCCTATAACACCGGCCAAGTTTGTAAAAAGGGTCAGAGATGCATGTAGCGTCCGTAAATTAACAAGGTGGTGTGCCGAACGCCTTTATCACCCTCCCACCTCTCGAATCAAGAAGCCCTTAAGCCCTCCGAAGAGGGAGAGCCGCCCGTTTCAGAGAGGAGAGATCGATCATATGGAACACACTAAGCTTTCATCATCTGAAGAACAGTTAGTCTGCGATTCACTGATGCAGAATGTAGAATAGGAGAAATGTAGGACTCACGAGTATAAAACTTGGAAGGATGAAGAAGAAAAGAAAAAAAAAGCGGAAGGCGGGCGCGTTTTATGCGGACCGCGCTAGGCTACTTTGGGCCTCCCCGATCTTTTGTTGCGGCCGCATCGGACAATCATTTGTCTTGTCTTGTCTTGTCTCTACTTTCTCTCCAACTTCAAGAATGATCCTCAGTGCAGGAGTGCGACTTCGCTCGAGCTTCTTGCTCACGAAGAGTCTCCGAAGCTCCCGATCTATACCATGTCTATCCCAGAGCTCGGCGTTGCGGCTCTTTCATCGCCCGGCTTGTCTGCGACAGTCCACTTCGCCCGAGCTTCCTGCTTTCCTGCAGACATATAAGAAGGCTGGTATGAATGATAGTTCATGCAAATAAACCAATTGCTAAGATGTGCCTTATTCGTTAGTTGAATTCCCTCCGGCCACCCACGATTTCGAGTCCTTCCTCTCCCAAGCCGAGCCCAATACCCAAGTCGTTCTGCATGGCTATCTTGGACAAAGAGCAGATCTCTCCAAGAAGCTCTCTTTTGTCCGTCTATCCGATCCAACCATGAAACATAGCCTACAGGTCGTCGCCTTCGCCAAGAATGACGCCTTCGAACAGCTCAAGGGCCTCAATACGCATATTCCTGTCGCAGTGCGAGGCATCGCCCAACGGAAGAAACAAAAGGCCTCCGACACAACTGAACAAGCCCCCGAGGACATGTGGGAGATTGCATTGGAAGAAATCCACCCACTGAACGATTTCCCAAAGGAACTTATCATGACTCCGGACACCGTTTTTGCGCCGGAGCAACGATACTTGCAACTGCGCTCCGACGCAGCGCTGAGAGAAGCATTGGCATTCCGCGCAGAGGCGCGCAATATCTGTAAGAAGGAGCTGGATGAAGGTAGTGACCGCTTTGTCGAGATTGAGACACCTGTGCTATTCAAATCTACACCAGAGGGCGCCCGCGAATTTTTGGTTCCGACACGTCGCCCCGGATTGGCATATGCGTTGCCGCAAAGCCCTCAACAATATAAACAGATTTTGATGGCGAGTGGTATCCCCCGATACTATCAATTCGCACGCTGCTTCCGTGATGAGGATCTCCGGGCAGACAGACAACCAGAATTTACTCAACTTGATATGGAAATGTCGTTCGCGACGGGACAGGATGTTATGCGCACCATTGAAGGTGTCATCCGCCGTCTCTGGTCCACACTTATGAAAGACCCAGCACCGGAAGGTCCTTTTAAAAAGGTTTCCTATCAGGAAGTCATGGCCAAATATGGCTCCGACAAGCCGGACACGCGCTATGGCATGGAGATTATGCGGATCGATCATCTTCTACCAGTTGACCTTGTTGACAAGATCTCTGATTTAACTGAGCCCATCGTGGAGGCCTTCAAGCTCGAAGCCAATGACAATGATCCTCAAGACACTCATAAATTCATCTCCCAATTCCTCGAATCCCCAGCAGGGGCCCCATTCAACAGCAATTCCGACGGAGCGCCGGGAGTCTTTGTGTATAACGGAAGGCAGCCCCTCTGTGGCCTGCAGCCCTTCGGCTTTGAAGCCGCCGAGCAGGTAGAAGAAGTTCTTGATCCCGACCATGGTGACTTGATCATCCTACAAGCTCGTCCCCGGGCCCCATTCTCTGGCGGCTCCACCCCAATTGGTGATTTGCGACGAGCTATGCATGCCTATGCTGTCTCGACGGGCTTCAAGCCCGCGCCGACCGGGTTTGACTTCATGTGGGTTGTTGATTTCCCACTTTTCTCGCCCTCGTCCGACACCGAACCCGGCCAAGGGGGTGCAGCAGGTATCTCATCCACGCATCACCCTTTCACGGCCCCCAAATCCGCTGCCGATGTCGACATGCTTCTCATCGACCCAACACAAGCCGTTGCAGACCATTACGATCTTGTAGTGAACGGCGTTGAGCTTGGTGGGGGAAGTCGACGTATCCATGACGCTGCCGTTCAAGAATTTATTCTCCGTGATATTCTGAAGATGCCAGTCGAGCGATTGGCTGATTTCTCGCACCTGCTCGATGCCTTGCGGGCTGGGTGTCCTCCACATGCTGGTCTGGCGCTGGGATTCGATCGTCTCGTCGCTGTCATGTTGGGCAAAGAGTCCGTACGAGATGTTATTGCGTTCCCTAAGACTGGAAAGGGAGGTGATGATGCCATGGTCAAGGCACCTAGCCCTATCACCGAGCAAGCGTTGGAGACGTATCATCTGCGGCTGAGGGAGTAGAAAGACACTCACCCTAAATATTTGTACTATAATTGTATCATACTACATCACGATACCCGGCCAATCTCCGATCCATTATATATTTGGTTATTGGATTGATCCCGCAGCCACAGAATCAAGTGTCAGCCAGGTTCCGCTTACTACCTCCAGGGCTGTATTTGATAAATAACTTGAACCACTAGAATTCATGTGCGTAAACTTAACAGCAAGGAACTTGAACCTTCAATCTTCAAGTTCAAGTTCCAAGGTTGGAAATATGCTAGCCGACTTCCAAGGCTCACGCGTGTGGTTGGGTTCAAGTTGATTCCAGCCGGTCCACCGCCCTGGCCCTGATACAAACCTTCCGCAACTCAATCCCCGCAACCCACGCATATTTCGAGATTTTTGAGGTCTACAAAGTTATGGATGACCTTTCGCTAAAATCGAGACAGCAGTCTGCGAAATACGCCTTCTAGCCTCCATGCACGGCTGAAGGCCCCATGGACCATGCCCCTTCGACGGACCCGCGCGGCAGCTGCATGCCTCTTCTGCCGTCAGAAGAAGGTAAGCATGCACTACTGGTATCCTCCGGATGGTTGTGTTGTGTCAAGGTGCTGATTAAATACTCTAAACAGCTGAAATGTGATGCACACAGACCGATCTGTGGAAACTGCGCGTCAAAAGGCATCGATTGTCAATTTGGCGTCGCTCGGCACAAGCCTAGGTTGGTTAAACCAGCCCCTTCGTTCCAAATTATAATACGGGATTCTAACAATTTATCCAAGGCCAACGAATCATCGAATTGCACAGTTAGAACTCGAAAATGCAAGACTGCGAGACAACCAGCTTGCTGGAAGCGAGGATTCATTTCTGTCGCAGTCCACGAGCTCTCTCAGCCCGATCAGCCCGAGGCAAGCCCGGGTAGCGCCTTCCAAGCCCCAGGATGGCGAGTCTTTGAGAAGCAATTCTCATCCAGAAGTGCCTGATAGCGACCACAACAACCAAAGAGCCACATCGCTGTATCATGGCCCCACAAGTACTGCCTATGATGATAGGACACGGTCCGGTGATGGTGTTGGCAATATTGATTTACCAAATGACCCTGCTAGCGAAAACTGGTCAAAGAATCTTCTTTTTGTGCAGACAGCAAGGCAGAGTAAGTGACCAAATCTTCAATGGCAGTGAGTCATCACTAATACCCATAATACAGGACAGCTGGAACCTCTCAATCTTACGACCGGAAAGCTCGACTTTGATGGTGTCGACCCTGAAATCGGCATGCATTTGCTATCCATCTACTGGAGTCGACAGCTTTACACTGCGCAGATAATATACCGACCAGTATTCATGCGCGATATGGCTTGCGCAGGACCATATTTCTCCAAGCTTTTACTGAACGCGATCTTGTTTACTGTTTCCAAACACAGTCCCCGAAGTGAGATCTGTTCGAATCCAGATGATATTACCACGGCAGGATGGAGATTTCGACAGCGGTTCACTGATCTCTTACGAGATAATTTTGACAAAAGCAAAGTAACAACCATTCAAGCTCTGCTCATCATGTCCAATTCGCTCTTTTCGCGCTGCGACGAGCGAAGTTTGTCTTGGTTGTATGCTGGAAATGCTTTCAATATGATTATTGATCTGGGCTTGCATGTTGCTGCTTCGGGTGAAAATATGTCTGCAGAAGAGCTTGAGATTCGGAAAAGAGTTTTGTGGGGTGCATACTGTAAGTGGATCCATTTTAATCTGTCCAACACAGTTTACTGATTGGGGATAACAGCAATTGATAAGATCCAATGCCTTTTACAAGGCAGGCCACCGCTTCTTCGCCATAATAACATCAAAGCATCGTTGAAATTTCTTGATGAATATGACGAGCTCGATCCTTTCCAGGCCCTCACCTATAAACAGCTGACTCCTACACCAACTGTTCCTTCCCTAAATGTATCGCTACTCACAAAGCTTTGCGAACTCTCCGTCATAATAGATCGCATCTTGTGCGAACTTTACTCCGAATCAGCGCAGATGATGCGCGGCCAGAGCGAAGGAATATCCGATAACATAAATTCCGAATTGTGCAGATGGCGGCAAAATCTTCCGCCAGAACTTGATTATCTTCACCACACTTCTCAAGCAGTTCTTCTACCGCAAGCATTTTGCCTATTGTATGTACCATGTCCAATGTGTTGCAAGATAAGATTCTCACAATGTATTTTTAGGGCTCTTTTTAACGTCTTGATAATTCTATCCAAACGTCCTCTGTTTACCGGAAATGATGAACGACCGAACAATCCAGCTTCCGCCTTCGAATCGATAAACACGTGTACAGCTGCTGCAAACCAGATCGTCCAGATACTCCGTGATTACTCTCAGCACTTTGCAATTAGCTCAGCTCCATACATGCTATCATACGCAACCTACATCAGTGCCACAATCCATGCCCGCATAGTGGCACAGAAGGGCAAATCATCAACGTCCTTCCAATCTCTCATGCTCTGTCGGAACGTGTTGCAGGAGCACCACTGTCTTTACGGTGCGGCGGGAAAAGCAAAAGAGAGTCTTGATCGATTATGTGATCATCTCGGCATTGATGCTGCAGAGGAAACTAGGCAAATGAATGTTTTCACGGAAGCCGCCCCTCGAGAGCCCATGGTTACAAATGGACCTGCGCAAAGTTTGGATGCATCGGGTATCCCAGATCAGACCATCGAAATTACTTCGCGGATCAACTGGGGCTTGTCAGATCTTGATCTTGAGGCAATCGCCCAAGGCTTCCGTTTTGATGGCGAGTTAGATTATCTTATGCATCCTGTAGGAATGTAATAGCCATACACCCCAAGAACGCGTCTCAGAGTGTACCAGATTCGTACGCTTACTCTAAATCTGGACTATTGGATATATGTAGAACCCGAGGTATGTCCAAAATTTCTTTTTCATAGTATGTGCATTAATTTTCATAGTACTGCTGCCACGGGTGGTCTTGACGAAAACCCAGCAACTCCTTGATCTTTCGGTTTGTTATGGGAGCTTCACGTGGATCCATCTCCCGCGTTAAAGGAGAGTTGGGCGACACCTTCGCAACAAATTCCGCAGAGGAGGAAGTATAGTTGGTGATTTCATCATTCACAGCATTGAATATTTGAAACCCAAGTCCGTCCTTTTGAACTGCCAAATCGCACATTTTCCCGAGATCGCGTGCATCGGTATATGACCAGGCATGGGCTGCCCATTTCTCTGGCTGCTTGATATAGCTATCAAACATAGGTTCCTTGTACTCCTCCGGTGCAACGATTCGGCCAATTCGCAACACATAAATATCTCTCTGGAAACGACGTGCAAAGCCACGCGCGACACGCTCCGCACATACCTTCGCTATGGCGTACGTGTCCATGGGGTTGGCGTCAACTTCTTCGTCGACCGGGAAAGATGGATAGTCGACATCTCCCTCTGCATAGCTGACACCATAAACGGTGATCGAGCTAGCGATGATAATCTTTTTAATGTTCAACTTGCATGCCGCTTCAATAACGTTATAATTCGACATCGTATTGCTTCGAAACGTTTCATTGTCGGGGGCGATCATGTTTCGCGAATAGCCAGCCATATGAATGACTGCATCGGGCACCAAATTTAGGGGCTCTCTGAATGGCTCGGTAAGGTGGAAATGAGAGCTCAAAGCGCAGTAGACTTGACCGCTGTCTGCAAGGTCGACAATCATAGTATGGACGCGGTCCGAGAATTCTGCTGGAAGGGCTACCAGATCAAGATTGAGGACATCGTGGCCTTGCTGAAGCAAATATCTGATGATATGCTGACCGGCCTTGCCGGAGCCACCTGTAACGATGATCCGCTTGCCCATGTTGGAAACGAACTGGGGTTGATGGAAAGCAATGTCCTCGGCGGGAGAGAGCAAGAACAAAAGTCAAAAGCCGACACTGCGCAATCGAGGCTCCGCTTTCTCGGTTAATGTGCTATTTCCAGAGACGTTTTATTGATTTGAAATGAACGAATTCATAGCTGACCTTATCTGTGTCTAATATGTGTGGGGGTGGGGCCCCAGTCTCGGAATGAGACTTTCCGGGCCTTGGCTTGACATCATTGCAGGGAACTCGCAGTTAATTGTGGAACAGTTCGAATTAACCGAATGGCGAATCAGTGAAAGATGAACTCCAATCAACCAGAATTTATTTACAGGCTTCGTCTAGTAAGCCTAGCACAGCGGTTGAAATTGTTTATCTATCCCGGGAGACGGAAACTTCAAATAACTTTTGAGATTTTGGCAACTTAATAATGAAGAATATTTAAATTGTATTTTATATGGTATCATTGAGCGCAAATATCTACTATCGATAGTATATCAACTTGAATGACAGCTGCAAAGCTTCTTCAGTGATTATGTCTCGGTGCAAGTTCCCTTTGCGCCAGACGCTGGAACTGTACTGCATTTTTCAGCACCATTCCGTTTGATAATTGCTCCGTCTCACGACGGAAGATATCCTGCCAAGGGGTACCAGTGGGAACCATGGGGTAACCATCGGAAAGCTTTTGTCGACGCTCTTTCAGCTCATCGTCGGTGATGAGAATGTCCACTCGTCGCTTACGGAGATCAATGCGAAGTCTGTCACCATTCTTCAGCAGCGCCAAATTTCCTCCGGCGGCTGCTTCGGGGCTGGCATTCAGGATGGATGGAGAGGCTGATGTTCCCGATTGCCTTCCGTCGCCGATACAGAACAAACCATCCAGGCCTTGCTTGATCAGTTTGCTCGGAGGGTGCATGTTGACGACTTCCGCCGCGCCGGGATATCCTAATGGCCCAACACCGCGCATGACGAGGATAGTCTGGTCGGTAATCTCTGGCAGCTTCTCGAGTCGCTCCTCGTAGTCTTCTGGTCCGTCAAAGACAACCACGGGTCCCTCAAATGCCTCGGGATCATCTGGATTCGAAAGGTATCGTTTTCTGAAAGCGGGTGAAATGACGCAGGTTTTCATGATAGCAGAATCAAACAATGTACCCTTGAGGTTGATGAATCCGGCATCTTTCATCAAAGGATCATCGTAAGGGCGAATAATGCGACGATCCCATGAGTGTTTTCCGCGAACGTTTTCACCCATCGTCTTTCCGTTGGCAGTTAGAGCATTCAAGTGCAATTTCCCTTGATCAAGGAGTTCGGCCATAATAGCAGGAAGGCCACCAGCACGGAAGTATTCTTCTCCCAGGTACTCTCCTGACGGCTGCATATTCAGAAGGAGAGGTATCTTTGAGCCGATAGTATCCCAATCATCCATTGATAACTCAATGCCTGCATGTTGAGCGATAGCACTCAAATGAATGGGTGCATTTGTACTTCCACCGATCGCAGCGTTTGCAACAATTGCGTTCTCAAAGGCTTCTCTTGTCAATATATCACTGGGTTTACGATCGGCTTCAACCATTTCGACAATTTGTTTGCCAGTTTCATAGGCACATTGGGCCCTGTGACGATAAGCGGCAGGGATGGCAGCAGATCCAGGAAGGGCCATGCCGAGTGCTTCCGCGAGGGCATTCATAGTGGAGGCTGTCCCCATTGTATTGCAGTGGCCGACTGAAGGTGTGCTAGTTGGAGTCAATAAACTATCCTGTCCTAAACAATCCCTCATGGTCAAGACTCACCTTCGGGAAATATAATCCATGAATTCATTCTCATTGATATCACCTGCTGCGTACATCTCTCTGCCCTTCCATAGAACGGCTCCAGAGCCAACCAAGGTGGATTTGTCATAGCCATTGAGCATAGGGCCCACGTTCATGCAGATGGCTGGGATGTTCTGCGATTTCTGGTCAGCGTATATTAGAAATGCTTCAAAGCGCCAGTACCTACCACAGTAGCAGCGGCCATTAAACAGGCGGGGGTCGTCTTGTCACATCCCGTCAAAAGAACAACGCCGTCAAGGAAGTAGCTAGTCAAGACTTCAACCATACTCAGATAGGCAAGGTTGCGATCAAGCGTGGCGGTAGGACGTCTTGATGTCTCTTGGATCGGGTGAGTCGGAAACTCGAAGGCGATACCACCGGCAGTCCGGATTCCCTCTCTCACGCGCTTTGACAGCTCAATGTGGTGACGATTACAAGGCGCGATGTCAGATCCCGTTTGTGCAATTCCGATCATGGGTTTTCCCGACATCAGCTCCTCTTGGGTGATACCGAAGTTGAAATAACGCTCCATGTAAATTGCCGTCATGCCTGGGTTGCTGCGACAGTCAAACCATGCCGATGAGCGCAGGGTTCGACCTGGCTGGCGCACTATGTTCGGTGCGCCATTCTTTTTCTCAAGTCCGAGTCTTGTCTCGAGCTCTTGGTTGCGTCTTTTCAGCGCGGCGAGTTCATTGATGCAATCTTCGATTTGGATTGGCTGTGGGGGGGTGTCAGTGCTGCATGAACACCCCTCGCAGGATTTACCTGTTGAACAACCCATGTTTAAATCCTTATGCGGGTGCTTTTGATTTCGTTCAAAAGCCTGAAGGGTCCACTCAATTGTTTTGTCAGGGTGACTCTTGCTTTTGTATCTGCCCACTATTCAATCAGCTAATTTGGATTGATCATGCGTCAAGACTGCTCGGGAACGAATATTCCTATTGGTGAATTCGGCTCCATACCAGAGTCCTCCACCCGAAGTTGGAATTTTTCATCCAATCATATTTGTCCCTTTTCTACGCGTCCTCCATTTTCTAAACGCGGGGGTTGACTTTCGGATACTCATAATCCGATCCCGGTTAAAGGGTTTCGCGATAGACCCCACACGAACGGTCTTACTAGATGCCATTGTATACTATCTTGAGAAGATCTATTGAGCATCGTGTCCAAGGAGAAAAACAGTAACGATGAAGCGAACCCTCTCTTTTGTAGCGAATTATGTCAATATCTCACACCAAAAATACCAGTGACGTAACTGTACCTCGAGTCCGGTCTAGGGCCTATGATATCATCCCCTCGGTTCAAGTCAGAAATGTTATTGAAAAGGTGGGAAAATAGCTGTCAGTTTTGCTCTGTTAACTTCATTCGATCGAATCCATAAAATATCTCTTCCTCTATGAAAATGGTCCGCGTTTTCATTACTGGCTCCACCGATGGCATCGGCCAAGCGGCAGCCAAACTTCTTATCGACCAGGGCCATGAAGTCACCCTTCATGCACGAAACGCAGATCGAGCAGCATCCGCCCAAGCAGCTTTACCAAAAGCCAGGGGGGGTCCTGGTTGGAGACCTGAAGTCTATTTCAGAAACCAAACAACTCGCACGGGATGCCAATGCCGCTGGACCTTTCGACGCCATCGTACACAATGCAGGAATTGGCTATGGTTCGACATCATCTAAAGAGGTGACATCGGACAACATTTCGGCTGTATTTGCGGTGAATACACTGGCACCATATATCCTTACATGTCTTATGGAGAAGCCCACTACGCGGCTTCTCTTCATGAGCTCCGATAGTCACTGGGGCGGAGATGAGTCGCTTCGCAACGCGGAACAGTCACACTCATATGGCAATAGCAAGCTCCATGATGTAATGCTTGCCAAAGCGTTTGCAAGAAGGTGGGATGATATTCAAGTCATCAGTATGCATCCCGGGTGGGTGAGAACCAAGATGGGCGGTATGGCTGCTCCCGGGAGCGTCAGCTCATCAGCGAAAGCCCTCGCTGGCTGGTGCAGTGGTGAGAACTCCTTGGCCAAGGTCAAAAACGGTGCTTTCGTTACTACTGGAGGAGAAAGCTCGCCGCACTTGGGGTCTGAAAATGTGGATAAACAAGAAGAGCTCTTGGGTCTTTGCAAGCGAATCTCCGAGTGTTCTGTGCCCGGGGAGAGTTGAGACTGTGGTTTATGGGTGGATGGGATCTTGAATTTCCATTGAGCAATCCATTCTTTTACTAATAGCTTAGATTTTGTCTATATTACTCAAAGCCAATTGCCTGCCAGTATTGTACTGAATAAACATCGTACACGAAAATCAAATGCAATTCATAGTCTGCATTCGGTGCATCTCAAGTCAGCTCAGAAAGAGACATGTCAAGGGCAACAGAAGCGTAATATTGTTGGCGTATTGATGAGACGTTTTGCACAATTGAAACTTCTGCTAGTTTCAACAAGGGTACAGTGCCCGGTAAAGCCTCTCAACCCTGCTTGACTTCTACCACTGGGCCCTCGTACTCCTTTCTTCCTTTTAGAACATACATCACGAGGCTGAGGATAAATATTGCAACGAATATTACAACACTCCAGTTGAAATTCTCGGCTGTGATGGGTAGCTCCGTTGGCCAAAAAGACCAGAACATTGCAAAGAAACAATATAGCACTCCGATTATATTGATGGGCAAGCCAAAGCGCCCCAGATCCCAACGACGAGCAGGGAGAGTTTTAGGATACCAGATCTTCCGGTAGATGACACACGAAATAGAAAACTGATAAGTGAACATCAGTGCGGCCGTGTTCAAGGAGATGATGGCGTTAAAGGCAGTGCTGGAGCCAATATTGATCAGGGAGAGAAGGCAACTGATGACGCATGATAATATGATAGCATTAACGGGGATCATGCGCTTGGGATCAATTTTCGAGATCCACTTTGAAAATGGAAGACCCTTATCCCGAGCGAAAGCCCATGTTTGCCGTGAGGTTGATGCATTAAACATGATATTACTGAATATCACGGGTAATATGATGATCGCTGTCAAACCGTTCACTCCTGCGGTAGACGTCATCTGCTTGAACACGTAAAGCAATGGGAATCCCGACGCATCATCTAGCGAGTCTTCCACTGACGGGGTAGCAAACAGATAGGCGACTAGTAAGATAGCAGCCATAATTCCGTTCGAAAAGTAGCCCCAATACATAGCCACTGGGACATTTCGACCAGCATCTTTGATTTCCTCAGACATGTGGGCACACGCATCCGAGCCTGTAAGAGATATGAGTTTGGGCATTTTTAAAAGACCGGGCACTAATCAATAGGAATACCTACTCAGACAACCATAGATAGCCGAGATCTGCCCAACCATAACACTAACGCCCATGGTCGGCAACCCTCCTATGTTCTTCCAGTCAGTGACAAAAACAGCTTCGGCAGACCGGTGAGAAGCTGTAGCCCAAAGCATAATCAATATCACAGCCCATGATAGAATATGGAAAAACATCAGAAGATTGCTCATGAGAGGCATCAACTCTGAAGCATACACATTGAAGAAATAGATTACCAAGACCATGGAAAACACAAGCAGGGTACCCTGCCAGCCCGGGGCAGTATAATCTGGATTACGAACCGTAATCAAGCCTTGAATCAATGTGCCCGTGAGAAAGGATCCAGAAGCGGTTCCAGCTTGCCATGCTAGTACTGACATCCAGCCTATATTTCCATAGACGAAGCCAACAATCAGTTCTCGGGGTCTCTTTTGGATGCCACAAGTCAATAGGGCATACCGGTAACATAGCTCAGGAACTTCTGGTGTCGAGGAGAGCAAAACTCCGACACCCAATGGTATTGTCCTCCATCCGTCGGGGCCATTGATGCCATTTCTGCGAGTGAGGCAATGATGAATCCGAATCCAATAAAGGTCCAGATATATGACCAGAAAAGTCCAGCCAACCCGCCATCCTCCAGTCCCGTATAGTTCGAACTGGTCTTCGTTAGAACCTCGCCCAGCCACGCCAGGTTTTGGTGGAAGTTTCATCACATTTACTTACAGAATGAGATATTCCCAGGTTGCTTGAAGGACAGAAGCGAAACTTAATGCCGCCAGTGGTCGCATATTTCTCTAAAATTGACCTGGTCAGCTATGAAATTGTCAAAACTGGGATGCGCGTCGCCACCTTAAATTCTTGAACTTTTCCCATGCGAGTCATTTCATCGTCGTCCCCCGCTGTTCCGCCGTCCTGTGAGATCTGTGGATCCCTGCGATTGACCTCCATGTCCATCGTTTCAAGGGCGGTCGTTTTGCCGGAAGCCTCCATGGAGATGAGTTGAGCCAGGGGAAGGAGAATGAAACAAGGGACCACACGCTGTTATCACGAAGGAACTTCGGGCTTAGAAGATCGACTAACAAGCTTTTCACACTCGTCGAAATGGTCGCACAAAATAGCCTTATCTCGAGGAGCGGGGCTTCGACGCGGTCTTGGACCAGCCCCTGCACGGTGGTGGATCCACGCTACGGCCATCCTTCCCCAGAGGAGGCCAGGAATTCCTGGTGGAAGTCCGTCCCCCTGAGGCGAGGCCGACTGCTAGAACTATCAAATGAAGCCTCTTCTGATCCTATATCTCCGTTGTCTGACCCTTTACGGGCAGCTAACCCTCGACTTGGCTCACGGGGATCTCAGCTGGTATTTAATGATTCCATGAGGTGAAAAGGATGGCGCTTCAATACAACATTGGAAGAATTCTAAGCTAAGATTCTGCTGCGCCCGGGTGGGCACTTGAAACTTGGCTGACCCCCGAGTACCCAGGAGATTATAGCTAAAATATGTTGAAATCACCTGCGCAGCGCTCTATTGCTATGATCAACTCCGCGAACCCACCAAAAAAACAAAATGAATGCTACCTCGACCCTGGATGTCTCTTGGCCCCCGCACTAACTACGAGCCACTGTTGTGCCCTCCGGCGTTATGGCAGTTGCGCACACCTAGGCAGGAAATGGTTTCGGGGCCATTAGAACCGAAAGTGCGGGGGGTCTGCTGAAGAGAAATTCCTATTCGTGTCAAAACTTCTGTCCATCAGTCGATCCCTCGCCGGAGATAGTTAGTTTCGGCTTACGTGGCACCGAATTTTATATTTCAGTGATTTGAAATGCACCGCGCCGAGTATTGGACACCCTTTGTATGCTTTGGCCGCTGGTTTTTGTGAATATGATTTGTCTTAGTTCATAGCGGGGAACGGCGTCGGAGTTGACTTAAAGTCGGAGCAGTGGTCAATCGAACCTCCAACCCATATTGTACTCTGCTCTTGGTGAAGACATCTCAGTATGGTTCCTTCATTTTTCGCGATAGTTGCTATATTAGCATGTGCGTTCGGTTTTGTGGAGGCCAACCCCCATCGGAAAAGCTGTGTTATCAAAAGCGGGCAGAGCAAAGAGATAGATGATGCCCCGGCTATTCTACATGCCTTCAAAGAATGCGGCCAGCATGGAAGGGTTCTTTTTGAACCTCAAACCTACTATGTAAACTCTGTTATGAATGTCTCTTGGCTGAAGGATGTTGACATTGAGATTCACGGGACGCTTGAGGTATGTGGCTAACTACAACTAGTCAGCTCAGTCCATTTACTTTGCTTGCATCATACATATTTGGCCCTTGAGGGCTAACCAAGCACACTTACTGACAGTGGAGCACGGATATAATGTACTGGTTGAACAACTCGATGGAGGTTGGGTACCAGAATCAGTCAACAGCATTCATTATTGGCGGTGATAATGTCCGAATCAACGGCTTTGGCACAGGTACATTTAACGGCAACGGTGACGACTGGTATAAATGGATCAGGCAGCAGAAGAATACGTCCAATTACCCAGGTCGTCCCCATGCCTTGACATTGAGTCACCTCACAAATTCCGCCATTCATGGGCTCAGGTTCTTGAGAAGCCAGATGTGGTATGCCAAAGCACTATACCATGCTCTAGTAGTTCTGATTCTGATTATCACTCCTAATTCTCAAGGACAATGTCTGTCATTCACTCTCACAACGTGGTTCTCGATAGTATCTTTGTCAACAATACGGGTAATTCCGCACAAAGTTGTGAGTACCCCAAGACGGCCTCCCAGGTTACCGGGAAATCTGCTTATTCTATATAGCCAACACCGATGGTGCAGATACCATTTACTCTTCTCACATTGTCTTTAATAACTGGACTGTTTACAACGGCGATGATAGTATTTCTCTCAAAGCAAACAGCACTGATATAACGATAAGCAATTGCAAACTGAGCAATGGTCTCGGTATTGCCATAGGAAGCATCGGGCAATACAAAGATCAATTCGAAACAATTGAGAGAGTTTCAATAAATAATATTGACTACGAAAATACATTGCACGCGGTGAGCAATCCGAATGGTGCCTTGAACAAACACATGCTGAAAATGAATATTTAGTTTTATGTGAAGACATGGACGGATGACCAAAATGGCTACCCACCCAATGGAGGTGGAGGTGGACTGGGCTGTACGTCGAGGCATTATTCGCTCCCTCATTTGCTCTTTCGGCTTTCCACAGTCAATATCAATAGTAATTGAGCGCTAACATGCTGAATAGATCTATCTGGCGTCGAAGTGACGAATCTGAAGGCAACGGGACTTCGAGGGGCCGCCTTTGCAGTTTCGCAATGCACGCGATTTTCTGGGGCCCCGGGGTAGGCAATTGCACAAATTCCCAATTCCAGATCAAAAATGTGGCGATCAAAAATCTGTCTGGGACCACACAGTCAACAAGAGTGGCTAGTCTTCAATGCAGTGCTGTTGCGCCATGCACCAACATTACCATTGCCGACGTGGACCTTCATCTCGCTAATAGCACGGAAGCAAATAGTTATCTTTGCGGGAATGTCATGAGCCCAGCGGGCTTCATGTGCACGGGGGATGTTTGTGTGGGTGGCAGTGCTACTGGGGAATGCTAAGGGTCACTGATCTTGTACTAAGAGCTGTCGCCATGCGAATGAGTTACACTTTGGCAACCCTCCACGCGGGCATGTTGCAGATGCTCCATAAGACCTTGCCCCCGGACCTCATAAAATTGAAACTCATTATAACCTCCTTACCAGAAGCCATGTAATTCCATAAGTGCACATCCAAAAGCTCAGTGTATGTCGTCCGTGGCTTCGCCAGTGATGTGGGGACAGGCACATCCAGGATTTAAAAGGTAGGCGGAAGTCGAAAAGGAATGATCTATGCCGCATGTCAGTGTCAAATGGCCATTTCAAGGTTGTTCCTACAGATATTGGGACGAGCTAACTATGGGATGAGTCAAAGCATTGAGCAGTAGACATACGGAATAGGTTTTAAATTTGTACACGGGAGTAAAGAGAAGATTAGACTTTGAATTAATGTTTGTAGAGTGTATGTGCTAAGGCTTTGCTTGATCGAGATCAATCATACATCTCCCCATAGATAGTAAATCAGAATTTCAACAGTGCTGGATTCCGAAGGCGCAGTTCGAAGGCGGAGATGCGATGTTCTCAACAAGGTGAGCCAGTCGTCAAGATGCGCTTCATCTCTTGGGCGTAGGTACACCCATTGTTGACATTGGTGTCGGACCATCCAGCCGACCAGGTCATCAACCCGCCGAACGCGTGATTATCTTTGTGTTGGCCGACAACTGAAGCCAGGGTGTGAGGTTCCATGTAGTATTGGGCGCCAGACGCGGTACCAGTGGAGGCGAGTGGTGAAGCTGGAACGCCAATGAAGATTTTCGCATTTGCGGACCGAGTGCCAGCGATATTGGCTACCCAAGCATCGAAGTTGATGTTTCCGTCATTGGAGCAATACGGATTGTTGTAGTGTTGGACCCAGAGATAATCAAACTCCGAATTTTGGATAATGGTTTCCATATACGGTTCCGGGATGGGGCACTGCGGGGCCCCCGGTAATGAAATACCTGTGCTGAGGATCCGAGGCAAAGTTTGATCGTAGCTTTTGGATGAGGTACTGATAGTAAACATTCCCTCCCCACGCTTCCACGTCGAAATCCCATCCGTTCACGAAGGTTGCGCCGAATGGTCGCGGCACGCTTCCGCGAGTGTTACCGTATGCCTCCCACAAGTGCTGACCAATGGCTTCGGCTTCGGCTTGCGATGAAAGGGAGTAGGCGCCAATGGAGCCACCAAGGGAGACGATGACCTTGATTCCGTGCGACTTGCAGGTGTTGATGGCATCAGCCATGCCCTGGCAGTTCTGCCCCTCGCCATGGGAGCGATTCGGCAGTGGACGCCGAGTTCGCCGGAGGGAATGGTGTTGCCATTGCCAAATCGATACAGGAAAGACAAGATAATAATGTCGATTCCAGAGGATGTGTTGCAGTAGTTGATTAGATCCCGGACGTGGCCATCCTGGCCCCAGTAGGCCACGTTTTGAGCGCCGTTAGCCCAATCTCGTGGCTGTTGAGGAAAGGCGGTGGTCACTCCAAGAGCGAGAAGCAGGTGTAAAAGAAAGGCAAGGCAAGTCATTTTGACTTATCCTTCGAAGGGCTTGAAATCAAAGTAATGACCGTGAGGTAAGGAATGTGGGTTAAGGACCGCAAAGAAATGAGTGTAAGATAGTCTGGTGAAGACTTGTTGGAGAGGTCCGAAAAGTAGAAGAGGGTGAAGAGGGAAGAAAGGATGAAAAGAGAGAGGAGGAGATGAGTCTTTCTAGTGAGAGGACTCGGAGGGGGGAAGCAAACGCAAATGGGTGGGATGATGTCGGATTTTTTCTTCATTCACTAAGTATAGACTATCTCACTCTTGTTTCGCCTCCTACTCTACACATATCACCCCCATTGCTATAATATCTACTGCATTGTATGTAGAATCTCGTCTATTTCTAAGAATCGGTACTTCTAATTGGTATGCAAGTGGGGAGGGGATGAAAGTGGTGATCGGATGGGAAGGGAGAGCCCTAGAAGAAAGTGAAGCTATCCAGAGACGGCACGACGTCACGACGTCACGGCGACTTGGATGCCCGAGGCACCCACGCCTCAACAGCTACCACCACGGTATAGCGGGCTTCTGGTTTGTATTTCTTCAAGTTGGTAGCCAGAATAAATCAGCTCTTTATTTTGGACATGGCTGGCAATGTTTAAATAATACATTACGGGGCTTCGAGGGCTTGTATTAGTAGTACTAGTAGTATAAAAATAGACGCTACTATTTCACCAAGTACCACCCTCCTTCGGACTCTATTTAGTGCGGGATTGTAAATTATCTCGATTACTACCCTCTTTCACCGATCCACGGGCGCCATGTCCCTTCCCTCCACTCTGGCCCTGGGATCCCTTTTCTGCCTTTAATCCCTTGGCTGATTTGTGTTGTGACGGTCCGGGATGCTCCAGCTCTCGTGTTCGGGGGCTTACCCCTTGAGCGAGCGGATCCTTCCCATGCGAATCGGCGGAATCATCACCATAGCCAGTAGACGAGTATCGTGGGTGTATATAGGCAGGCCGAAGCTGGTGGACATCTGGCTTGAGGCGTAATGACTGTGTAATGGGCCGACATGAGAGTAAGCGAATTCCCCCGAGGTGCTGCTTGATGCACATAAGTGTTTGATGCATGGTATTTGCAGGATACAAAATGAATCTCTGTTTGACTCAAGTGCAAAATAATAACGATATTGATTTCTTGGGGTGTTGAGGGGAAAATTACGAGTCCTTTTTATTCGGGAGCGGCAAACTGTTCTGACCTCATGGTGTCGTAACAGAGTAGATACACATCTCTCGGTAGATTATTGGCTCAATTGCCGCGCGCGTGAATCATTTTATGCGATTCAGATCTCTGAAATCTGTTCAGGTATATCAGCAATTAGCCAATGGCACGCTGCTAGCCGAATATAATGAGCGAAAGATCGTAGGATACGAAATGAAGAACGGGAAAAAGAGCCGCATGCCGTAGACCTTCTAGCAAGTTTAATAATTACTCCTCCTCTCTCGACGTCTTTCCTTCTCCAATAACCCTAGTCCCGTGATAAAAACCATAGTATCAAAAACACTCCCATAATTAACATCAATCTGAAACTTGCCACACTTCTTCCATGTTTTCAGTCCACCATTCAAATAAACAGCGATAACCTCTTCTGTCGCTTCATTCTGAAGCTTAAAACACTTTGAACTCAGCTTGGACGGTTTATCCTCTCCAATCCCAACGCTGTTAGTTCGCTTCCAAACAAAAGCCTCCCTCTTGAGCGACCCTGTAACACTATCCTCCAGTGTGATCTCGAATCGATAATGTGTTGTGAGCTTGTGGCGTATGAGATCTTCCCAGGCGATGTTTGGATCATCCGGGTCACCGAGCCCTATTTTGCAGTGTCGGGAGAAAGTTACATATTTGCAGGTTGCTTTGATGGGGCCATCCTCGTTTTCGCCGGCGTGGTATGTTAGGTCTGGTTTGCCAATGGTCATAGACGAGCATCGCACATATGCGAAAGGAGATTTCTCCGCGGTATATATGGCGAAATCGGATCTTCGGCGCTTATTATAAATGTGGAAGAGGCGTGAATTTGGTGTTGTGGGTAGGATGTCGTTGATAATTGAGGATTCGTCAGAGCTGTGGCTGCCCCGACGAGGTGTCTTTGAAATATCAGGATGAGGTTCAAGTTGAGAAGTCATTTTGATGCGTCCGTGGTTCGAGGATGGATCAATGTCGCACTTGCATCCCAAAATTTCAATTCTTTGGAGGATATCGATATTTTAAGTTGACCAGCAAATTGAGGCTGAGCTTGCCAACCTCGTGTTGGCCGAGGTGGTGGGGTATGGCCCGTATAGATGGATATCATCCACGCCCAATCAAATCTACACGAAGACGGATGCACTGCCTCCTAAAAGTCGCTCCCAATACGAAATTCCTTCATTTGGCTGTGGTCCGATAGTTACAAAAGTACTATTACTGATGAAAATAACTCAGACAAATGCCGAGATATGCCCTCCCTAGCAGGATTGGTCATTCACCAAGGCATGCTCCTTATAATTATGCCATTGCCGTGTCTCTTTCACCACGATGGGAGGTCAAATGAAAAGATCAAATGCATTTGCCAAGTGAACTGAGATGAAAGGTGATTCCAGAGATATCTTGTTGAGATGATCTATAAAATGGTTCGATATGAACATGTTATACAAGAAGAGAACTCAAACGCCATCCCAAACCGCTGTATAAGACAGGACCATGGAAATAAAAAACAAGGGTAAAGAAACAAGAGACGAACGAGAGGTATGCACAGAGTCCGGGTTCACACAGCTCCTACTACGCAGTAGATAAAGTGCTTTCCCGACTCGATGTTGAATGGGGTTTATCGGTAGCCTCTACTGTGCTCTCTTCCTCCTCGTCATAATACACGTACTCATCATCTTCCTCTTCTGGTTGACCAAAAATATTCCGCCAAACACCATCCCACAATCCCTTCTTGGTTACAAGACCACCAACAAGGAGAATGGGGAGTTGCCAAATGCTGGCCCAGAAAAGACCACGCGCAGTTCCCTGGGCACCCTGATGCTTCCAGAAACCATATGCTTCACGAACGAGCCAGCCGTTGGCGAACGTACTTCCCACAAGGAAGCCGTGACCAACAACGCCGACCCACCACAGGCCAATGGAAATGGGGAACATTAAGATGGAGTAGCGGAGGGCGACACGAGCATTCTGGGCAGGATTCACCCAGGCGAGCATGCGATAGCCGGCGGCCTTGTATTCATCACGAATGGTATGGGAGAGAGCGTTGAAGTGGGGGAATTGCCAAGCAAAAAGAATAGCTCCGAGCAACCATCCACCAATGCTGTCTTCGCTGAACAGCATGTCGCGCCATGTGTCATGCCCAGTTGTCGCGGTCTGGCCTGCCGCCGCAACCCAACCCATCAGAGGTGGAATACCACCAACGACGGCACCGACCCAGGTGTTGATGACATGGATTCGCTTAAGCGGGGTATAGACGAACGCATAGAGGAAAATGTTGGCGGCAGAAAGAGCGGTGGTCGTCGGGTTAGTTCCAATATAAAGCAGACCCAACCCTGTAGCGGCAGTTGCAATTGCAAAAAGCAGAGCTCCACGACGCGAGACCAGCCCGCGGACTAAGGGGCGATTCCTCGTGCGCGACATCAATGCATCATATTTTGGCTCAAACATCATGTTCAACGTGTTGGCACTGCAGCATGATAGGAATGTGCCGGCTGTCAAGTATATAAAGGTCAAAGTCGAGGTTGAGAGTGTCGGGAGTGGAGTCATGGCTGGGTCGAGGGTGAGGAGAGAGGAAATCGGGTACATTCCGTATGCAGACGTAGTGCTGAGCACAATGAGGAAGGATAGTCGAGGTTTTGTCAGTGCAAAGTAGGCAGCCAGCTTTCGCCTGAGAGAGGTGGGGGGGGAGGGCGGACGATAGGTTCGACAATTGCGCGGATGCATCGGGTGGTATGACGGGTTCTGCTTGGCCATTTTCAGAGCCGTCCTCCTTCAATCGTTTCCTCCGTCGGTGTGGGAGTTCATCGGTGGTATTTGGTGTCGCAATTGACTCGGAAGTCACTGTTTCGGTTGAACCGGCCGGGTTTGCGGAGGTTTGGTTGGTGGGCTGAGGTGTGGAAGATTGCCCAGGTTGGTCGGAATTGAGCGAGGCGAATGAGGAAATGAATCCCCCCCCTTGAGTCCTGTACTATCGTACAAACGATTTCCTGAGAAATATGTCTTCTGGAGAAGGGAAGAGGCCTGGTTCTCCGCGATGCCAGTGCGGCGGTGCGATGAGGACCAGAACCGCCGAACGCTGGATGATTGATTTCCGGATCTCCCTAAACATGAACAAATTAGCGCATCTCGAGGCACAGGCCTCAAGATGGCAGAACGTAAAGGGAGCATGGCGCGGCGGTCGATCTCTCAACGTTCAAGAGGGAAAGGAAGAAAAGTGGTGGACGAAGTGGAAGTTTCCCCGGTGGCCGCACGGACCAAACCCGCACTTTCTGGGAATGTCAACAACACTTCGACTTCTATTTCAACTTCCACTTCTTGACACCTTCATATCTCCCAACTTTACTCCCTGGACAACCCTAATTCCACCATGGATGTCCTTCAGAACTCTGTCGTGGCTCCTCTTCAGCCTATCCTCCGTCCCATCGTCGATGCGATCCCCGAGCCCGTCCATGATGCAGTCATTTCGCTGATCGGTTCGCCCTGCCACAGCGCACTCCTCCTCGACCTCGATCTCACAAAGGACCCGGCTTGCACATCCCTCGCAATCTCCAAGGCCCTTGGTATTGCTATTGTCGGTGCCAGTGCGGTAGTGAAGGTTCCTCAAATCCTGAAGCTCATTAGCTCGCGCTCTTCCGCCGGTGTCTCCTTCGTCTCATACGCCCTCGAAACCGCCAGTCTGCTCATCACCCTTTCCTACGGCGTGCGCAACCAGTTCCCTTTCAGCACATATGGCGAGTCAGCTCTCATTGCCATCCAAGATGTTGCTGTTGGTGTTCTCGTCCTGACCTTTGCTGGTCGGTCCGCCGCAGCTGCAACTTTCGTGGCGGTCGTCGCGGCCGCCGTGTATGCCCTGCTCTTTGATCAAACTCTCGTGGACGCCCAGACTATGTCGTACCTGCAGGCCGGTGCTGGTATTCTCGGTGTTGCCAGCAAGGCCCCTCAAATTTATACCATTTGGAGCCAAGGTGGAACCGGTCAGTTGAGCGCATTTGCGGTAAGTTTGCGCCGATTCGTCCCCGCAACCCTGCAGTAGTGATGAAACTAACTAACTCTTTTATCCTACTATAGGTCTTCAACTACCTCGCTGGCTCCCTCTCGCGCATCTTTACTACTCTCCAAGAAGTCGACGACAAGCTGATCCTCTACGGTTTCATTGCCGGCTTCACCCTCAACGTGATCCTCGCCACCCAGATGCTGTACTACTGGAACAGCCCCGCGACCCCGCAAAAGAAGGCGACTCGCGGCAAGGTTACGGAGAAGGCTCCTGTTGCCCAAAGCACCGGGGCATCGCCCAGGCCTGGCTCCAAGACTCCCACTACGCGCCGACGGGGTTAGAGAAATATCAAGTTGGAATCGGCTGCGCTTCCTTTTTGAAACCATTTAATACTCCTAGTAATGCTTTACAATTCATTCAATTGGCTCCCGAGCCACATCCAGCCACCCACTCCTTCATCGCGTTCTATCAGCTCACTCCGGGCATGCCTTTAATGTATGGCATGTAGATGCATGGACGTAGGAGAGTATAGATACCCAAAGATATCACCAAAGATACCCTCTATACCAGGATACCCCAGAGGAGGCAAGTGCTTAGGACATCCGACCCGTAGTCATATACCGCAAGATATCACTCAACGGCACAACCGGCTGTACGGGATGCGCATGGTGAGGCGCAATGTCAAACTCAACCCCATTGCCCCCAGATTTCCGATGAACACCGACAATCTCCATCTCCTCCTCACCCTCATCTTCTTCTTCTTCTTCTTCTTCTTCGTCATCCTCCTCCTCGTCATCTTCCAACTGCTTCCTCAATCCCGTAACAACATTCTGAATCCCCGCCTCGCGCTCCTCAAGCGTGAAATTCCCACCCCAATTCCTCCGCCTAGCCTCCTCGTTCGCTTCAATGGGCGCCCACTCCCACAACTCCGCGAGATCGGCCTCCGTCAACTGTTTCTGCGCCGCTGTCGCCGCGAGACTTGGATTCGCGATTGCGAAGGTGTCGGGTGGTGGTTTCTCTGTTCCTGCGATGCGGCCGCGCTCAACCCAGTCTTCGACCCGGGGGTCTAGTTTTGTGCGGAGGAGTTGTTCCAGGGTGTTGGCTTGTGTGCGGCCTGGGTATTCGGGGCCCGGATAGGCTACCAATGTTGAGAGGAGGTCGCGATGGTCGGAGAGTTGTTCGGAGACGCTGATTAGGTTGTTTGAGATGATGCTTGCTTGGGATTGGAGGGAGGACCTGTGGTTTCCAATTTGCTTTTGTTAGGGACTCGAAGTGTGTGCTTGTGCTTGTCATGGAGGGATGCGCACCACGGTGGGAGCGGGTCGCTTTGGTTTAAGCTTGCGATTAGAGAGCCCAGTGAGCGGGTGAGTTGAGCTAGTCTCTGCCGAGATTGTTCGAGAACTTTTATTTGGTCGTTGGTTAAGGTCGCCATGGCTGAGGGCAGTGTGGGTGGTGGACAAAGGAAGTTGAAAGGTGAAGGTGCGGTGAATTGGAGCGGGTTGGAGTGGGTTGGAGTGGGTGTGGTCGGCGGTGCGGAGATCGAAGCTTCCGTGGACGTCAGGACTAACTGCAGTACTACTAGGAGTAAGTACTACTAGTATTTACTATGTAGTAGCTACACTCTTGTTGTTTTTACTATGATCAAAGCTCTGCCAGTGACTATGCTGTAAATATCCATATTCTCAAAATTTCAGTTTTGCGCTACTCAGGCTCCAGATAGTTATAGACTTCATAAACTTCGAGTTGGAACTATATCCTGGGCTCTTCAGGTAACGTTCCCGATTAAGCACTGGCACAGCATAACTTCCAAGTTAAATTGAATCCTCAGAATTACGGTGAGCTTGAGACAAATTAAGCAATAAAAATACCCAAAAATAACCTCCTTTACGCCAACGCATCACCAAAACTCAACCCATTGGACTCTGAACCCTTGGCGGTGCTTGATGAAACACAGCCAGACTGGTCCAACCAATACGAGAAAGCGCATGAGCACCTCAAACCCCCTTAAGCCCTCGCCAAAACGGGTCCTACCATCCCGTATAAACCCTATCTATGCCATCTGCCATGTTGATCTGTTTATTTTGGGAATTTGGGCTGTTTTACAGCTGTTTCTGCATAGGGGTGGATGGGCAGGGAGGGGATAAATAGGGTTCCCGGTGCCGTCTGGGGGGGTAGACTCTACTACTCCATGACTCGGATCTTTTCAAGTTTTCGCGGTGCAGAAATGTTCGTATTTCTATTCATATTTTCCACTTCGATTCTAATTCGGATCTTTCCTCAGTCCTTACTACTTATACACCATCCAGTCGAAGAACAAGGTGTTTGATATATGCCTTTGCTTTTGAGAACTATGTATTCAAAGGCACTGACGATGCTGAGCTGAGCATGGGATATATGGAAAGCGAAGACAAACGCCATGGAAAAAACCAATAAAAACCAATCATTAAGTTATTCGGATCATATCGAAAAGCCTAAGCGATAGGGCTAATCGAGGGCCACGTCCACGGGTATTTTATCAAACATTGCGAGCGATGACGTACATAAATTGACTCAGCCAGCAGCCAGCAGCCAGCTTCTAGCCTCGCTCAAATTTACAAAGGCCGCTTCTGATCAGGGTCATACGTCTGCAAGCCACCCTGCATCGCATAAGGCTGAGGAATAGGCGGTGACTGCAACCCACCCTGCATCGAATAAGGCTGAGGAATAGGTGGTGACTGCAAGGGAATATCCTCGGTAATTTGCTGCTGAGCAGCGCCCTTCGAGTATTCAGAATAACTCGTGTGATCCGCATACTGCTGCGGAAACTGGCTCGCTGAGGGCTGATCGGAATAATCATATCCATAGCCAACCTCGTGTCCACGGCCATCAGTGTCCACGAAGCCAAGTCCATGTCCGACGCCTCCCCCAAAACCTGCGGCATACATCTCTTCCGCGGCCCAGGATTGTTGATTCGACTGAGGTGTGTTCCACATGTGGCTTTGGTGTCGGCCGCGGCGGTTGCTCTTGCGTCGCCAGCGAATGAAGAAGAAACAACATACGGATAAACCGATAAGAATCACGAGGAACCCTATGATTGGGAGGGCGATTACGAGAGGGAGATTCACACCGGAGTTGCTGGCGCTGGGCGTGCTGAGCGACATGCTTGAGGGGAGGAGGACGGATGTGAAGATTCGCGATGGAGCGATGTCGAATGGGCTGCCTGTTACGGTTTCGAAGTGGCAGTTGTAACGGATGGATTCGAGGTCTGGGGAGAATCAGGTCAGTCTTCTATTTCGGTTCGTATTCCGAGGAGTCTGGCTCCCCCATGGCTGTCGCAACATACAGTTGGCTAAGTAGACTTGTTTTTGGTTCTGAGTAGCGGTCAAGTTATAGCAGAATTCGCACGAGTTCACGACATTATCGGCGAATGTCGATGTTCCGCACCATGAATTGAAATTCTCCGGACTTGGATCTTTCATGTTGGTCTCAACGGCAGGACGGATCGGCTCGCAGGATACTGGGCAGGGCGAGGAGATATTGGAGAATGAGTCAGGATAACCAAAGACGCACTCGGACACTGCATAGCGTAGGTTATCTGGCATCGCATGGTTAGTTCTTGTTATTGCTCATCGCACCGACAGGCGCAACCAGGTCAACATACAGAGCCCCCAGTTTACATCGGTATTTCCACTTGTTCGATCCGCATAGCTACTCTCCAGCAGACAGCTGACACATTTTTCGAACGCCTGGCCTTTCTTCTGGCTATACTGAGAGTCTCAGACAGGCGATCTCGGACGATGTGGTCGTGTTGGTCGATGTACCGCAGACATCAGCGCATGGTGAATTGGGCGAGGTTCGTAACGCAAGAACTGTGGGGAAGACATTGGCGAGAAAGATGATCGCAACAAACGTTGTCAGCGATCTCGAGAATCGCAACTTAACGGATCGACTCATATTGAACAAGCTGAAAGGGACGAGAGCCCGACAGCTTCAGTGTTGATGCGACCGCCACTGGAGACGAGGACGATTGAATGGCCTAACGCCGGGAGTCGGTGATTACACTTTCATAGAAGGAGAAGAAGATCAAAGCAGCAGCGGATGGTAATAATTCAGCTTCAGGGCGCGGGGTTAGTGTAGACAGGAGGACGAGAGGGAGAGCTTCTTTTTTCAGTCAAGCTGCTTTCTCGATATGGGTGGGATGATCGAGTGGAGAGGCCCAACGCCCGACACTCCGTTCGCGACAAGGGGATAGAAAAAAAGAGAGAGAGGAATTCCTGGTCCTGCAGTGTGAACAAGCTTGGTGCTGGGCAAGACGACGTGTGCCGAATCACCGTCGGTCCCCGCACGTTGCAATGTCGGCGCTTAGAGCTGCTCGCCCAGTGGCTGTGGTTTGCCTAGGGGAGGGCCCCATCGAATGGACGAGGCAGCCCAGCCATTGTCGTAGTGGATTGCATTGGGGCGTGACCAGTGTGATGGGGTTGGCGATGTGATTGGCACTAGTCGATTGTGACTGTGACTCGGACTGCAGCAAGCTGCAGCACGGACGGGTGTTCGCTACAGCCCCGCCACTAGTCGTTGGTGGCTGGGCAAGATGGAGAATCAGGACGGAGCAGAGGCTCCATGACGCAAAAAAGACCTCTAGACGAACAGTAGAAACTAAGCATCAAGTGTTTGCCAGGGAGGTGATGCTGTAGGACAGTGGGGGCGTGTAAAAAGTACAAACTAGGGAGATGACACTGGATTCAGATGGATACCCTGGTTGCCTCGAAGTGTGATCTAAGGATTATTCCAGATTTCTCTCTCTATATGTAAATCCTCTTTCTGGTGCCAGTCTTTTACTACTATCATCGGAAATTACGGTTTATGGTAGAGGTACGGAGTATTTATGCAAGTCAGAACTCATTCGTGCGAGGCCTGAGCAGAAAACAGCCTTGGAGGAACGCCGGAGGGACCCGGCGCTAGTAGTGAAGTAGCCAATGAATATAATTCGTGGGAAGATGTAGTAAATACAAATCACATCATGTCTGTGGACTAAATATTAATGAAACCCAGCAGAGGGCAGAGAGTGCTCTTAGCCAGACCTTCGAGGCTCTCAAAGCTCCCCAGGAGAAGGAAAGGAAGAAGAAAGGCGCAAAAATCAGAGTTACCTCCCGCATTGAATATAAAATAAACAGTCTCTAAACACATTACCACCGGAACAAGGAAAGAATTGTGAATTTATGTAGGGTGGGAAATTTGACCATTTAACCGTAGAGTTCATCGTAAGATGGCACCATCTGCCCAACGCCCACTGCTGGGGTAGGCTCGGTCCGATATCTGGGGCGAGGAGCGACTCGCTTTTCAAAATGTGCGTGTACTGCATACCGTGGGGTGTCGGGTGGCAGAGAGGGTGCGGAGACTGAAGATGCGGCTGTATAGCTCGTTCTTCTAGAGCTGGCAGGGCCAGTAATCGACGAGTTTTCGGTCATAGAGCTTTGAGTGCTGATGCGGCGCATGCGAGAGGTAACAGATAGCGGTGGGGATTTGGCTGCGTGGTCTGGATAAGAATCGTAGTCTTCTCGGTATGGCAGACGTGATGCATCGCCGGTAGCATAATTGTGATGTGCTGCCGTTCCTCCTGTATCTCCTAGAGTGTCTCGCTCTTCATCATCCTCATCGCAGGACTCGTCGTCATCAACTGCAACATTATGATCGTTTGGTTCATCTCTTTCATGTCGGGTTCCTGCAATCCCCAACCCTAGGGCTGGTGATTTAGGGCCCTTTTCACGATGCCGGATGTTCTCGTTGAAGTAGCCCTTTGGAATAACAGAATCGACGCGAGTTGGGTCGCTTGGGGTATATTGAGGGGCAGGGCTATTTGAATCGTGACTCTGGCTATGGTCTAATGAGATGTGTTGTCGTGGTTCTGCAGGACGAGGACTCTGAGGTAATCCAGTGGGGGCATTGACTAAAAAGCCCGGTGGCTGATTTTGTTGATTCCATGATCCTTGAGTCGGATAGCTGATAGAAGGATCGCCCCAGCGGGAATGAAGTTCAGAGGAAAGTCTGCGTTTCCGCTTAAACTTTTTCATGAGGCTCGCCATGACCTTGAGAGGATTCTTCATCGAAGGAGCCCAAACGAGCCCGGAGGGAGCCCAGAGAGGGGCTAAAACCCTCCTAATCAGAGAGAAGAGAGACAAAGAATGCCTATTTGCGAATCACAGGGAGGACTGACCACTCCCCGATGCGGTTTTCATCTCAAAGCAAATCAAACTCCCTCCGTAGGGAACCGGTGATTTCAGCGTCAAAGATAAAGAGTCTGATTCAGAGACAAAAGTAGGCCGACGAAGGAAAATGGAAGAACACGCAAGATGACCACATGAGTCAAAGTTATATCAAGCAAACGGATATGTGAAGAAAGACAAGCCAGCCGCCGCATGTCTGTAGCCCCGAGAAGAAAGCGGGAAAGATCTTCTGAAGATGCTTCGCAGGTTGGGTTGGTGTTGGGTAATCCAAATCATCCAGCGAGCAAAAGAGGACCAGGGCCCGATGGGATGGTTCAACCCCTCTGGCGGTGGTCCCAAGACCGCCACTTGGGACGAAGAAAATGTGTGCTCCTTTATTTTCCGGCGCAGTCAACAGCGCTTCTTCGGTCATCCAACGGGCTAACTGCAAGCGCGAGAGAGAGAGAGCGGACGGAAGAAAGAGCCCTGCGGGTCACAAGTGGGATGAAGTTTGGGGGCTATTCAGTGGCTGCAGATGTTGGATGTGCTATGTACAGTTTGCAGGAGTCTAAGAGGGGGTCCGGCCAAGACGAGTGGACGATGCGGGACAAAATCCCTGTCCCTGGTTCGTCTAGCTATGACATGAAATGCCAGTTTTTTTTTCTCGGCGCCCCGGGATGCAGTCGAAGAGAACATGATGGCGAGTCAGGCAGAGGTTGCACATAGTATCGACGCATGGCGCCCACCGTCATCTTGGCATGGCGCTTGTCCTGGGATCTGCGCCTGTGTACGACGCTTCCAAAAGCCCCCCAAACTGGATCGATGCACAGAGACAGTGACGATCAGGCTTCGGCCGGAAGTACTAGTACTGTATGTAGCAACATGACAGGGTGGCTGAGGATTGGATGTTAGATGGTCCTTCCCCTTGTCATCTGCGCAGCAGCAATGGCATGTGCAACGGCAAAGCTCATGAGCGACAAGGCGCACATACAGCTCTCGGGATGATTGCCAATCATACCCTTCTCACGACGAGCCTCTTGTACATAGACGAAAAAAGGTCCGCTCGTTGACAGGGATCAAAAGAGGGGGCGGGGCGAAAAGGAGGATCCGCCGTCGACGTTGACGAAAAAGCGTCCATGTTTCACCATGGCGCAGTTTAATCCCTGCAACGGAGTGGATTTAAGAGCCGGTGAGTGGAGATCAAGTTGACCGAGAGATTCATGTCTTGGGGATCGCTCTCATCTTGGATTCTTTGTCCAGTGTATACTCCGTATACTCCGTATACTCCGTAGGTCCAGTGGGATATCCTCAGTGCCACCGTGCACAGTCCCTGCCTTGGATCAAGGGACATCTTGGTTCGAAAAGCAACAAGGTTAGATCGTCCCGTTAGTCCTCGTGGCAAGTCTTCCGGGAGCTTATCTTTAGGCGCCGTGGGGTGGAGGGTTGCAGCGAGGAGAGGGGGTTAGATGCATAGGGTTCTCACGGGGAAACAAGGGAAGTGGGAAAGGCCAAGTGACAAGCTGGATGCACGATCGACAGAGGCACAGGCCTCAGGCGTCTGTTTGGGGGACAGTCTCGATCTTTCGCATTGCGGGGATCGACGGTGGGAGCAGTGGAGATTCTAAGTTGTGATTTGACGGACGAAGCTCTCGTGGAGTCGAGGTTTCACTTTAGATTGCTCGACTCGTGCACGGAGCAGCTCGGTGGACAAGCGCCAGGCTAAAAGATGCAATCCTTCTGGAGGAGCGGACTTTTTCTTCTTTTCTTCCCTTTATTCAAACTATTTGGAATCAATATTCATTTATGTTTTGATTTTTGTAAAATAAATCCTAATGAGAATCATAAGCATCCCTTGCCAGGGATTAACGCCCAACGCCTTCTTGCTCATGACAGTCGTAAAAATGAAGAAAACCTTGGAAGAAGTAGACTCCATCAAAGGAATATACCCCTGTCCCTTCCTCATTATCCCATCATACTATCATCCCATAGTCTCATATTCCCATCACCCTATCACCCTATCACTCTATCACTTAATTTAACCAAAATTCGTGATAAGTCGTGACAGCACCGGCTTCGCCCGGCGGGGTCCCCGTGTGCCTTGTTGTGGCATAGGCTCGGAAGCGCTTCGTTCTCTGCCTTCTCCTGATCGGGACCGCGATTCAGAGACATGGGCCGGAAAGGGCATGGCAGACTGCCGTCGTGCAGTCGAAGTGGAGTACCCAGACTGATCGGCCGTTCGTTGGATTGTGATTGACGAGCGGCCATCGTTGTAATGAACATTGCTAAGACGGGACGGTTGGCCCCTACTAGGATATGTAGTATTGGATGTGTAGGGATCGGCGCTCGGGGTTGATATAGGTCTTATTGGTTGATATTTGGATGGATCGTACGTTGGTAGGGAGGGCTGATCCATCGAGGCTCGCGGCAAATACTGCGACTGGCGATAGTCTGGGGCAAACGACGAGAGTGGCCGGGGATGGGCCGATCGTGGATGATCATGATAGTTGTTTCTTCGGCTATATGCAGGGGGGACCTGGACCTCTGCGGCGCGCTCCGCCTCTTGGTTCTTTCTTTTGGCTCGCTCCTTCTTGGAGAAAAGGTACAGTAGGCCCGTCACTAGTTTGGGGATGGAAAATGTTAGCGTGCATTATCACCTTCCTCCAAGTGGTGAAGCGATGCCGGGTACCTACTGGCGAGAATGCCGGCTACCGGCAGTGGCCCAATGAAAAGCACCAAGCAATTGAATTAGGGAGGGTAAGGGGGGCACCGAGGGGAATTCAGGGTAGCTCGTGTGATGAGTGTCGAGCTAAGTAGTCCTCCTGTCCCGATCTAGAAAAAACTAATGACAATGCGAAATTGAAATGAAGCCGATGCAGGGATTGTGCACACCAAACAAGCACCAGCCTACGTTCCCAACCGTGGGCCAGCCCTGGTGATCTGTGGAAAAAGAAGAGAAGACTCCTCAAGGTCTGGTCATTGTGGGATTAATATATGCTATATGCTTATATGCTTATATTTTATACGAGGCTGCCCGCGCGCGCGAAGCTTTAGCTGCCACAAAGGAACTGGTTTCAAGTGAGATGTCTAAATCCAATTTCAGCAACGGAATTAAAGATAGTAATTTACGGACTATAGATAGATCAAAAAGGCCCATAATTAGCCAGCATTAGCCTCGATTAGGCCTTGTTTTCACACCGAGTCCGACCCCGCTGTGCATCGCGTACCGCTGCAGGAAGCATCTCCTGCATGTCGACCAACCACAATCAACCAACACTTAACGGCGCCTCTCACTGGTCCAGTAGTAAGCGCCTCGAGAATCAGTCGAATCAGCACCGGTACTACAATCCAACACCAACTGCTATCCTTTCCGGTTTATACTCCGGTGGAGTCAGGCCTTGCTGTTGCTGCGCCGTGTGTCCCACGATGATTCGAGCGAAATGCAGGTGTACAGAAAGGAAAGCAAAGCAGCACGCAACTTTGTCTGCAACATGACCAACTTGAAGCTCCACTCCCAAATCCAAAGGGTCTAGACAGCGGTAACTCATCAATTGATGTGGACCCCTTTGAAATTATTCCATACTTTTTCGTCCACATACTTCGCATGCTCCGTTGGTTTACTCCGCGTATGCGCGGTAGACCGCCAGTCCCTTGTCGGTGCCAAAGTCCAACGCAACACCTTGCCCAACGAAAAAAACATATCCCTCCTTCAATTCGACGTTTTGGTTCCCAGGGATCTTCATGGTCCCGCACCCCTTCGTAACGATCATCAAACTAGGGCCGAGAATGGCTTTGTGCGTCTCCTTCTCACCTGCTCCAAGACAAGTGCACAAGACCGCAAATTCGCTGATCGGGGGTGCGTATATGTCCGTTTTTCCGTACATTCCCTTGTCGCTCTTTTTCCGGGGCAGGAGCGCGCCCTGGGCGTCATGTGGGATGAATGAGAGAGCTCGTCCGAAAAGCTCGACGCTGTCGCGATCCGTAGCTGGGCAGAAACCTGTATTGATAACATTGTCTGATCGGGCCATGCATTCCACGATATCACCTTCTAGGTATGCATGAATGCTGTCGGCTGGGACGAAGACTGAATCGCCAGGTCCTAGGGTCAGATAATTCATGAGTAGAGCTGCGACAAGGTTGCCATTGTCGCATTCGGTGTATTGCTTGCTGAGTCGGTCTAAGAGACCTGGTATGTATGGATCTGGTCCGAAATGGGCCTCGGGGATTGACTGTAGTTCCTTGATGGTTGTTGCCACGGTGCTTGGGGAAGCGCTGAGCAGTTTCATGCACACCTGTCGAAGCGTCTCGTCATTGAACTCTCCTGGTGGAACGAACTTCTCCAGCGGGTTAAGTTTGAATAGTGTTTGAATGTCTTTGAGTGGTTTCCAGCCTGCGAACAGCTCAAATTTGGACAATGCAATAGCAATCTCGGGCTTGTGGTTGGTGTCGCCGTACTTATTCGGGTCTTCTGCGTGAAGCTTTGCGGCGAGTGTCAAGTCCGGGTGGATTTGGAGCGGCAATGCTTTGCTGAAGGATAGGATCTGACTTGTCAGTTGGATGCGTTATATGCTTGGGGTTATAGGCCCTCGTACCTTGGGTAGAAATGGAATTTCCGGTCCGAATCGATCCAGGACTGATTTTCCCACCAGCTGAGGATTCTTTTTCAAGTAATCCCCAAGTTGTTCGCCACTAGAAAGGAGATAATTTGGATTGGATAAATATGTTCCCATCCACATCTAGAGTCATATTAGAACCATTTAAGGATTATGGCGCAGGAACAAGTTGACTTCGGAGTATGTTTGAGATTCATCAATCTGCCCGGAGCCCGGTGTTTTAGACCACAATTGAGCGACAACCGAATTCTTTCCTTTCTTTCCCCAATCGTCATTCTATTTCGAAGTGTTTCAGCATGGTCAATGATTTCTTTCCTATCACTGGGAGGGAGGACAGAATTACCTTTACTCCGCATCGGAGTTGGACCACAGCATCCGCCATGAAAGCCTTTAGTGAGATGAAGAATTATTTAGCTTCCGAAAATGAATATCTTTTTCGACAGGTAGACTGTTCGAAAGTGATGAGAGGTGTCGCAGTAATAGCCCTTTGATGCTATGAGGCAATTTCCGTCCTGCCGTCATGGTGACCATCTAGCCACTGTAGCTAACTCTCGTTCGAGGCATTCCATTTTACTGAGACTTACAAAGATCTCCAGAGGGATATTGCGCCCACCAATGAATGCCACGAGATAAAATGCTCAAGTATGGTTCAATTATGGAAATTCGATAAGATTGACGTCAGCTGTGGGCGCAATGAATGCGAACATAGATGAAATACGGTCCATTCGAACCCTACTCTCGCGCTTGAAGCTAATTGTACTATCTTTTTACAAGTGAGTATTCTCGAAGAGTTCAATTTAGGTCTGGATGTCGAAATATATCTCGGTGAAGCTGAAATATAATGAAAAGCCTACCAAACGCCTGTTAATGCCAACATTCTGTACTCCCACGCCGTGATAAAAACCCAAACAAAATCAAACAAATAAATAGAGTGTCGTGGATCTCTCCGATCTTCATATATTTTCTGAGACATTATCATTCATAAAGATCCTCAGGGTCAGGAACCATAGCCATAGTCATTGGCTTCAATGAGGAAGACCTTTTTCGATCGGCTGCCACGAACGGCGAGGTCCGTCTTCTGGGAGGCAGTCCAAAACTTAACCGGGAGCCAGAGCCGTCAGAGCTACCTCCAATGCTAGACCGCAGGCTGCGGCGATCATCCTCCACATTTGAGGGCCATTGCTCAGAAGGCTCTTTGCTTATAATAGATTTGCGACCACGGTCTGCTGCATCGAAGGGATTCGAGAAAGAGTCCCGTCGTTCGCGAGGACTGTGAAAGGATTGCGCTGATTGACTTCGAGGCGATGGGATGTCCTCGAGGTATGTGCCGTTCGTGGGGATGTACCGGAAGCGAGTACTGGTACTCCCCGGTTGATCGGTGACCTCGGCAGTATAATCTTTGCGTATTGGCTTGTAGGCAAAGTCTCGTCGCTTTTGATCATCTCGGCTCTCCCTTTCGAACGTGCTTTCTCCCTCTAGTTGCTTCGGGCGAGATGCCAAGCGCACGGAAAGTCGGCCAGGTCGCAATGCTCCCAGAGATAGTGAGCTTCGTCTAGAGACAGAAGGCCTCTCAGAGGATATTTCTTCCTTTCGATCCTCTGTATCCTCATCTTTCAATGGGTTTCGGGTTTGATCAGATGGGGAGATATCTGGGATAAATCCCGGTCCGTATAGTTGGCGCCCCTTGGCTGGCCGATGAGGATTATCGTATTGATTCCATGAGCCATCGGTGGGAACAGAGATGGCCACGTCGCCCCAGCGAGTGTGAAGAGGCTTGGGGTTCTCCGGTTTGCGGAAGATGGCGAGGGGCTTCGTGACGGCACTGCTCATTCTGGACGATGAGAGGGCAATGGGTCTCCGATTATATGCAGTGGCTTTTCCTTTGAGGCAGCAGATAACATCCGTGCACTCTATTATAGATAATATGTATTGAAAAGACAAGAGAGGGAGGAGCTCGACCAAATATCTTTCAGATCTCGCGAACCACCAGGGGTGACGAACGCCGGGGAAGCCACCGACGTCGAGAGATCAACAAAGGCCCTTCTTACCCGACCCTAGACCTTCACGTTCTCGACTGCACGAATGACTGCATGAAAGGGACAGGTCAAACCAACAGAGAGCGAGTCGCACACTCGGATTGGGCACACCAGGATCTTGGTGAGCAAGGATGTCCAAGATAGTGGAGGTGGCGAGCCAGTAAATGCAGCAAGATAATTGAGCTGTAAAGACCAAAAGCAAACAGGCAAAGGCGTAATCAATGAGAAACACAAGAAAGTCAAAGGATGAGCATCTGACTTCCTCTGAAACTAGTCAAGAGAAAGAGAAACTGGCTTGACAAAAATTGTCTGGGCTTTGGAAGGCGCTCTGATATAAAGCTTGTTCATCAACGGGTCCGGTGCACTACTCGCCGCGTAGCTGATGAAGCATAAGTCCGAATGCATGTCGCGGTGCATCGCAGCTGGATACTAACCAGTCCACCAATACATCAAGCCCTGGAGTGCCTTGCCGCCGGAACGGATGCAGCGGAGCGGGGCGATCGGCGGGTTGGCAAGGGACTTGTTCCTTAATTAGCAGCAATTAGCTGCATCAATTTGGGATCTGGCCCCCAGAATAGAATCTTAGTTGACATTAATCACCCCGCTTTACATTGCAACCCTATATTATGCAGGCTAATTAAGGATATTTTTAGCAAATTCAGCTTTGACAGCTCCCTGAAGACTGCTGAATTATTCTGTGTTCAGTCTAGACTGAAAGCTTCGCCGACGGAGTTAGATGAAAGGTTTATTGTCCTCCTATTTGTCATAGTTTACATTGAGAAGGCATATTTGTTTTCCACCACGCTCTACAGAGTAGCATTGTTACAAAAGGGCTAGCTAGGGTGAAGCGGGGCTGATACGCGTCCCACGCCGAGAGAGGTGGAGAGATGGAGAGAGATGGAGAGATGGGGAAACGAGGGGCAGGCATAATGATGAAAATCAATTTCACCAGATCTGCGACATTGCTTCTCAGCTCTAGAATTCCAATCGTAGCCAATATTTTGTTCCTGGCTACCAGGGGCTGATGCCTATGACAGGCGTTCAGCCAAGCCACTCAGTACACCATGCCCCCAGTCATCATAGTTGGCGGAGGTCCCGTGGGGCTCATCTCCTCGATTCTCCTCTCCCTTCAAGAAATTCCAAATGTACTCTTCGAGCGTCACCCTGGAACATCGATACATCCAAAAGCATGTGGGTTGAATCAGAGAACGATGGAAATCCTCCGCCATATTGGCGTGGAAGACGAAGTGATGCGCCAAAGTGCACCTCCGGAAACCGTTAGTCGCACGGTGTGGTACACCAGTCTAGGGGCTCACGGACGGGAAATTCACAGTCGCAATGCGTGGGGGGGGAGGGGAATACCGAACTCGATATGAGGAGGCTAGTCCTTGTTCTTACAGGATTCTCCCGCAGATTCGCCTGGAGCCGATATTGCTCAACCGGGGACGAGAGCTGAATCCAAATGGATTTAAACATTCCACTGATGTTATTTCTGTCACCGAAACGTCGGACAAAGTTGTTGTGACAGTACAAAACAAAGATGGCACCCGCGAAGATTGGGAGGCAGACTATGTTCTCGGTGCTGATGGAGGTCGCATGATGGCCGATCAGCTGGGCCTCGCGTGGGAAGGTGAGAAAGACATCTTTGACATGGTCTCGGCTCATTTCCATGCCCCCCTTTCCACCATTCATCCCAATCCCAACGCCTTCATCAGCTGGTTCATCAATCCGTCGCTCGGAGGTAGCATCAAATCGGGGTATCTATACCCTCTCGGTCCATTCCCATCGGACCCCGACACTGAAGAATGGTATTTTGGATGCGCAATGCTACCAGATGACCCGCAAAGGTTCGATACCGATGCGATGGTCAATCGAATCCGGAAGACGCTTGAACTTCCCGACCTCGAGATCGAGCTTCGCAGCGTCAGTCACTGGTACGTTAGCAGCATTGTGACGGAGCACTTCCGCAGCAAAGGAGGGAAAATGTTCTTAATTGGAGATGCGGCCCATAGGATTCCGCCCTGGGGAGCTCTGGGTATGAATACCGGAGTTCAGGATGCTTTCAATTTGATCTGGAAGCTTGCGTTCACGCTGCGTGGAGTTTGGAAAGACCCGAATTCGCTCCTCGATACTTATGAAGGAGAGCGACGGCCAATCGCTAAAGGCGTCGCCTATTCTAGTCTGTTCAACCTGCGAAGCCATGGAGATGCAATGGACCGAGCGATTGGTGTGTCTCCAAATCAATCAACTGAAGAAAATCAATCGGCTATGAAAGCTTTTTTCAGCAAAGAACATCCTGACTATCAAAGGAAGCAGCTTGATGTCCAGGGTGCTCAGACAGTTCTCGATGGCGAATTCTGTGCACTCGGAACCGAAATGGGCTGGTTCTATCCTTCAGTCGATACCAAGAATGAAGGAAAACCATTAAGACATGGCGGCCAGATTCGTGAAGATGGTGAATTCGACAACATCCACTACCATCCTTCAACCATCCCTGGTCATCATCTTCCTCATCTTTGGTTGCAGCGGGGGAACATCACCATCTCTACTCGAGACTTGCTCCAGCCGCAACATTTCTTGCTTCTAGCAAATTCTCCCGTGAAGTGGAATTTTCTCGAAGAATTTCATATACCGTATCGACTCGAACTTATTGATAGTTCAAATGGCTGGAAAGTCTCAGAGGGAGCTTGGAAAGAATTGTTTCCGGCAGGTGAGAATGGCGCTGTTCTCGTGCGGCCAGATGGTATTATAGCTTGCAGGGGCAACCCTGATGACTATGAGTTGCAGTTCGGGCTTTAGATTTAGATAGATTGATATAATTAGCTTGGGAAAGTCGAGGATAAAAGGTTCACGTACAAGTTGCTGCCTAATTATCGAGAGCGTCGGCCAAAATGAACGGGTCTTCAGCATTTCCTCGTTTAGCGCCCCAGTCCTTCTGCTTCTACAATGACTCACCCAACACCGATTCACCAAAAAGGGATTCCTCCAAATGCTCGAGGACAGCTGCTTGTCGCAGTTTCAACCATCATCTGCTCATCCGACGAAGCAGGAGTGGATTTCACGACGGGAGAGCTCAGCGGTAATAGCACAGTGGGAAGCTGATCTGGATGTAGATGAGAGTGTGCTCAGTTACGACTGTTTGCGACTAGGATTAACTGGTGAAGCGCAAAGAAAATACATTGAGTCGGTGTTGAATATCTCTAATGTTACAACCCAAATTCATGAGATATGGAATATACTAGGTCATGGCTGGGATTATGATGCTGAAAGTCTTCCGAGCGAGGAGGAGTATCCTATTTCGAACGGACATATCATGTCTGTGTTGGCGCCGCCCAAGCGCTAACTTGAGTGAACCCTTATTTCGCTGTCCAATAACTATGTGGTGACATGTTATAACACGCATCGGTATACGAAGTACCTACGTACCGGATTTCCCATGCAAAGTCTTGGCTGCAGTCTGCAGGCTCCTGGGAACAATTTGTCTAGTTTGTCTTGGTATGCTGCTTCTCGCAGGTCAAAGGCCAGAAAGTATAGGGAGCCAATCTTCTACAACTTTCAATTAGATCTACATGTGTTGGAATCATTCAACAGAGGAGTAGTTTGTAGTCATGCAATAGCCTCTTTGCAGTTGAATGCTACTGACGAGAATGATCTTGTAGGAAAATTAATCCTACAACTCGGCCGATCAGGGATAGGGCAAGATTACTTACAGTGGCCAATAAGCAGGAAATAGGGTCATAACGCTTTACTGCTCCCAGGAGCTTGAATTTTGATTATTACTTTCACTTTTTTTCGCCTACTCCTACTGATCACGGATCCTGGGAGCTAAGAGGGTACAATAAGCCTCGTAATTATCTTGAGGGCCTACGAAAAAGCCACGCATCAGAAGCCATATTCAATACACACATATAACTTGGAGAGGTTCCCAGGGATAATTCCTAGTAAGAGCTCTAGGCGTAGCCAACCAACGTTATATCCAAAAATCATTAAAGCATCCACAAAGCCTCCCAAACAAATCCCCAACATGCCCTGTGTATCAGCTTACTCCTTCACTTCAACATGAACAGTAGCCGCCTTGCCCCCCGACTCCTTGGCTTGCTCCTTCATATCCGCAACAGCAATCTCACCAATATCAACCGCGTCATCGCCATCGAAGTACTTGGCGATTTCCTCCATGGGAGTATACCGGGTTTCGATCAAGAAGGTGTAGATAACGAAGACCTCCGCTCCAAGGAAGACGCAGTAGACAATGTAATACTTCCAGCCAATGGCGTCGAGGGCAATCGCGTTGATGTACTGGTTGAAGAAGAGGGCCGCGGTGACGCAGAAGTTCAGCCAGGTGAAACCCTTGGCACGGAGACCGTAGGGGAGAATTTCGGTGGTGTAGGTTGCCATCAGACCGGATCTGAGAGGAAACCTAATGTTAGCGGCTGTTGGTATAAGACTTTGTTAGATGGATGAGTACTTACTTTATATCGTAGAATACTCCGTAGAGAACGGTCAGGACGACGAAGATGTATCCCAGCGCCTGATTAGCCGCGATCGCGTACCGAGCTGACACGATAGTCCATGCATTGAAGACCACGAACGTGCCAACCGTCGAAACCATGTAGACCGGTCGTCGTCCCAACCTATCGATGAAGAAGGCCAGGGTGAAGTTGGTGATCAAGGCCTCGGACTTGATACCAGCGTTGATTCCAAGCTGCGTAGAGGCCTTGGTGATACCAACACTGTCCATAACTTGCTTGAGATAGTAAGAGATCAAACCATTGCCACTCCATTGACTGAAGAGACCCAGAGCGGTGATTAGACCAATTCGCTTGCGGTTGCCCTTGGTCTTCAAGAAGTCAACCCAGCGAGTTTGGTCAATACCCTTGTCCAGATCGATGGCGGCCTTGATCTCGGCATACTCCAGGTGCACAAATGCGTCATCCTGGTCTCCCTCGCCATGGTACTTGACGAGAATTCGCAAGGCTTCATCGTGTTTTCCCTTGCTCATTAGCCAGCGGGGGCTTTCTGGCATGAGCCAGATACCGCAAACGATGACAATGGTGCAAATAGCCTGCAACAGGCTGGGCAGACGCCACGACCAGTCGCTCTATGGAAGAAAGAGTGTCAGTCGAGAACAAGTATATCCTCGGTAGCTGTTTGGCGATGATACATACCTGAATCTTCAATGTACCCAATGTCACCCAGCTAGCAATGAACGCACCAGAGTGATAAGAAGCACCACTAAGCGTGACAAGAACGGCACGATCTTGAGGATGCGCAATCTCCGCAATCAAAAGCGGAGCACTACCAAGAACAAGACAATCACCAAATCCAATAAGCAGACGAGCAGCAATGAACATGCCAAAGCCAGTAGCGCCAGACTGCAAACCAACAGCAAGTAACATAATAAGACATCCAACGAAACAACCCAGCCTACGGCCCCAGGCATCAATCATGTAAGGCACAACGAATAGACCGAGCAGAGAACCAAGACTCATGGAGGCATTAAAGAGACCAAGAAGCGAGCCGTGAGGGTGCCCGAAGTATTCCTGCCAGTAGGAAAGAGTTTGGAGACCGTTCATCATGGAACCGTCGAAACCGTTCGCGGTGTTGGTCATGATCAGGATGACGATGTAGATGTACAGGGTCCGCATGTTCTTCCTCTTCCACCATGGTACGCGCTTGAACTCTTGGTGCGCGAACAAGAAGTGTCCCTTTGTCGGCTTAACCGGTAGGATCTTCTGGCTCGGCTTCGGGGGCCGGAATCGCAACGCCATATTGCTGTAGCGTGCGCTGGACTGGATGTAGGTGAAGATGAGAAAGGCAAAAGAGGTGTAACAAGTTAATGAGTCCACTTTTCACTGCAGTCAGGGATGAAAGGGAGCTTTTAATCAGGAAAAAGGCCCCTCTTATGAATTTCGAGACAGCTATGAGCTTGACAACCCTTGTCCTCCGTACAGATGGTGGCTTGATCGATTCCCGGCTGTATTGTCCCCCAACTGGGCTTGTCACGACATGTTGCCACCCCATTTAGTGTTGGCGAATAGCTTGAGCTGGCCAATGGTTATATTTGCCTGTTCTGCATTTTACCGAAAAGATTGGCATTTTCTTGGTATGCTCGCATCCTTGACGCGCTATCACTTGGGTTCATGATCCTTCATACCTCGGCGGTGCATACTCCAGACCCCGCAGGCTGTGGGGGACTGGGGGTGGAGACTTGGGAGACTTAGGGTTAGCGGTAGACACTTGCGGGGGCCCGAGAGAGGCTGCCTAGTCCAGCTAGGCCTTATTTGGTAAGAGGACGATTAACTTAAGGTTAGTTTAACTGGGTTTAACTGGAGGTCGAAACTTACAGTGATACCGCCGGCAAGTGGAGGGTTCAGCATTACCCGAGCTTGAGAGAGCGTTTACTTGCTTTGATTTTAATCTCAGCCACTTTACTAGTTAAGCTTGCCGGGAAAAGCGTGCAAGTTACAAACATGTCGATCTAGTAGTCAGGCATAGCATGTAGTTAATATTCATTAAAGCTTTGATCGACACGGAGATGCAAATCCCCTCTTTTTAAGCGGCTTCTCTATCCGCAAACCCGCTGATAATCAACAGCCTAACCGATTGCTCGCCCAGTAATTGCCAAGAGGAGCTATCCATGTGATTCCTTTGACTACTGTATGTACTATTCCTTTCGGAGCAATTGTGGGGGAGAGCCTCTTTTGGACCTTGAGCTCCAATTTAGCCTATACAGCGTGCTTGGCATCCCTGCTTGGTGGCCTATCAACAGCCTAATTTACCCCCTCATCCAGCTGCATGCAGCTAACAAAGCCATGTATTGACCTGTAAAAATATACATTTGGAAGCCAAATTCCCCTCCTGGCTTATCTTTCCTTATCAAGTCATGACTCTACAGTGCAGCCCAACTCGGATAGTGGTCAGGTCTCGTCGTGTATTGGCTAGCTCCTGCGGGACTATGTCCCGGAACTTGCTTAAATTTCAACTGTACCCCTCTCATACACGATCGAGTAATATTTGGCCAAACATGGCGAATCGGTGCTACGCGAATACTTAGCATGTGGGCTAATGGGGTGAATGCGTGCTGTAGAATATCCGGGAATATGACACCTGTGAGAGTGTCTGGAACAGAAGGCGCTAGCTAGTCCTGGCTAATAGCAAGCGGAGTATCTCAATTGGCATATTTAAGTATTTTACCCAAGGCGGGATGAAGTGAAAGAACATAGATTATCCCTCTAGCCTTCATTCTCTTTATTGCGTGAGCTAGCCATGTCGGATACAGTCAACCCTATCATCTCAGGCTTCGCGCCCGATCCATCCGTGGTCTTGGTGGGCGACTGGTTTTATCTCGTCAACTCCAGTTTCCACGCTTTTCCCGGTCTTCCTATCTACGCCTCTCAAGATCTGGTATCATGGAAGCAGATCGGTAAGTCTCCCGGTCGCTTAGTAGATGGGAGAGACAATTCGAGCTTCCGCTAACGTGCGAGCGCACAGGAAATGCAATCCACCGCCAATCCCAGCTTAGCCTCGCAAAGTCGCAGGCAAACCTCTATCCGGTAGATGATGGCAAGTTCTTGGTCGGGAGTGGAGGCCTATACGCGCCCACGATCCGTCATCACCAGGGAAAATTCTATGTCGTCTGTACCAATGTCATCCGTGCAGAGGGAAAGAACAGGGACGCGACGGAGAATTTCGTAGTTTCCACCGATGATATCTGGTCAGGCACATGGAGCGACCCGGTCTACTTCGAGTTTGAGGGAATCGACCCGAGTCTTCTGTTCGATGATGATGGAAAAGTCTACCTGCAAGGGTCCGGTGGAATAGGCCCAGGCACCACGATCAACCTCTTCGAAATCGACCTCAAGACCGGCGCAAAATTGACCGAGGAAGTAATCATCTGGAACGGCACTGGTGACATTTATCCCGAGGGGCCGCACTTGTATAAGGTCAAGGGCTGGTATTACTTGCTCATCGCGGAGGGTGGTACCCATGGCGGGCATATGGTGACGATGGCACGCTCTCAGAATGTCTTTGGCCCGTATGACTCGTGTCCAAGCAACCCCGTCCTCACGGCGCGTGGTACTCAAGAGTATGTCCAGTATACCGGCCACTGTGAACTCTTCCAGGACAAGGAGGGCCAATGGTGGGGAACCTGCCTTGGAGGCCGTCTAGAGGACCAAGGGAGATGCCCCATGGGCCGCGAGACCTTTTTGACCCGGGTCGACTGGGAGGGCGACTGGCCGGTCTTTGATCAAGTGAAATTGAGCCCCCGTAGCCTTTCAGCAACCCGTTCGAGCTCGCACCTCACGGCTGAAGCTGGGTTGGACTATCTCTACATTCGAGATGCTATCATGAGCAATTATCGGATCGAGAATAACCATTCATCCCTGACATTGATTGCATCATCGGTCGATTTGTCCCACCCGACAGACAGCCCGACCTTCATTGGCAAGCGGCAACGGGAATTATCCGGCAGCAGCTCTGTGGTCCTCGAAGGAATCGAGGGTTCCTGGAGCTCTGCAAAGATCCAGGCTGGTCTCGCCTGTTACAAGGAAGAGCACCGCTTCTCAAGAATATACTACGACCCTTCTCAGCAAGCGGTGGTTCTTGAACTGGTCAATGCTGGCCAGAAGATCGTTCAAACTGAGAAACATACTCTCGAGGAAGTCCCTCGCTCGCTGCTTTTCCGGATAGAGTACACAGAGAAGCAGTATTCCCTGCTTTATTCATTCCAACCTCACGTTAGAAATGACTGGACGTGCCTTGGAACGGTTGATACTTTGGACATGACTGATCCTGATTTTACTGGCCCGATTATTGGCGTCTACGCTGTTGGGCAGACGAAGGGCGTGCAAGTTCATTTTGAGGGTCTTAGTGTCGAGTAAATGTTAGAATCGAGAGAATTGATACCTTTTTGTTTCTCACACCTTGGCGCCACGATGGTCTAGTTAGACTATTGAGGACGATACAAGCACTTTTCAGAAGTAAGGTAGGCTTCAGGTAGTCTGGACCATCCGATACACTGGAGAGGCACTAGTTACTCAATCGAATTGAACCATTTTAACTATTATTCCTGTTAAATCCAGCCGGTCACGGTCCATCTACAGGTGTAATTTTCTCAATAGAAGAAACAGAAGACTTGTATTCTATAGTAGGGCCTAAAGGCACCAACTCTTAAGCAGGCTTGTCTACTTCATGATTTGAACTTTGAAAATTTCAGTCATTAAAGCCCCGGGCCAAGAAGAGCACATTTCACAAAAACTAACTATGTGCTTCAGTGGACGCTGGCTGAATATGAACGGGCACAGTAAAGTTATACTGTGCATCAGGCGTAGGGAGCGTCTCAATAACCGCTGGGCTACCCTTCAATGTAAAATCGAAAGTCAAGTCCTCGGAGTTGTCCAATGCAATCTTGTAATGCCCTGGGAAAATAACGAGACTTCCATTCTCATCAGCTCGTGCCAGTGAGCCGAGAGTGAGAGGCAAGTCTGCCACTTGATCGCTTCCGTGAGCAATATTGTGGAGACGCACGTATGACAAAAGGGACTTGTTTGGTCGTGGAGCCGGGCCTGCATCCTTGCTGGAAAGGAACAGCAAGCTAACGTAGTCAGAAGTTTCATGACCCAAATTTTTGACTCGTGCCTTGACAGTGGTAAAGGGTGTGTTGTCGTTGATCGAACCGCCAGAATTTCTTTGGCATGAGGCAACAAGGTCCTGAATATTGTATTCCTGGTTTAAAGTCTCTTCCCAGTCAAACTTGAATTTTGTGTAGTGAAGACCGTAGCCGAATGGGATCACCGGCTTTCCGGTGTACCATTTGTATGTTCGTCCGGGATATGAATCTTTAGGGCGAAGGTTGATGTCGAAGATATTTACTTGGTCGGCATAGCTGGCGGGATACTGCGTGACTGGTAGTCTGCCAGCAGGTGATCGTTTGCCCACAAGGACATCAATAAGAGCAGTGCCTCCGCTTTGACTGGGATATCCCGCCCAAACCAGAGCTTGGATATCTTTGTTCTTCAAAATGGCGCTGTCATCAACCTGGCCGCCTCCGAATTGGACAACTACCATTGGCTTCGAGAGCTTGGACAAGCTTTTGATGAGATCGAGTTGGTTTCCAGGCCAAGCGAGTGAAGTCCGATCAAGCGTTTCGGACTCGAGGGAGTTGTCGATGCCACCAAGATAAACAATCAAATCAGACTTCTTTGCGGCTGCTAGAGCTGCTTCAAATCCAGTAGTATTCTGATTATTGATTGCTGTACCCATGGCATAATTCACTTTCCATCTCGGGTCGCTCTCAAATGCTTCCAAAGGGCTGATCAAGTATGGTGCATCACCAGAGTAATCGCCTTGCATTTGAGTCGTCGCGTTTGCGAATGGTCCAATCACCGCGACACTCTTGAATTTATGCGGAGAGTCCAAAGGAAGAAGGTCGTCATTTTTGAGAAGTGTCATACCTTCGACTGCAGCCTCATACGCGAGAGCCTCTGCCGCAGGGGTAGATACGTCCGAGAAATCGAGATGGTCATACTTTCCGCCATCGAAGAAGCCGACCGTAAACAATGCGGAATATAGTCTTGCCAAGGACTGGTCCATGACTTTGACTGAGGTCTGCTTTGCTGCGAGAGATTCGTTCAGCTTCAGGTATGAGGAACCACATTCCAAATCAACACCGGCATTGAGAGCAACGGAGGCTGCTGCTTCTTCGGTGTCGGTAAAGTTGTGGTATTGCCAGATATCTGTGACTGCGCCGCAGTCAGACACCACGTAGTGATAGTCTGCATTGAAATTCCAGTGCTTTCTGAGTACCTCATCAAGAAGGTATTCATTCGCACAGGCTGGAATGCCGGAAACCGAATTGTACGAACACATAATGCTTCCCACATCCGTGTCACGCACGCAAGTCTTGAACGGAGCCAGGAAGTAATCACTCAGATCCTGCTGGGTAGGGTTGTAGTTATTACCATATCTGCCCGTCTCCAAGTCGTAGACCGCGTAATGCTTGCATGTTGCAATGACCTGCTTGTTCTTCGGGTCATCGCCCTGAAGTCCCGGAACAAAATTGCGAATATAATTCTGTGCGACAAAAGCATCCTCACCGGGCGTCTCTTGCCCTCTTCCCCATCGAGGATCCCTGAAACCATTGATATTCGGGGCCCAGAAATCGAATCCCGAAAATCCATTGTTGCCAAATGCTCGTCCTTCTTTGCCAATTACTTCAGCGATTTTCCGAATCAAAGCGTCATCGAAGGAAGCCGCTGTCAGGATCGGTGCAGGGAAGCTTGTGGCATAGCTGAAATTGGCTGGTTTGGAAGTGAATTGCACACCCGGTGCAGAGCCAACACCATGCGTTGCCTCACTCCACCACTCGTAGGAAGGCAAGCCGAGGCGGGCAGATCCGGCTGAAGCATCCACAAGATTGAGGATCTTTGCCTCCAGGGTCAGGGATTTGACAAGCGAATCGACTCTCTCTGCAATGCTCAATGAAGTATCACAGATAGGCTGACTGCAGAGGGGCTGTGTTTGGCACGCTGGCACGAATTTAGTGTTCACTCCGCCCCCTTGTGGATTCGAGATCTTATACAAAGACATACTAAATACAGTTCCACGATGTTAGCACCTTGTTCTCTTTTGAGTCTTGCATTTGACTTACACATAGCCTCCTCCACATGAGCTGGATGGTTCAGTTGCGCATTTCGAGCTGCAGCTGCCGTCATCTGTCTTGGTCGCGAGGCTGAAATCGGGCTCACTCCCACAGAAACATTGCCTATTTAGGGGTCAGCTTGCGAATCAACGGTTCTATCGATTAAAAGACAGTTCGCTTACGTTCCAAACTCGATGCCACCATAAGCAAAACCTCGTTGACCGCACCAGTTGGCACAGTACTGAGGCGTCATACCAATGGTGCTAAGTTTCGCTGCCGTTAAAATGCTCACTTTGTGATCTAAGTAACACCCAACGTAGCTTTTTGAGGCATCGTAGGCTGCCTTCGATGCTGAATTGTCACCATTGCAGACAGATGCTGCCTGGACGCCGGTGTGTACTGCTATGAGAGATAGCAGTACTGTTGCACCAGCGCGCAAGGGCTGAGATGGTGCCATGATGATTCCCTTCCAATTTCTGCGCCCAAAAACACAGGAGACTCGTAGTCTTTACCCAGGAAAAATTTATAGGATAATAACTCACTCTCCAGGGCTATGATGAACAAGTCTACGTGATTGCTGGATACTTAAATATGTGCTGCTGCATATTGAAGTCCCTGCTTAAAGAATTTTGTCATCGATCCCTAGGCTAAATTACGGATTTCATAATTAGTCGGATATACTCCGACTCGAGGCCCGGGATGCTTCTTCTTGGCTCGTCTTGAAGATTTCCGGTGTGGAACGAGGGGCAGGTAACAATTCACTCAGAACGGGCCATCGGTTGTCTTCCCCACATACTCCGGTGACAGGCCCGGGACTAGTTATACGTTGACATAACACCAATGCCAGCGCATAACACACCCGTACAGATTCCAATGGTCGAAGAATAAATATTAAAGTGCTTGATGGAAGCTTCTAGATTATTGTTTTATTGCAGAACTTAGTAACAAACCTGTAGTACGAATTTCAACTCGAATTGGAAAGCGGGGAATATCGCTAAGGGAGGATGGCACCCTGTTCAAAGCACTCACGACGGAGAAGCAAGAAAGAACAAGGTGAGCGCCTAGGATAACATGCACTACAGGCAGTGATTAACATGACTATTTGCCGAAGAAGACCCTGGAAAGGCTTCCCCGCAAAATCTGACAACCCTGGCGGCAGTTGGACCCTTAGGAACCGGCGCGTCTGCGGGTATTTTCACGGTAGTTACTTCTCCGTTCTTTCAAACCGAGACATGATTCAAGGTGGCGAAGATTGTCCGAAAGCTACTAGAAGATCGTCCAAATCTTGTCTCAAACTGGTGCTAAATTGAAAAGCCCGGGCCGGCAAGTGAACTTTACATGTAAGCAGTAAGCAGTGAGCGGCATCTAGAGGCGCCGACGACACTGTACCCCAGCTTGTACCCCGCCTAAACTATGGAGATTACTGAACCATGAAAGGTTCAATCGATTCCATTAGGCTAATAGAAGTAAACCTAAATGGAAAGATCGTCCATTCCGATCATAAGTTATGCATGCTCGCCTTTAGCCTGAATCTCAAAGTTACAATGCTTGTCTTAGAACTAACGGCTAAACGTTTGTGCAGCGAAGGATCAGGGCTTCAACGACGTTGAACCTTCTCAACACGGATATTTCCCTGATTTGAACTGGAACAGAACCTGGAGTCCCCGCACATATATCAAAAACAATATAAATCCTACGGCGAAGATTTGTACGAGATGCTTGAAGCCCAAGAGGAAAGAGCCCAATTGGGATAGCTGCAGTCTAGAAGCTTTCTCATTGATATACCCGATTTGGAAATATGCTCACCAAGCTTTTGCTCCTCGGTCTGGCCGGCCTCAGTTGTGTGGAATCGGTCAAGCCTCCCTTGAACCCACCACCACCACCTCCCCCTCCTCCTCCACAGAAACCACCAACACCGCCACCACGGCCGTGGTCCACTTTTGCAGAGAATGTCATCTACCAACCTGACTCCAAGAACTCTGTTCTCTATCCCCGGCAAGTCGAACTATCGGATGGAAGTCTCCTTGCGACAGCTTCGTTTGCGGGCGATAAAACTCCATACTTCCCCATATTCCAAAGTGCAGATGGTGGTGCTACCTGGTCCTGGATCTCCAACCTGACTGACCAGGTGAATGGATTGGGAATGTCAGCCCAGCCTGCGCTGGCAGAGTTACCATTTGCTGTTGGTGATTTCCCTGCCGGCACGGTTTTGGCCAGTGGAAACAGCTGGGGAAGCAAGAGCACGAACATTGATATCTATGCTAGTAAAGATAAGGGTCATACCTGGAAGTTCGTCAGTAATGTGGCGAGAGGCAGTGGGCCGGATACTACCAATGGAAATCCATGCATTTGGGAGCCATTCATCGAGTGAGTTGTACTCTGCCCATGTTAATCTCTGTTCCAGGCACTGAACGCGGGAATTCTAGATTTTTCAACCACACTATCGGCGTGTTCTACTCCGATCAGCGTGACCCCCTGCACGGTCAGAAACTTGCTCACCAGGAATCGGCGGACTTGAGATCCTGGGGACCCGTGATAGACGATGTGGCCTATCTCAACTATACTGCTCGTCCTGGAATGACCATCATCTCCTATATCCCTCCTCTGGAGAAGTGGATTTTGGTGCACGAGTTCCCAGGAGGAGACAGCTGGTCTGAGGTGGGCTATCCGGTCTACTACCGAATGGCCGACAGTCCATTTGATTTCCGCTTTGCCTATGGTATCCCCATCATGGTTGATGGAGTCCAGCCCAACGCATCTCCTTATGTGGTTTGGTCGCCATCCGGCGGTGATAATGGAACTATCCTCGTTAGCGACGCTGATCACAGTGGTGTTTTCACCAATCAAGCCGGTGGCCAGCCTGATCAGTGGGAATTGCATGACACACCTCAGGCACCGGCATACAGCCGGAGTTTACATGTCTTTGAGAAGTATCCCGATCATTTGATGATCCTGGGTGCAGGCGTATTTGATGCAACGGTAAATCTGCCGCTTTATCTCAGCGTTGTGAGCGTAGAAGATACCTTGAAGAAGCCAGCCGGTAATATGTAATTCTCTGATACACCTGGGCAACACTATGGAACTTATTTGGAACACATGAGCTTTACTAGTACCAATAAAATGGTCTGATTTTCATGGTCGCAGTGATAAGCGAAATGACGAAAGTTTCCAAGAAATGACATATAGAGACTATGAGCTTATAAGGAAATACCGCCGATAGACAGATTCATCTTATGTTGAGTCAAGATAAGGCTTATATTGCGAAATTCTTGCATCAACATAGGGTTTGGATCTGAAACGGCGATCTGCAGGGCAGTATTTTCACCAACCGCCCAATTTTGGGGCTGTCCAGAACAAGCACTGGTGGGCCACTTTCGCCACTTTTCAAAAAGAAGGTTTTATTCCATGGACGCTTTCTGAAAGGTGCCGAGTGGAGCAAGTTCCAGCCATTCTGGTCATTTCAATTAATAAGTTCACCTATTCAATTCCTCGACGATCTCTGACGTGTCGTGTGTATGATTATCCGATTTCTGATGATACCAAGGTAATTCTAGATGTTACAGTAGGGTATACGGATATACGGAGTAGTTGCGATAGTAACAATCTCATCATAAAGAATCAAGTAGTCGTGAATTGCCATAACAAAAAGAATGTATTGAGGATAAGTCAACAAAAACAATGAGGCCCACGTGTACTGGCGGCTGTCATTGAGCATTTCAATCAAATATCCAATCCATCTATACCGGTAGCCCGTATGTCGTACATAAAAATGAATGAGACAAAAAAAAGGACAACCTGATCTAAACCCCAAAACCTTCATCTTTCAAGGCGGTAGTCATCTAGACCAGATAATCAAAAATGTACAACGATTGCCATCTATAGATCCTTCTCATAAAACGCGTTCAGCTGCAGTTCCCGCGTCGAGTTCCGCAATCTCCGTCCGGCGTGTGCACAGATACCAGATATGTGCAATCATTTAAACGCGGGGAGTGGGAAAGGGAGGGACTCCGGTAGGGAATCCACTGGGGGGAGTTCCAGAGGGAGTAGGGAATCCGCTAGAGGGAGGTCCCGAGGGAGTAGGGAAACTGGTAGGGAAGCCGGAGGGCTCACCGAACTGGCGCTTGCCGAAGGGAAGACTGGTGGGAATTCCAGAGGGCAGAGAGAAGCTAGGGAAGCCGGAAGGGATGGGGAGACCAGAGGGGGAGGCCGAACTGACGGGCCTCAATGTCGGCGGGAGGCGGGCCAGAAGGAGTCGGGAAGCCGGTAGGAATGGGGCCCGAGGGGGTAGGGAAGCTGGTAGGGAAGCTGGTAGGGAAGCCAGAGGGCTCACCGAACTGACGCTTCTCGCCAGGGAAGCCAGGGAAGCCAGTTGGGAAACCGGTAGGGAAACCGGTAGGGAAGCCGGAGGGGGTACCCGAGGGAGTGCCAGAGGGCGCGCCGGTAGGGAAGCCGAATTGACGGGCCTCGAGGCTGCTAGAGGGAGTCGGGAAGCCGGTAGGGGTAGGGCCCGATGGGAAAGGTCCTGATGGGAAAGGGCCAGAAGGAGCAGGCAGGCCGGAGGCCGGAGGAGGACCGTGAGGAGGACCCTGAGGAGGACCATGAGGCAGGGCGAGGGCACAGCCCATCAAGCCCATAGCGGCGACACCGGTGTACTTCATTGTGGTTGGATATTAGGGTTTATTGTTGAACTTGTTTAAAAGAGCGGACGGTTGTCGTGATCACACTTGATAACGACGTAGAGACTGGGTATAATAAAGTCAGGAGAGGGAGAGAGAGGAGCCCAAGAATGATAGCAAGGCGGATCGAGGATATCCTTTATAGGGCTATATCTAAGGTGGCTGAACAGATTGACCCGCAAGTCTGTTTAGGCAGCTGGGTCCTCAAACATGATGGAGACTCCGTGATCGGGCAATGAGCTCAACAATTCGCCTCTCTGAAGGCTGGGCCAACATATGGCACGGAGGACAGAGAAGGCGGGACGTCGATCTCTAAACCAGAGGAACCCAGAAGGGGTAAGTCCTCAGCGGTCTTGACCAGAAAAGAACTAGGGCGCCAAAGAAATAGCGGAGCCATGTCCCTGAGGGTCCTGTCAGGGACAAGGGACCAAAAGGGATTCGACCATGCATTTTCTGGGGCTGGTCCATTATCCACCAGTGCTTCGAAGTCTGATATGTAGCGACCCTCTGCCATGGAAACCGCTGAGCACCCCAAAAAAGGCCGCAAGTGCCGCACCAGTGGAGACGGGGCAAGTATCGACATTCGCTTACACTGCTCGAACGGATAGCCCTTTCGAATAGAAAGTAGAGCGATGATCATGTTCCATCTAAATTCGAATGCCGGGGTGGTCTGATCGTATCATATTGCGCCCTGCTAGCAGATGTTCAAGGTACCTGCCAGATGTGGATTTTTATCCAGAGCACCAAGACCGATGGGTCCGGCCAAGAGTAGGAATGAGGCCGGCGAGCTTAATTTCGGGCCAAGAAGAGCTTTGATTCGGCATGTTCATTAGGCTGGAGTATCATACATAGATCTCAGCCTACGGAGTAAAGCATCGGCAAATCCGAAATTTTCCATTTTCCAAATGGACGAAAAAACCGGAATATCATTTGAGTATCAAGATCCCTGCATGCGTGACCAGGATGATCAGAACTCTAATTTGTTTCTGGACTTCCTTCGCTGGCCGCCGGCGGCTCCTGGAAATATTTCATCATGAAATCCACACTCGCCACGCTGGCTGATACGGTTCATGTATCAGGGTAGAAAGGAATTGTGGGTTCTCCCACAGAAAAAGTGGACATGAGAGTCGCGCGCGGCAGGCAAAAAGCAGGACGATCGCACTGATTGATAACGTCGTGGCCAATGGCTTGCAATGGATCGGCAGGTGGACCAAGTCGGTTCCAAAGTTTGTATTTTGCCTTTCGCGTCGGGGCTAGGCATTTGGAATCGGGGATGTCCACGGGTGTCCCTGGGAAGGCGGCTCTCAGAAATGATACTCCGTACATTGTACTACTGTACAATAAGTAGTTATACCCGTGGACTCCGTATGTCGACGGAACATAAATCCTCCGTACTCCAAGGCTTTTTGTGCGATCGGGGTACGCCGACGTGTTCGAAGCCCCATCCCATATTCGTATCCATGACAACCTTGGTAGTGAGCTGCGAAGATCAATCGTGATTCAAAACATTCAACAGCTCACTCCGGCAGCTCAAGAAGGATGAAACATGGCGCTGACTTGACCGGGAGAGGCGTTTCACCCTCTGTGCTGGGAGAGTTCCAGGCCCTTGTCTTCTCGGCGTTAGTCATGGCAGAGAGCAGAGAGTTGTCTTTGTCTGGGGGAGTCTGGAATGTCGCAAGTCTGTATCAAACGTGGATGGGGTTCCCACCACGCGTCGTCAGCCCAAGACTAAACCGGCAAAGAACACGGCGGGCCCTAACAGTCCAACTCCACCAGGGCAGCGTTTAGCGGTAGATGTGGAGCCCATGACTTAAGGATCGCCGTCCCCTGAGTCGCGCTGAAGAAGGTCTGCGAAATCCTTCGTTGAAAGGTCAAGGGTCGTGCGAGGTGCCGAGCTCAAATCAGACGTTTGATACAAAGCACTTGGTTGGAATTCTGTGACTACTTCATGCAGCTACGGAATTTTAGACAACGTGTACGGCCTCCTGCTATTCCCTTCCAGGCAAGGGAGTGACGGTGTGCAGCATCGTGCAGCAATCCAGAAACTCTTTGCGACCGTCACCGCCGATGATTCCCGCTCGTGGTTTGCCGACCTCCACCTCCAAGAACCTCGTTGGCTGCTCACACATCAGGCTCGCTCGTGGACAAGGTGGGCAAGGTGGACAAGGCAGAACGGTTTAGTGACGGGCTAGCATGTACTACTCCGAGTCTGGAGTAGTAAATCCCGGTCTCTCCTCCCCGGGGCCCTCAAGTCGGACACAGTAGAAGAAAACGGTTTAGCTCCAGGAACAACCTTTGAAGGAACGGTGCGCCAAGGGCGGAATTCGTATTGTTGACTGGAAATAGTGCTGTCGATCTTAAAAGGAATCCCCATCTAGGAACTGTAGAATCACCCTGTAACTGCTGTATATGCATAATACACCACGATTTGTGGATTGTCTCCAATATATACACTTCTTGAGACCGCCACATGTCACTCATAGATTATGGCTGGTGCCAAGAGACTCTATCTATCGCCTTACAAGACAAAGGAAGAAAAGGAAGCCCGAAAAAATGTCCAGCCGGAAAGGCTGGGGCTGGTATAGGCAAAAGAAAGAGCAAAAGCATATTGGGAAGAGGGTGTGGTAGCGCGCCAGTCTCTGGTTGGATCTTCTTCCGGTGCTGGAATAGATTGGGCCATGGCCAAGGACGCGGGATGTCGATATTGGGATCGAATTCTGCGCATCCTACAGGGCAGTCTCTCGCATGGATCCTTTCTTACGGTATTTGGGGCCCACATCGGAGCCGAGGGTGCTGGGATGCATGTCAGATTATGGGTCGATATGTCGAGCGGATGAGCATATTGTCTACTCGTATATGCTTCTATCGGTGCCCGATTCCATCCCTCCATCATGAGCGCGGCTTGCGCGTGAGTGAGTCAGGGGAGATCGGGTTAACGCTCGGTGTCATGCTTAGTTGATGGCGCGAAGATGGAGACAATGCCATGGAGATATCGCGTGGCGACGGTGCAAAGACTCGTTTTGGTGAACCTCGTTGGCCTGATCCGGACCTCATTTGTGACCTGCCAGAAGAGAATGAAGATCGTCGGGATCGGGCTGGGCTCCGTGGGCCATTACTCAACTCCTCACTATAGCAAGAAGCGTCCCAGGAAGCTCGATGTTTGGACGATGGAGGTGCAATGGTGAAGGAAAAGTCGAGTGGCTCATCCTCCTCTACCTGCTGTTCCTCGTCGTCGTCGCTAGCAGATCCAGTCGCGAACAGCGCTCCGCTCCCGGAGATTGTAGATCGACGCTGATGGTGGGCCTTTGACCGGACTGGCACGGACATTTGATCGTTCGATGTCATGAAACGTGGGTTCTCTAGTGATACCGTACTGTGCGCTTTTCGCAGTTCTTGCGCTGGATCGCTGTGAGACAGTCTTCGTGATCTTCTGCGTTCTAACTCATGGCCATGCGAGCCTCTTCTTCGATTGCGCATGCTTCCCCGTCCGGCGCTGCCATTTTCTAGTGATAAGTCGGAAGAGTGACGAGTCGACTCTTGCAGCCTGAAATCGACTTGTCCCGGACTGAAAGCCACGCGGGCCCGCATCTGTTGTATGGCTCTGTCTAGTGCAAGCTCGATGGCAACCGCATTTCGAATACGGCTTAATCTGGGCCATGTTGCCCGTTCCCCGCTCAGGCAAGCTTGCTGCATAAACTCCGTCGTCGGGTTCTCTAATATCCGAGGAAAGTTCGATGAAATGAGCTCGGGGTAAATGTTGATGTCCCCGCTGTATTTCTGGTTCATGATGGAGGCGAACTTGGTCATTGAATTGGGGAATACCCCTAACTCGGAAAGAACGGTCATTCGGTAAAGCATCTCGTCTTTGGCGAGGTGGGTCATCGTGTTCATCCATCGAGGGACGAGGGATGATGCCTGTTCGGCTACGCTGACTGGTCCATCTTCCTTCGGTAGGAATGGGACCACATGAGGATTCACCTGTGAAACGATGAAATGATTGACGTTGAACATTTCAGACAGTCGCGTCATTGGAAGGTCGCCGTCGACAGATCCATCGATATACTGCTTATGAAGGTCATTCCAAGGCACTGCCTCGCCTGTTAAGGGATCCTTCGCCATCAGGGTAAAGGGCCTAAAGACGAGTGGCACGGAGCAGGATACCGCACTGTGAATCGACGGTCAGTATTTTATTGAATCTTCCAGCAAAGGTAGGTATCATGTTCAACTTACACTGCAGACCAAATCAACACATTGGGAGCGGAAATATAGTTGAGCAACCGTGGAAGCTCATAGATATCAGCGCTGGAGACACATATATTCAAAATCCGTCTCGTCCGGTTATATGCCTCCTGAAATGTAATGTCCCCGAGCCAGTTGCGCATGGTATTCGCCAGGTGGGAGATATCCAAGAAGGACCCGAATTTCAAGAACCGCGCCGTCTTTTGAAATATATTCTCCTCTTGTCCATGCTCATTGAAAACAGCAAAGTTACCATGCGCATAGGTATCCAGCAGACCAGCCAACTCCTCGTCCTTGCGGGTGCAAAAGACCGCGCACACGATACTCCCCGCCGATGCACCCGAGATAATGCGAGGGATAAGGCCGGTCTCATAAAGAGCCTTGAGAACGCCGATATGGTTCATGCCAAATGTGGCACCACCGGAGAAAAGAAGGGCACTTCGGCCGAATGCCTGTCGAGCCGCTAACAGCTGGTCGAGGATGTATTTCAGTTCCAAGCCATCGCAGCGATCGTGTACCGAGAGGTCCACCAATGTTGTTATCGTATCGAGGGCCGCGTTGATATACCGATCGATGAGGTCCTTGGTGCCGATATGCGAATGTCGATAAAGAGAGGCATTGCTCATCTTTCCCAGGTCACGGCTGAGCGCCGTCCGGACGAGGAAGAGCATGCGGCTCACATCGCAACTGATGCGCGCGTCTTCCAGCTGTCTTAATCGCTCATGGACTAATTGTGGGTGGTATTCCGTGCACTCCAGTGTGTATTTCCAAGCCTTGTTGTTTTCCAGTACGTCTAGTTCGCTGGCGCATTCGCTCCATTCCTCGTACGTGACAGCCTACCGAACGATCGCGTTAGTATTGGTCTGTGCCTATTGCGCGCAGGGGCCCCGGAGGTAAGAGATAACCCGAGTAGTGGCACGCATTACTTACATTCTTAATCTTCAAGTAGAAGAGTTGTTTGCGGTTTTCGATCTCCTCACGCTGTTTCCGCTGCTCCGCGGAGAGGCCATCGCGATAGGTGTGTAAGGTCTCGCCTGCCCAATTCCACGAACCCTTGACGAGCGACGAGACGGCAGGGATCGAGATGGCTTTGCGCAACGAGCGATAGGGTGTGGATCGATTGGAGGAGTGGTCGCGTTCGAGATCAAGTTGGTGGCATTGCGAATGGACTATTGTGGAGTCGCCTAACACCGTCATAGCAGGCCTGTGCATCGGGAGCAAGCCATCCAGGCGGGTCGAGTTCGACTGCAGCTTTCAAAGTCTTTTAATAAGACGTGCAAGGATAGATGGGAAAGGTAGAAAGAATGAGGGGAGGTCTTGTAGTGTAAATGTGTAAAAGAGCAAATGTGTAAAAGAGTAAAAGAGTCGGTCAGGCTGTCACGAGGGGCCAATGATTGTCCGCCCGATGACCTTCCAACTCCAACTTCGCCCTTTTACCCCGGCCCGACGGAGTTAAGTGGATTCGACTCGATTTCAGGTTTACGGCTTAGAAGATGTTCTATTTTCTGGGGTACAAAAAGAGTATGGGGTAGATTGTGTGAGATGCTAAATTCAGTCACACTCACAGTCCCATTTACTGCAGGTAACCCCTGTCCTTGTGGATCTCATCAGCATCATCTGGTCAGTCCAACCCTGCTGATGATCGCGTCTCTTTCCATCTTCACATGCAGGTGCATGTGAAAGAGCGCTAAAGATTACCCTTCCACTCATTGACGCACTCGACTTATTATGAGAGTGCTACTTTGTATGTACAACACAACAGACTCTGGTCACACAGGGCGGCAGTAAGGAGTATAGAGGTGATAATCCCGTAGACCAACGTGGCCACACAGGCATAACCTAGGATCAACCCAGATCAAATCAGATCTGGTCCGACTCGATCAGCTTCAACCATTCCCTTAAGCGATTCCTCGCCCTCGCCTCCACCCCATCTTCTCGCCAGAAATGCCCCGCGCCCCCGATTTCGCCGCTTTGGAACCGACTCTGCGGCACGCGCGCGATCTCGGCTGACCACCGCTGCAATTTCGGGGCTGAGGTGAAGGTGTCCCCATCCCCATACAGCGCCAGGCTACTGTGCTTGCTCAGCTGGTGGTCGGGCCGGGTTTGAACTAACCTTAGAGGGCCCACTCCCCACCCCACGTTCAGTGATAGAGTGGAAAAGCACGTCAGGAAGTGACTCACGGGTGGGAGGAGAGGTGACACGAGCAGATAAGCAATGGAGATGAGTGGTGAAGCGCGGGGCTGAAAGTCGTCAGCTGTCCCTGTATCCGTATCTGTATCTGGCCCTACCAGGACATCTGGATTCGATGGGTAGAGGTGCTGCGTGGATGCGGATAATACAGCAATCATCCTAGCGACTCTGCAAATCTTGTTGACACGCGATGAGGACGGTCGGAATAACTCCAGTATGACATCGACGTCCGGGGCATGAGAGGCAATAAGGGATCCGAACGAATACCCTCCGAGAATGAGCTGGATGCCGCTGTCGCTTTCTCCTGGTAGCGCAGAAGAATCAGGAGTCTGCCCAGCTAGGTTGCCGCTGATGAGGGCATTTTTCAACTGCTGTAGATATACCAGCATAAACCCGTAGAATGAGACATAATCTTCCAGTTCGGACTTGGCAGTCCAGCTGGTGTGCCCCTCAGAACCCCCCGCGCCACTGTGATCGGCGTTAGTTGGTCATCCATGAGGTCAGATAGAGGAGAGGAGATGATGCACCGGAAATTGAATGTCCCCACCACATAGCCCGCCTGCAGAAGCTCGCCACCGACGAAGCTCACTACAGGGTCATCGTAGCAGCCGCCGAGTCGGGTGTAGGGATGGGCGATAATGGCTCCTCGGGGTTTCCATCGCGATGTCACTGGTGTTGGTGTTGGAGGTGTTGATGATGATGATGCTGATTCAAGTTGTATATTTTGGAGCTCGTCGGGTAGATAAACTCGACATTCCAGGTTGACTTCATCATGTATGGAGGGAATCGAGAACGAGAAAGTTGGGGCGGGTAGATCCATTGTGCAATTTATGTATAGAGCTTTCAGTTTAATTCACTCCGGTTCTTTGGCCATGACCATCCCTGTGGAGGGGTGATGTTGTTCAAGTTAATGCCCACCTGCAGGTGTTGTTGATGTTGGAGGAAAAGAAGAGGCGGGCAGGGCAGATCCACCCGCGTTCTAAATCCAACACAGCACCTGGGCACACTATCTTAGTAGTAGTAGTAGTACACTACTACTAGTACTAGTATCTTCAACAAATCATGCACTGGTAGGCCTTTGATACTTGACTGAATATTTCATTGGAATAGGAGCTTGAAAACCTTGGAATTGTAGCATATATAAATCTTGGTTATAGAGTATCTCGCTAAATGGTTCTATGGTCTATGAATACTAAATTAGGAACAACAGCATCAAGACTCCGGCAGTAACCAAGCTGGATCCGGTTCATCATCTTCAGACCGTGATGCGGCATCCGTATGGTTGGCTTCATGATCGGCATCTTTCAGGAGATCATCGGGGGGCTCGAGGTCATTCTCATACTCCGAGGTCTCCTCTTGCGTATCTACAGACTTGCTAGCCGATTCCCCATCTGGAGATGGTGACGAAGCTTGCTTGCCTTTCTCCTCGGGGACAGACAGGCCAAAAGCTGGAAGAAGTAGTTCGTGCGCTGATCGGAGAGCCTCCAACTCTGCTGAAAGGCAACAAACAAGTAATTTCCAATCTTTGCTTTCGGAGAGTTCTAAGTGAGCCTCGAGCGCCTGGGTGACCTTATCCAAATCGTTGGCCACACCCGCAGCAACTTCTGCTTTCGACTCCGTAGCGCTTCCATCATGAGAGCCTGTATCCAGTTGTATATATTGCCGCATGCTGGCTCTGAGATTTTTCTCAAAATTGGAAATGTCAGCGATGGCCTGTTTCCAGACCCCGCCGCCTTCTTCTAGAGCCATGATCTCCGCCTCTACTTCATCCTGTCTCCCACGGATGTTCTCCTGCTCTGACTTCCAGTGCTCCTGAGCCATCTCAAGAGTCCGACGTTTGGGGTTCAGAGTGTAGAATGTAGCTTGGCCATTATTGCGCTGCGAGAGAGGTTGGACGGGAGGATCGCGGAGATAAGTTTGGACATCTTTCTGGAGGATAGATAGGGATTCGGTGTAAGAGGATAGTTTAGCCTCGACGGAATTCTCAATATGGGAAATCTGGCCGACGATATGCCGATGTCGAGCTTTCATCTCATACAGTCTGGTTTCCAATTCGTGAATGTCAGTTTCGAGGGTTCGGGCCTCTTCTTGTAGGTGTTTAGCTCGTTGATTGTCTCGATTGTTATGAATGTTGGAGATTGATTCTTCCAAGCCACTCCTTCGAGTGGTGAATCCCTGGATTTCATGAAGAGCATTATCTCTCTCGTCTGTCTGGGAAGATAGGATCTCCCGCTCCTCTTCTCGTAGCTTTAGAAGGTCATAGATGGACTGGAAAATACCTTGCCGAGCAGCCTTGAGTCCGATCTTCTTGGGCACCGGCTGTCTAGCCGGTATAGTGGAGGGTGACCGAGACCGACCGACTCTCGAAGAGGTAGGAGTGAAGCTTCCATCAGACGTGTCATCTGATTGCTGTTGAGCCAAACCAGCCAACAGACCTTCACTTTGCGCATCAATCAAAGTTTGTAGATTTCGCTGAATGTGTTTAGACTGGCGGTCCACATAGAGAAGGGGGGTTGTGGTGGTGGTGGTACATCGAAGCTGTAGCTGTTGCTGGCATGGGTGGTAGGCGTTTGTCGCGAAACGGGATTAACGTGGACATTATGGGTGGAAATAGTGAAGTGGCAGCCCTTGCTTGGTTCCTGGAAAGCAAGACCTCCTATTTAACGGAAATCGGCCATGACCAAAGCGCATAATCTGCAGGAGGGCAGAAGGGGTCTCGGGACTGCTGCAGCTGACGGGAGAAACGGGAGAACGGGAGCGTCATTACACGTGACTAGTCAGCTCCTGACGTTGGAACTCGCTCGCGCCTGCGAAGCTTCTGTCCGCTTCCAGCTCCCCCATTATCACTCCGTCCTTTCCATCTCGTCTCGCCTTCTTCTAATTCGCGTTTGTACCTCTTATCTTTCGATTCTCTGGGATTTTTGATTTCCCACCTTCATCCAAACTCGCCGTTGCTCGGGGCTCGCTCGTTCCCCAAGCTCCCTTCCCGTTGACGTTGCTTCGTCACACCTACAACATCACCAATCAAGCTCGACAGCTTCCCATCAATCTACTTGACGCACGTCGTCTATCACAATAAAGATGGTCGGACTCGTTTCGGCCGCCGGTCTGGTCGGCTTTCTATCGGAACCCGACCCAGAGCTCAAGGTCTTCGCCTTGAAGTCATTAGATTCTCAGATCGATCTGTTATGGACAGAGGTTGTGAATGCTGTTCCTGAGATGTAAGTCCGTCCCTTTCGCTCATCCATCAGAGCTCAGTATCGTTTTGCCGATGCAGGCGCGTCTTTACCGGCCGTCTTCTCTTTATGTCCATTCCGTCGGGCACCGCTGATGCAGTCCATCCAGTGAGGCCCTTTACGAAGATGAATCATTCCCCGAACGTGGACTAGCAGCTTTGGTCGCCTCCAAGGTATATTATCATCTGCAGGAATATAATGAGAGTATGGTCCTCGCCCTCGGTGCAGGAAAGCTGTTCCAGCTCGACAGCGGTGGCGAGTACGAGGAGACAATTATCGGTATGTTGGGAGACTTTCCATCAGATTCATATCCATATGCTCGCATCAACTGACACTGTGCGTCCCACTACAGCCAAATGCGTCGATACTTTCATCTCTCTCTCAGCCGCCCAACGACCCAGCGGTGGTGACCAAGCCGCCAACCTCAACACCCAGTTTCCCGCGTCCGGCGATGGCGCTACCAGCACATCCGCAAGCCTCACCTCCCCCATCACACCATTCTCCAAATCCGCCCTGCCTTCCAAGTCCCTTCTCTCACGCCAGGAAGTCCCCGGAATTGACGCGGCCCACCCCGGTGGCGACGACACAAGCGTTCAACATGAGGAGACCTCTCTGGTTCTGAAGCGTGGTGTTCAGGGTCAACTTCAGACTGTTATCGAGCGATTGTTCGAGGAGTGCTTCCGTCAAAAGCGCTATCGCCAAGTGATCGGTATCGCCATTGAGGCAAAGAGCTTGGACGTGCTTCGCATGGCCATCCTCCGAGCCAGCGCTGATGAGAAGAAGCAGCAAGGTGAATCTCGCCGAAGTGAGGAGCTGATGGAATACGTTTTGGATATCTGCATGGGAATTGTCCAGGAACGGGAATTCCGCAGCGAGGTACGTCTGCGTCTAAGGTAATATTTTGACTCGCATTCGCTGACAAGCTACTTTTCAGATTCTGAAACTCATTCTCGAACTCCTTAACGAAATCCCGGCACCCGACTACTTCTCGATTGCTAAATGTGTCGTTTACCTGAACGAACATTCGATGGCGTCCGTCATTCTTCGCCAACTCGTCGAGAAGGGCGATGCACGATCTCTGGCGGTGGCCTACCAAATTTCCTTCGATCTCTACGATAACAGCACTCAAGAGTTCCTTCAAAAGGTCCGCCAGGAGATCTCCGAGCTCGTGCCCGAGGACGAAGCTGAGGATAAGCCCGAGGAAGGAGAGCCCAAGGAGTCCGATGCGTTACTCGAAGACCAAGACAGCTCGTCTCGGCCGTCGGGTGGCCAGGGAGATGACTTGGACGATGCTCAAACCGCCTTCAAGAGTATTCTCGCCATCTTGGATGGTAAAAAGACCATTCAGTTGAACTTGGAGTTCCTCTACCGAAACAACAAGGCCGACATTTCCATTTTGAATAAGATCCGAGACAGCCTGGAGGCTCGCAATTCTATTTTCCATACGGCCGTCACCCTGTCCAACGCTTTTATGCACGCCGGAACCACTCACGACAAGTTCTTCCGTGACAACCTGGAGTGGCTTGGCAAGGCTGTCAACTGGTCCAAATTCACGGCGACTGCTGCTCTGGGTGTCATTCACCGTGGCAACTTGAGCCAGGGCCAGAAGCTTTTGCAGCCCTACCTTCCCCGGGAGCACATCGCTGGTGTTGGAGGAGGCTCAGGCTCAGTTTACAGCCAGGGTGGTTCCTTGTACGCCTTCGGTCTGATCTACGCCAATCACGGTGGCATGGCGGTCGACCTTATCCGCGACCACTTCAAGAAGGCTACCGAAGAGGTCGTTCAGCATGGTGGAGCTTTGGGCCTGGGTGTTGCTGGTATGGCCACCGGTGACGAGGGTATCTACGAAGATCTCCGCAACGTTCTTTACACAGACTCTGCTCTGAACGGTGAGGCTGTCGGTCTTTCCATGGGTCTTGTCATGTTGGGCACTGGCAACATGAAGGCGCTGGAAGACATGATCCAGTACGCCCACGACACTCAGCACGAGAAGATTGTGCGGGGTCTGGCTATGGGTATGGCCTTGATCATGTACGGACGCCAAGAAGCTGCCGATGAGCTGATCAACGGTCTTCTCGGTGATCCTGACCCAACTCTCCGCTACGGTGGTATCATGGCTATTGCCCTGGCCTACTGTGGCAGTGGCAGCAACAAGGCGGTCCGCAAGCTTCTTCACGTTGCCGTTAGTGATGTCAACGATGATGTTCGCCGCATCGCTGTTCTTAGCTTGGGTTTCATTCTGTTCCGCAAGCACCAGAGCGTTCCTCGCATGGTGGAGTTGCTGTCGGAATCCTACAACCCTCACGTCCGTTATGGTGCTGCCATGGCTCTGGGTATCTCCTGCGCCGGAACCGGTCTGGACGAGGCTATTGATCTCCTGGAGCCTATGCTCAAGGACTCAACGGACTTTGTTCGACAGGGTGCTTTGATCGCCCTGGCCATGGTTCTTGCCCAGCAGAATGAGGCGATGAACCCCCCGTGTGACTAGCCTGCGCAAGGCCATGATGAAGATGCTTGGTGACCGCCACGAGGATGCCATGGCCAAGTTCGGCTGTGCCGTCGCTCTGGGTATCATCGATGCCGGTGGTCGCAACTGCACCATCAGCCTGCAGACCCAGACCGGCAACCTGAACATGCCCGGTATCGTTGGTGCTGCCGTCTTCGTCCAGTACTGGTACTGGTTCCCTCTCACTCACTTCCTCTCCCTCAGCTTTGCGCCCACATCTGTGATCGGTGTGGACCAGAAGTTGGAGGTTCCGGAGTTCAAGTTCCACAGCAACACACGCCCCAGCCTGTTCGACTACCCACCTGAGCAGCAAGTGAAGACAGAGGAGACTCCGGAGAAGGTCAAGACCGCAGTGCTTTCAACAACAGCTCAAGCCAAGCGCCGTGCTCAAAGACGAGAGAAGCAAGCCCGCCGTGAGAGCATGGACATCGACCAAACGCCAACCACTCCCAAGGTTTCCGACCAACTACCAGAGAAGATGGAGACTGATGAGGCCCCCAAGGCCGAAGGAGAGGAAAGCAAGGAGGGAGAGAAGGGTACTGGCGAAGGGCAGAAGAAGAAGTTGGAGCGGGAGAAGGTGGGCTATGAGCTGGATAACATGTCTCGCGTACTACCCGCCCAACTCAAATACCTCACATTCCCCGACCCGCGGTACGAGCCAGTCAAGAGGGTAAGTTTCAATTACGTCCCATCATGCATATCATATTTACTAACTCGTTTTCTTTAGCCCACCGGTGGCGTTGTCGTCGTTCTCGACAAGCAACCCGACGAGCCCCGCGAAGTTGTTGAACTCAAGGCCAGCAAGGAGACCCGCCAACCTGCTCACCCAACGGAAACACTCCAAGACCGCCTGCAAGCGGCTATCGGAACTGCAGCTCTCCAGACCCCTCAACGGGCTGACGCGCGCGCAGCTCTGTCCGGTCTGAGCGGTGCTGGTGGTGCCTCTGCCGCTGCCGGTGTTCTGACCGCTGTGGATGAGGATGAGGAGGGTGTCGAGGATGCGCCGGTTCCAGACGAGTTCGCGTATGAGTCGGAGGAGGAAGAGTAAAGGAAGACGGTTCTGCGTGATTAACCTTTTGACGCTGGATGTATTACTAGACCACTCGGGTTTTCAGGCCTGATCTATTGGGAGCGCGGCTTTGCCGCTTTGTGATATGAAGCATTTGTTTGCATTGATAATATCTATCGTATTCATTTATTCGTAGTGTGCATCTGAATTCTCGCTCAGTACCTGATTTGCTAGTATGCTCCAAGTTGCATGCTACGGCATGTATGATCCACCGTCCTTCGACCTCCTTGGAGCCCTTCTAATAATATTTTATCGATTTCGGATTCATTGACAGGCACTAAATGACATGGCGAAGACAAAGTCCCAAGATACAAAATACAAAACAAAAACTCCTAGTTAGAAATGCTCCCCATCTCCGATGCACAATGCAAGGCTAATTCCTTGATATCTCCCTGAAGTTGGCCGGCAACTTCTTCAAATCGACCTTTCCAGAACCCCCATCTCTCGTTACAGAGCTTATTTGGCCCCTGGTAGAGTGTGCCAGCACTCTGCCCTTGAATTTCCTCCGGGCCGTGTCCTGACTGGACACTTTCGTGAAGAGCAGCACGGCTATGTATAATCCATTCTGATGCTATGGGAAGGATTTGCTCCAAGGCCGATGTGTCCTTGACCGGCTGCTCGAGTGTGGCGCGCAGTAAGTATAACGCCTGGGGGGACGCGTTGAAAAAGCCAGTTTGCCAACAGCGTGCCACGAATGATGTTACGTTGCGCCACTTTTGAGCCGTTTCGGGTGACACGGACTTTTCCGTATTTAGATTTGCTGAATATATAACGAAATTAGTATGTTGAGAATATAATCCAAAGGGATATCAATGGAATTTAGACCGAGTGGCCGTAGACATACGTTGATAGTAATCGCGTACGCAGCTATCGAATATAGGCAGTGCTTTCCAAACATCTAAATCGGCCTGGAAATGAGATCAAAGAATCTGTTAGTTATACTTGGATTTTGATATACCCTCTCTCTTTTTTGGCTTGATTTGGTTCATACATACCCCTTCAAGCTCGACCTTCCGACCCGCCAAGTCCTTCAGTCCATTTATAACATCGACCAGTTTATCTTGAGCAGCATGATTGTGTGGAACCTGTTCCACAATCACGATGAAAGCTATCCATATCTCCCACAATGGCCCATAGCACCCATCAGGATCCAGCTCCACGCCTTCCTTCTCTTCTTTCGGGAGTTGCTTCTCCTCCTCGAAGGACTTGGCATGGTAAGCATCAATCTTATTTGCGATTTCACCAGAAGGCGCAGGGGAATCGGCTTGAAGCCAATCCCTCAAGGTTACGAAGACTTGACTGTAATCATTGTCGGCGGATCTGAAATGCAACGCCATGCTCAAAGCTTCAACAACAAGTCGGTATGAACGAATGAAAATGTATGCCCGGTGTATATAGAGCAACTTGAAGAGAAAGAAAAGAAGACAATGAGAATTCAAAGGTAAAGAAAGTGGATGAACGTTAGAAAATAGAAAAGTGCATCTTCAAAATAGAAAGGAAAGATCTTTTCAAGTATACCGCGATGGAGACCTCACTTTAGCGCCGTGACTGTCAAAGATGCGCCGAAGCGGCCCCCCCCCACCTTCAAATCGGCGGTACCCCCAATCAAGGGCATTGCTGCTAAAACAGTACCAAAGTATTTGAAACAGTGCGGCGCGAAAAACAACATCATTTATGTGGGTTGAGAATGGGGGTCTATTTATGTCACTTCGCCTTTGTTTTTCAGGGTTCAACGCATGCATGAACGTGGGATCGGGCGGCGGGACGAACATGTTCTCCCGTGTCTCTAAGCGCCGGCCCTCGAAATATCGCACACAGGGGCGATCCGGCACGGGGCGGGGAAATCCAATCGTGTGATTGTTTAAGCGCTTTTCTCTGAGTCGGCCGTTGGGGATAAATGGGTGAATTGCTCGGTTTATTATCGGTGTTACTGGGTGCCACCTGTCGGAATGGATGGAGATGGACTGAAAATAGCGAAGACTTTGTACTACAGTTCTTGATATCTTTGTTTCTAACGTTGTCATAGAGAGCCTTTATTTGTCTTTCATTAGTCGGCAATGTTTATTTTGTTTACATTATTGGTTTTCTTTTTTTTTATGAAACAAGCTACCTTACAAGTCGAAAAATCCAAGGAGCTGCGATGCCAAATAGTGAGTGACTTAGTTTGGTCAAAATGAAACTGGTTGTAAAACCTAATAGCCCAACCTTTGGAAGCCTATGCTCCCTTACTGACCCGGATCCTTTTCTTGCAATATTATACATTAAGCTTTCGTCAAAGAGTTCTGATGTTTCGGACCCATTACTTTAACTCTAAAGTAGGCAGCTTCCATTTTAACCTTTAGAGTTCTGCTCCTGTGTTTCACTGTCATGAGAGTAGATTTGCATAGGATACGCTTAGTATGAGATTTAGCTTTTGCTCCGGGAAAACATTAGGGTAATATTGTCTTGTGTGATTAGGTAGACCGTCCTAAGCATGCCCAGGTGAGCAAAATTAGAGCCCACTTACTTGCATTGCCCCTTCAACCATCAAATTTGATTACCATCCCCATAGCTATAAACAAGGAAAGAAATAATTATTATCTAGCTATCTGTTGCTCCGGAAGTTTGGATATGATATAGTATTCCAATTTCTCTGGATTATAGATCGCGAATTCGTTTTGTGCCGTCCCCGAGTATCAGGGAGCAAGAAAGCGCATTGAAGACGGTACGCGCAATATGATTTCTTCACACAAGTCCTATCCTGGGTTAAAAATGCAGATTTAAATCATGAGGCTTACTGCTCTCAAAATAAAGGACCATTTGGTGTCAAAGTGAGTAGCGGCTGACGATCACCTGATGGCGGGTTGAGAGCCGAAAATTGTATTGCAACTGTATGTGGGGGCTAGGACTTTCACTCTCCCATGACAGTATCACGGGATAGACCGTTCATCAGCAATGGATTCCATGTCAATGTCCTTTGGAAATGCCCTCTCCTCTCTGCAACTGGGAAGTAACCACGGCGGTACCATTAACTTTAACTCTCCCGGTATGTCTCAGAAAGGCCCTTCTCGACCGCACTTTATTGGTTGACAGTCGGCTTTTTGGTCTTTGACTAGCTCAATCAGAAGCTTCACAGCAAGATAAAGACAATGGTATCTATATATCCTTGCGATTAAGAGGGACTACCATTGACTATCCTGATAGTGATTCTCAAATCCCTGGCATTTCCTCAAATGTTAGACCGGAGAGATAACATTGAGCAATGTCATGCCAGCACCTGCGAATGGATTCTGGAAATGGAAGAGTACAAGACCTGGATGGGCAGTCGTCATGGCTTACTTTGGGTCAAAGGCAAGCCGGGTGCAGGCAAATCGACCTTGATGGCATTCCTCTATGAAAAGCTCGAGAAATTTCCGGAAAATGATCAACGTGGGGCCATTCAACTCGATTTTTTCTTTACGGCTCGAGGCACTGAGCTACAGAGAACACCACTTGGTATGTTCAGGTCTTTGCTCAACCAGATATATGCCTCAGACGAAACTGTGCGCTGTGCCGTCCGCGAGGCTTATGAAAAACGATGTCGGCTGTTCGGACATAACGATGAACACAAATGGCCACAGAAAACACTGGAAGAGCTACTGACAAGTGCTATTCTCACATCGGCAAATCAAAAGCAAGTGAGAGTCTTTGTGGATGCTCTGGATGAGACAGGGGCCGAGTCCGCCCCGCAGCTGGCAGCATATTTCCATCGACTCAGTACTCGTGCTGAAAAGGAGAAGGTGTCTGTTCAGATCTGCATCTCGTGCCGACACTATCCCATCATAGCAAGCCCCCAGGCTGTGGAAATCTGCGTCGAAGATCATAATCGGAGGGATATTGCGACATACATCGACGACGTTCTTGCTGATATGGAAAATGAAGAAGATATCACTGAAACCATGAAAGAGGAACTTATGAAGGAACTGACAGGAAGAGCAAATGGTGTATTCCAATGGGTCCACATCATGCTGCCTCTTCTTCAACAGCGAGTCCTTGACGGGGATTCGTTGGATGAAGTCAGCTCCTGGTTAAATGAGGTCCCGGCTGATCTAGAGGAGGTGTATACATACATTCTCAACAATGTGATAGATGAGAGGAATCGTGGACAGTCGTTCCTGTTATTTCAATGGCTGTGCTTTGCTGAGCGGTCTTTGACGTTGACTGAAGTCCGGTACGCCTTGGTAGCGGAGAATACCAAGATATTGCTTTCACCAAAACCATGGGAGAAGGTTGAGGGATTTGTCGACAGTGACAAGCGCATGAAGCGGAAACTCAAAGCCCTTTCTGGTGGCCTAGTTGAGGTTGTTTCTGGCCAGGAGAAGAGTGATAACTCAGCATGGGGGTTTGACGGGCCCTTGCAGTTAGTTCAAGTGGTTCACCAGTCGGTTAATGATTTTCTATCCAACAAAGGATTGGAGCTTTTGCATCTGTCAGCCGACAAAAGTTCATCACTTGAATGTGACACGGCGCCTTTCTCGAAATTTCAAGCAACTCTTTATAGGTCTTGTCTGGTTTATTTCGCCACGTCAAATACGCCCCGAAAATTGACGAAAAAGCAATTGATTCAGAGCTACCCGTTTCTTGCATATGCCACCGAGAACCTTTTCATTCATGCGGAAAAAAGTGCCGAATCGCGAATCGACGTGCTTAATAATGAAATTGATACCCTTCAGCGGCTCTTCGACAGATGGCTCAGCATCCATCGCTGCTTTAGCGAAGAAAGTACATCCCAAGACACATTCCCGCCGCTCGGCACCAAACTTTCACACGTGGCTGCATTATACAATCTAGTCGATGTCATAGAATGGCTGGCCTCAAACAGCAACGATCTGGGGTCCGAAGACAGCGACGGAAATACGGCGTTTCATTTCGCTGCTCGACGTGGTCATATAACAGTGGCAAAGATCCTGCGACAGAATGGAGCAGACTGTGGGGTAAAAAACACCAAATCTGGAAAAACGCCATTGATAGAGGCGGCCGAAAATGGAAATTTGGAATTTGTCGAATGGCTCCTAACCGGGGGAGTAAATCTCGACCAGGCGGCGCATGATGAGGGAAGCGCGCTTCATGCAGCTTCAGAAAATGGTCATCATGCGGTGGTGACAATGTTACTCGAAGCGGGAGCGGATGTCAATACCCAAGGTGGGCTTTTTGGCAACGCTCTACAAGCTGCTACTTATTATGGAAATATTGAAGCAGTTCAACTACTACTAGATGCCGGGGCCGATGTCAATGCCCGAGGTGGCGAATATGGCAATGCTCTACAAGCTGCTGCGAGGCAGGGAAATATCAAAGTGGTCCAGCTACTACTAGATACCTCTGCCAATGTCAATGCCCAAGGTGGTAAATATGGCAATGCTCTCCAAGCTGCTGCAAGGCATAGAAATATCAAAGTAGTCCAAATACTACTAGATGCCCATGCGGATGTCAATGCCCAAGGTGGTCGATATGGCAACGCTCTCCAAGCCTCCGCTTTCAATGGAGATACAAAAGTAGTTCAAATACTACTAGATGCCCATGCGGATGTCAATGCCCAAGGTGGTCGATATGGAAATGCTCTGCAAGCCTCCGCTTTCAATGGAGATATCAAAGTTGTTAAAATACTACTTGACGCTGGTGCAGATGTCAATTCCCAATGTGCCACATATGCTAGTGCTCTACAAATTGCTTCTTTTTATGGGGATATCGAAATAGTCCAAATACTCCTAGATGCCCATGCTGATGTCAATGCCCAAGGTGGTAGATATGGCAGCGCACTGCAGGCTGCTGAATCAGGGGGGCGCATAACGATAGTACAGGTGCTATTAACCGCCGGTGCTCGTGAAATTTGAACGGCCGAATACATCGAAGCTGATTGAGGTTGGTGATTGCCATCCTCTCAACACTGGGTATGCCAAGGTGTTCCTGCGCTCTAGATGAGTTTCCTCAGACGAATTGAAATGAGTTTATTACTTTGGCTAGACGTACCAGTCACTGATGAGACGTGGCCGCAGAGGTGAGCATGTAAGAAATAGAAGAAGTGGCTGCCGCCTGGAGCTGCCTGAGGCTTAGGCACGCCCACCGACCTCAGCGCTAGTCAATATAAGACTTAGACATAACCCCAACAGGCCGTCATCAACATAGGATTTCTCAACGAACCCGTTTCCAAATCTCTACATTTCCTATAGTCCTAGGAATTCCCCCCTTCCTAAATCGGCAATATTGTTCCATGCCGAAGATGGAGACTTTGGAAAATAGACATACCACACCTGAGTAAGATCGCCCCAGCCGCCCCAGGCAGCCAGACTCTTAATAACTTACTTTGACAGCGCCAGCATGGCCTCTAAGGCAGTACCTTCAGAGTCATTGCAACCCAAATCGATAGAAATGCTCCATATCTGGCCCGAACCTTGGACCTTCAAGCAGACCATCGCTTCTCTCTTCACGTCGGAGCCGAGTCTGCAATCCCAGATAACCCAAACAGACACGTGGAAAGAAGAAGGAAATTATCCAATGTACAACGTCTGGAGCCCCGCCTTTTTCGGAACCACTCTCCCGCAACCAGGCACCGCCCCATCCAAGTTGACTCGAAATGACTTGATAGTCACGCGATGGAAAGAAGACAAAGAAGAAGAAGACACGGTATCATTGGAAAAGGAAGATATCACGACCTTATCTTTCAGCTCGGAGGATATTATCGGTACTGTCGATGTCGATCTTCCCCCAATGCTCTGCTGCAAGTGTTGTTTCCGGTATCGGGGCTGTATCAGGTTAGCCAACGGCGAACGCTGGCGATTCACCGAAGAGCTCCAAGAATACTTCCAGTTTGCCCGGGAGTGGGGAAACGTGTCGTCGAAGATTGGAGGGCCTGGAGACTTGAATCAAACCCGTACGACTAGTATCTCGTGGTATCGTTACCACGATTGGATCTGGCCGGAGGGAGAGACAAAGCCGGAACTGCCATTTTCAACGAACAAGAATACACATATTTGTCGGGTGAGCTTGAGAGCTGCGCGCAGCTCTGCGAGCCTGAGTTCAAAGAGGGATCTCCAGAAAAATCCAACTCTCGCGGTTATGAATGAAGATGGGTTTATTTTCCTGGATACCTTGCCGCAAGGGCAGGGGCTTGAAGCAGGTGGCCTACGGGACTTGATCGTACTAACTGGTCTTGCTGTTGCAAATTATGAGCAGCGCTCAGGCAACAAGAAGTAGTCTAAAGTGAATTTTGGAAGACAAAGTGAGAAGAGCCCTGGGGGTTGATTTCAAGTTGAAGAGGATGTCGAGAATTCTCTGTCCTGATTTGTTCCATCACAACTTCTAAATAGTGGTACTAGTAGTAATATCGTATGCTTTCCGGATAATTAAGTTGCGTATTTCGAATTTATTATGACTTTATTACCTAGTCTCTAAAATCGCCAGCATATTCATAATGATGTGTTTGGTGCAACGCTCGAGTCTACTATGGACTCCGCAATGTTGGCATATAACTTGACCATAGTAAAAAAATACTCATAATCAACGCCCTTCTAGTGGATTCCAAAATGCCAACATTAAACCCCAGCCAAGTGACCCAGAGTACCCACAATTACTACTAGTAACTTACTAATTATGACTCGATAATTCAACTTCAAACTTGTATTGTTCATGTGACTAACCCAGACGGGATCCCGGCACATGACATCATCCCAAGCTGTCCCGACTCTCCAACTCCGACTTCACCTCTTCCCCTCTGCTCCGCTCTCCTAATCTCCTCATCTCCTCAATCACCTCCAATTTACAACTTGAACTCTCCCCTGCCTACCAATCCCATCCAACCATCAAAATGTTTCGCTTTGTAAGTTCCCCTCCCATTGCACCCGCCAACAAAGCTAACCACCCACCAGAGCAAAACCCTCGACCCCATCACCCTCTTCCACAACCCAAACCTCGCCCCCTCAACCCGAACCCTAAACATCCTCAAGCAAGCCTCAGCTGCTGCTGCATCCTCCGCAACCGAAGACCAAGCCAGCGACCACAGCACCCACTCAAAGCAACAACGCGGCCAATTCGAATTGGAAGTCACAACCGACAACCCAACGACCGATCAGCTGCGCTCGATCCTGGATTACATCTCGCCGACCAGTGGCACCGGTGGTCTGGGTAACAAGGAGACTTACGCTGTTTCTGAATTGATTCGTGGTGCCAGGACTGCTGAGGAAGCGTTGAAGAAGTTCAAGGAGGATCCCTCTGGGAGCTTTGTTAAGCCTATCACTGTTGATTGGACCAATGGTCGTGCTGTTATTGGTGATCAGGAGTCTGCTATCTTGAAGATGGTTAGACAACTTCCTGATAACTAGGCGATCACTTTCATTTTCATGCTAGTGCTGCGGCTAAAGGGCGATTCCGGCCGGACTTTCATGGCGCCCGAGTCGAGCGATTTAATTGAAGGGACTCAATGTGGTGCGCGCAGTGCAATTAGAGCATTGTTGAGATCACCTTGATATGGGCTACTGCTTATGTGTTTTGTGAAGGATTACTGTAACTGAGACTAGTCATGTTTATGTAAGTATCATACACTCAATGTTAAACTCCATCAAAGACCCCGCGACTGCGACGACCGCGACCAACCCGAAAACTTGAATAGTGTAGAGTAGAATAGAATAGACTTCATCTTCACATTGCTTCTGCGGGTACAATACAATACAATGCAGCGCAGTGGAGCCCAGTGCCGCCGCAGGAGGATAAATAAATAGCAATGCATGGAGAAAAGAAGTAAAAAGCGCCATTAAACACATACGCATCGACCAAGCCAGCTTGAATCAGATGACAAGAAGCAGAAGGGGGCTTAAAAGTAAACAAGCCTGACTGAGTCGGCTACTAGAAGATAGTTCCGAAGCTGCCATCCGTCGCGATCGGTTTGCGTGGTGAACTGCGACCACCAGTGCTGTCGACGGCGGGTTTGCGGTGACTGGATAGACCGTTTCTGTTAGCAAATGACTCTTCAATGCCAGCAGATTGGACCTGGGGGTAAATGAAACATACCGGAAGGTAAATCCCACAAATAATTGCTTATTCATCTTATCATCACGGTCGGCCATGTCCTCGAGTGCACGCTGCTTATCATGGACCTCCTTATACTTGGCCATGTCCGCCTCGTTACTGAAATCGTCAAAGTAGCCTGCATCCGTCTCCGAGTCCAACTCTGGTACGAATGGTGCCCGCTGCTCGCGCAGCCGATTGAAGTCGACCTCACTGAAGTAGTCGTGGGCGTGAATCTCGTTAATATTCTTGAACCGTTGTTCCTTGCCTGCGACCAATTTCGTGATAAGATCCCACGTCCGGCGAGAGAGGAAATAGTTCGGATCCTCGTATACTGGCTTGCGGAGGACCTTTTGCCAACGCTTAAGGTTTTGCCATGTTTCGTCGACGGTCGCACCTGCGAATGGAGGATAGCCGGCGAGCGCCTCGAATAACATACAGCCCAGACTCCAATAGTCGACTGTAAAATCGTATTGCTCGCCCTTGAGCACTTCCGGTGCCATGTAATCGGGCGAACCGACGATAGACTTAGCATAGTTGACTTCGCGCTCGCGCAGGGTGCGGTACCCCTGGCGGCGCTCGGCCATAGTTCGCTGTTCCATGGGTCGGCCGAACGGGACTGAGGTATTGCCCACTTCTTCTAGCTTCACGCGCATCGACTCAATCTTTCCGGGACTCAGCATGCCAGCCGCCAGACCGAAATCGGTCAATTTAACATGACCGGTCGAATCGATCAGGAAGTTCTCTGGTTTCAGATCACGGTGAATATAACCCAAAATGTGGAGCGCATCGATACAACTGAACATCTCGGCGATGTAGAAGCGCGCATGGCGGTTATGGAGAACGCCGGTGTTGTTGAGCAGAGTGCGGAAATCACCACCTGGAACATACTCCATCGCCAGGTAGATTTGGGTGTCATCTTGGAAGGCGTACAAGAGCTTGACGAGCCATTCACTCTTTGCCGCGGTCAGAATGTCGCGCTCGGTGAGAATGTGTCGGATTTCGTCTAATTTGAATAGGAGCTTCTTGCTCATCACCTTCAAGGCACACACCTCGCGCGTGTCCTTCTTCTGCGCCAAGTATACCTGGCCATAACCACCCTGGCCGACCTGCGTCAGGATCTGGAAATCGCCCTGGCGGAGACGGGTGCGACGCTTGCGAAGATGTGCGCGCTCGCGGCCCAGGTATTTCAAAAGAGCGGGTTCGTATTCGTCGTTGGGGGTAGTGGGGGGGGCTCGGGGTAGGCGGCTTTGAATTGGGTATGGCGGGTTTGACGGTTGTGGACGTAACTGAGGAGATCGAAGTAGTGGTCAAGGAAGTCTGCGGGGATTAGTATCAGGAGGGCAGTTCTGGGTGTTGTGAAGGGAGTGATCTTTCGTTCAACATACATAGTTGGGTGACATTTGCCAAGCGCTTAACCTTGGGTTGATTCAACTTCTCCATCTCCTCCGGGGTCAGCCCGCGCAACTGAACCTGGCGCTTGGTCGTGTCGTCCCGTTGTTGCTGATAAGGCTCATGTCGGGAGATGGCTGCGGGGGTCGGGTTTGAACCCAATTCTTTTTGTAGGCGGGTGGTCGGAGGGGTATTTTCCTTGTTTGCGCGACGGGTCGGGCTCGTAGGACGTTGGTGGATGACACTCTCGTTGAAGTCGTCCGGACGTTCGCGTTCGCGATCGGTAAACATGGGATGATTGAAGTGGTTATGGGTGGGTTTGGAGGGAGAGGTCGGAGTCAATTTCAAGGCCTTGTCGAATACATTGGGCAGATCGAGAGCGCCAGGGGGTGCCCGGGATTTACTAGGGCTTCCCTGAGGGGTTTGTGTTGGACTGATGTAGCCACTGCCGGCGGGGGTGGAGGGGCGATCGAAGGATTCATTGCCGGAGCGAGTGTGTAGGAGAGGCGGGGGATTAGGCAGTCGGAGACCACCGTCGACATCGATAGCCATGATAGGGGGATGAGTGGGATGTGAGAAGTGAAGGGTCGAAGGTTGAAGAGTGAAGCGTGAAGTGAAGAGTGAAGTGAAGAGAGGATAAGTTGAAGGAAGGAGGGGAGCCCCTTGATCAGGCAGGACTTGGGCGGAGTTTACGAGTACCCTTGACCACCACTTCACACTATTCTTGCACTACGAGTACACTACGAGTACACACACTCTCTCTTCATTTATCCAACGGAACAGGATCGGTCCAGCTCCACTCGATCGGATCTTGCTTCAGCGCGATTCAGCTCCATCCACATCCACTCCTACACCCACTTCCCTCCCCTGTCTGTCTGTTGCCTGAGCAACTAACTCTAACCCCCCACGTCATCCTAAGGCTGTGCAGCCAGGAAGTTGAGTTTATCGAGGCGAGCTGAACCTGATCCACCCCGGTGGACTCGGAGGTAAGCGCTGCAGGTCATATCCTGTTCCTGATCTAGTGGAGGGGTCGGGGTGGAGAGGTGTTTGCCTTGGTTGACGGAATTCGGAGATGACTGGAGATGACTCTGTTTGTACTCCGAGGATCAGTATGAGTATCCAATTATCGAGATAGTCCCATTGTATTGGTTTAGTGCAAGGGTGTTCCATGTGCTGTATATTGTATATTTCATAATGTTATTGTTATTGTATCTCGTATAGTTATATCCTACCCATGGATCCGTGGTTGATAGCAAGTAAGCAAACTACCCGATTGGGATAGCCCCGAACAAATATCAATTTTCACAAGGATCTTCGCATCCCAGGATCCTTCGACTCGGGGCTCTCGTCGACTTTATCTACCAAGGTTGCCGATGCCATCCCCAAGCTTGATTGGCCATCTAAACCTGCCCCTCAGCTCGCTGGCCCGTCTATGAGATCGGTTAGCACTCAACTCGCTCGACTCCACCCACAGCCCTAGATCAGCAAACACTCGGATTCGGACTCACAAAGAACGCTAGCCCATACGTCTGAGTCGAAAAAGTGATCGTCACTCCCTTGGGGAAATAAAACACATCGCCTGGTGACGCTGTCACTTTCTGGCCCGTCTCGTCCGAAATTTCAAATTGGCCCTCCAGAATAATCTTCATCTCGTCGTAGGTATAGGTGTACACCAATGGGGTCCCCTTCTCTAGTCGGTAGAAGCCCGCGGACATGGGCTTGTCGGGGTTTTCCTTCTGACTATTGATGGTGTTAGCATTGCTCATCACTATACCGCATACTATGTAGTACACTATCCTCTTCCGCTTACCTGGTGCTAATATCGCCGAGGAAGGCATTCTCATTCGCGATGAGTGGCGGCTTGAAGGTGGACTGGGCCTTGGCGTAGTATTTGAATGCCGACATTTTGTATCTTGTAAATGTGACTGTTCCCAGTTGTTGATCTTAGAGAATTGGCCCCGTGCCCGCTGCTTGATTTATATGATCTTGCTCCAGGTAAATTCGCAAGCCCCTCCCGAAAGAGGGGATGTTCGCCATCGCGCTGAGATCTGAGTACAGGCAGTTGCTTCCTGGTTGCTGTGTCGTGAGTTGAGTAGAAGGCTGGATTGCATGCCTCATTTAGGCAGGCCGGGGGTGAATCTAACAGTCCCACTGGCCCAGCGATGCGAAATGCGATGCGATGCGATGCGATGAGGGGTTGAATGAGGGGGAAGGGAGATAAGCTCTGATCGATATAGAGAGGAGGGTAGGTAGGGACGGATTGTTCAGGTGAATTCAATTCAAGTTATGCTAGTTTCAAGCTGCTATTTTGAGGAAACTATTCTGGATACAATTCAAGTTCGAATTATTCGAAGCTATACGGAGTAGGCCAGGCTTAGTTAACAACTTGAACTTGAATGCCAGCGAAGTGTCAATTCGATTCCACGGGATACTATTCCCCGAAACGGTTAGTGGATATATTGAGTTGTACACTGGCACCAACCAGAGGAACTCTGTGCCCTTTTTGATAGGATACTAATCAAAAGACAGGTCCAGTAATTTTTAAGGAAAGAATTCCCATCTCGAGGTTCGCATCCACAAGACAAGTTCGTCTTAGCGTGGACCGGAAAAGTTCATAAAGCTCCAGATGCCTTCGATCAACTTTCTTTTGTATTGATAGTTGCCCTCAGGAGGTCCATTGCTGATAAGAATTGCTGAATAACATTCTCTGCTGGGGCTCACCATAAGAGCAATATTCATCTGGCACAGATTGGCCAAGGTCATCGTCTTCCTTGATGGTCCGAGTCACGAATAGTGGCGGTACCTGGATTGTATAACATCCTCAAACCTACCATGAGTATCGCAGGAGCCTGATCACTAATTTCAAGTTCGGCTCTTTTGACCAGCTCTTTCCACAAAACGGACCGTTTCCATGGGCGTGTCTAGCCGGACCGCCATCACGGAACGTCACGGAATGGACTCGGAGCGAACATGCCGGTACCATATATACAATGGACAGCCTGAGACATGCACTTCTTCCAAGTGTTGGGAGTGAAAACAGATCTTCACTTGGAAATGAGGACGATCATGGCCATTCTACAGGAGTCTACGGACAATGGATAGCTGATATAATGAAACGGAATGGCAGAGATGAGCCAAACCCCCGCCCGGATCAGCCTCGCATCTTGAAGAATGCGGGGAAAACTGTATTCCATGCCCGCGGGCATCGGATGTGTACCAAGATATGCTGGCCATACATGATCTAGCCGTCCTACCCCACGGTCATCGTGATAGGCCAGTGCTGATGAGATAGATATCCGGCGTTCACGGCTCACGGTTCACGGCAGGTAGGTCCGTTAGCTTGATCAAGAGTGCACCTGACCCCATGTTCTAGATCGTTTCACAGAAGTTGAATCTCAGAATTGATATGGGCGAAGTGCCTATAATATGCACAATATTTAGAGAGGAACTCGGAGCGGCTCTAGACTTAGGGTATAGGTAGATGACATTATTTCCGGTGAAAATTGTGTCTCAGTGAGGCGGAGGTTGTAAGGTCAACTTCTAGAAGCAATTCAGTGAATGTTTCACTGTACGCTGGCCGTATTTCGATGATTTCAGATGGATCAGCTCTAATCCCACTATGAAAGGGGCGATCGGGTCGGCAGTTACAAACCCGATACAATACAGTATGGTACATAAGATACTGTATTGTTGTGATTACCAGTAACTACTGTTTGTACCGTACCGTATTGACGTACCCTTCGTGCCTGGAACTTCCTTCCCCGCATGAACCACACCAACCACCAACCAACCACCTACCTCCATCTTCCATCTATCAGACCCAGTGCCACGTCGATCCGGCATGCACACTGCTACTGAATACCTACCGCCTATCAATGATACCCTCAATATACACAGATTGGATCGTGCTCCTTTACGGCCTGGTTGAACTAACACTGCGGTATTCTTGAGGTACATATACTCCTCGCCAACGCATCGTTGGAATTGAAATGGACTACATCCGTACCCCTCAGCGACTCCAAGATCGGCGTCCCCGCATGGGCCTTATCTCGCCGAAGGCAAAGGAACGGTAATGCATAGGCGGAGACTGGCCCGGCCCTATCTTCGTCTTCGTGTCATTCGCGTCATGCACCCCGCTCTTATCTCCCTTCAACCTTGGATTTGCCCACTGGCAGTTAGATATTTCCCATCCATCATTTTCTCCCGATCCAGCGAGGTCCAACTATTGATCTGAACGCCTTGGTATGGAAACAATCAAAATTCCATCACCGTCCACGATTTTAGACTCGCCCGACACACCGGCCGGGAAGCCTGCCTCGCCCCGAAAGGCGAAGCAGTCGACCCGAAAGCCCAAACAGACCAAGAGTCGCAATGGTACGATCAGCTGATATTTGGTTTGGCGAACAGACGGACTCGGCTAGGAGCAGTTGACTGCCCCTGCTGGGTGCCAGTGCCAGCTAGACAATCCGCAGAATAGTATGCTGACCCATCTATCTGCTTCGCCCAGGTTGCATTACCTGCAAGGCGAAGCGCCTGAAGTGCGACGAGACAAAGCCGTCATGCGACCAGTGCGAGCGCCGTAAGGTGACCTGTGGGGGATACAAAAAGGACTTCAAATGGCGGCCGTTTGAGGAGACCAATATGTCCGTTGGTCGGCCTCCCGCAAAGACAAAGAAGGGTGCGCTATTCTACAGAGCTATGTTCACATATACCCTTCCAAGTTCTCCCGCTAATCTCTCATTCACAGCAACACCATCGCAGTCGTCCCAGAAGCCTCAGTCTCGGCTCCCTGCCAACTCGGAGAACTTTCCAACACCGCCAAGGACAGAGGAATCGACCCCGCCCACACTATTGCAGGCCAGCTCGAATGCAACTCCTCCCGAGATAGCCTTTCACGGCTCTCCTGACAGTTTCAAAAGCTACATGTCTATTGATGACAACTCACTTGATGACTTTAAACTACCGGAAGAGCCATCCACCAGCGCCGAGTCGACCACTCACCTGGGCGTGACGGTCCCTGTCGACTCCGACCCTCTGAAAATCTTGTCCTTTCTTGAGCCTTTTCAACATTCTGTCCCATTCACAGATTATTTGATGCCCGATCAAGAAGACCTGGATGACAACTCTGGCTCAATATTCTTTGGCCCACAGGAATTCCAGCCTCCCAATGGCCCGGGGCTTAGTTTCTCCCAGTTGCTTGAGGATGAAAACGGCGACATCGAAGAGATTATAAGGCAGTCAGACCCCAGTAATGGCCCGTGGAATCTGAATTTCTCTGGGGAAGATGGCGACGCGTTTGACTTTTCCCGTATTCCAGAACAGCCCAATCTGGCCCCTGAGAGTCGGGAGATGTTGGCCATGCGTTTTGATAAAATGACCTGCGGTATACTTTCCATCAAGGATGGCGCAACGGAGAATCCTTGGCGCACCCTCATCTGGCCACTTGCTAAAAGCACCCCTGCGTTATACCATGCGCTGTTTGCTCTATCGGCATTTCACTATGCCAAGGAGAATCCAGCGTTACGAGTGCAAGGTGTCAAGCATATGCGCCAGAGCATTACATGTCTGAGACAGCAAATCCAGAGCATGCGAGCTGACACTGCTTTGGCAACTAGCCTCGCGCTTGCATTCGCAGATACTTGGGATCAGAATACGCGCACTTGCATTCAGCATCTACGAGGTGCCAAGGCACTGATGATGCAGCTTCTCAATGCAGGACTCCAGGGTGGTCTTCAACCCGAGGAGCTCGACCGTATTCGTTTCTTGTACAATACGTGGACATATATGGACGTCATCGCGCGGCTGACCTCACTGGATGAATCCAGTCCCCAAGATCTGAATCCAGCCATTTTCCAACTCCCCGGCGACGCAATTCACGAGATCGACCCCTTGATGGGTTGTGCATCAACGCTATTTCCTTTGATCGGTCGAGTAGCTCGATTAGTCCAGCGCGTTAGAAAAACGTCGTCAAACTCTGTTTCCATTGTGGCGCAGGCGATGGAACTGAAGAGCCTTATCGAGCAGTGGGAACCACCAATTTGGTTCGAACCGCCCGAGGATCCTACTTCCGAGGTCCAGCACAGTATTCAGGTTGCGCACGCCTATCGCTGGGCAACCCTCCTGTACCTTCATCAAGCTGTACCAGAGATGCCTTCCGAGCCTGCGGAAGAAGTTGCCAAGCGTGTTTTAATCCTTCTCGCAACCGTGCCATATACCTCGCGAACCATCATCATTCAAATGTTCCCTCTCCTTGCCGCTGGAGCAGAGGTCGACATGGAAGATGACCGGAAATGGGTTCTTGATCGGTGGAACACAGTTCAATCTCGACTTATGCTCGGTGGGGTTGACAGATGCCTTGATGTGTTGCAAGAGGTCTGGTCTCGACGAGATGCTCTGAAGGCCGAGAGAAGACAGCAAGGTGCTAATAGGAACAACGCAAGGCATGGCTCTTTCTCCAGTGATGGCAAGGGATCAGCTGCGTTGCGTGGGGGTGAAAATACTTCGCGGGGATTTCATGTTCGAGCGGGGTCTGGTGATCTCGACAGATCGACCCAGCCACGGAATAATTGTTCCACGGCAGCTTCGAAGAGAAGAGGGTCTGCGCTGTCGTCGTTGGATAATATCGAGTTTGAGAGAACGGTGCGGAGTAGATTGCACTGGGTGAATGTTATGGGTGAATGGGGATGGGAAAGTATGCAGCTCGATCACGCATTCCATTTTCACGGCCTGAGCTGATATTTTGAAATTCCAGTTTTCCTCGGATGATTTCTTCTCAAAATCGGAGATTGGTATTTTGGAGAGTTATTACACCTATCTACCATTTTCTGAGCATACAGAAATAATACGCTGGGACCATGGATTCTGTTTATATTAACGTGACGACTAACGACCCAAGCCGAGTGATACTCTTCTTCTTCCTTGATTTCCAAATTGTATCTACAGATGCAGCCAGCGAGGCGTTTTGGTTTTCTATTGGATTTTGCTTCTTGGTTTTATTCTTACTAGATAGTGTTCGATCAAAGGTGTTTCATCTGGAATTGTGAATATCTAACTGCATATTGGAACTTCTAGGTAAAACGCCCAGCCTATCGATCGTTTCTCCTCGTATCCCGGTCAAAGCCCAACACCCAAAGAGACTGCCACCAGCCCATTTACGATCTATTCGGACAAAAGTGCCAACGCAACCACACTCCTCTACCAACGAGGAGACCGCAATCCTCTACTAGCTCGAAATTTGCCAAACCACCACCCTAATAGTCCGAGCTAGTAGTCCCAGCCATCCTGCATTTCATATCCCACAGAAACCCATCCGTAGCCCTTTCAACTCGCCAGGTCAACCTGTTAATAATTACAGAACCGTTTATTCTTGTGTCCAATCCAACACCCAACCAGATTAATCCTTATACTATCTCTAAACTTCAAACAGGCTCATGGACGCCAACTTTTCATTTGTGAAATTGAGACACCAAAACAGCCCTTCATTCAGCATATCCCAGTCTACCAAAGATTCCCTTCTCACCTGCCGTGTCGAATCACCTATAGTTCATCCAAGGCATCATCTGCAAATACCATCACGGAATTCTCATTTAAGATAATCATATAGTCATATAATTAGTGTTGTCTTGGTAAATAGACCTCTCACCGCCTGGATGGGATGCTTGTCCCGCCCCCCCCCCCCCCCAGTGACCCCATCTGTCCCACTTTCCGCTGCACCTCGATGATCTTGTACATTAGTCCAATCGTCGCATCCATACCTCATTTTTGAGTCGATACAGAGGTCAGCACAATGCCAAGAGCCCCTCGGAGCTTGCAAGCTTGTCAAGAATGGTATGTGTCGCGTCTGGGTCCCAGTCGATCTCCGCTTTTTACTAAATGGCCTCAATTCTCAATGCCAGTCGAAAGCACAAAACTAGATGCAATGGTCTTAGACCTCAATGTGATGTTTGCACTCGGAAATGCAGGTCTTGCCACTGGTCTGATAGTCTCGCACCTGGTGGCTACAAGCACCTCTTTTTCGAGGGTTCGGCCTCAACTCTGAGCGGAGATCCCGACAAACCACCCAAAGTGATTTCCATAAGACAGCCCGCAGAAACGCAGCTACAAGAAGATAGCGCCTGTGATCTTCCGTCACTTCCGCTGCGTCGACGACTGATTGATATCTTTGCACAAACTCATCACCTGCTAGATCTTTGTGGCTGCATACATTTGGACCCGCTCCAGGATGAGGGAGTGACAAGCGAGAATCAGTTCTTACTCGAATCGATCTTGGCTCTTTCTGCACTATATATACCACTTAGAGAGGCGCAATCTGACTCCAGATTTACGAGCGCGAAAGGTATGGTGCGCTATTATCGAAATAAGGCGCAGGCTTCGTCTCGGCAATCCTCCGATCAGCCTGCTAGTAAGGTGACCCCTGCTGCCACGTCCACATTCACCTGCTAACTGGGTCAGTCATCAATATACAAGCAAATCTAGTATTGGGTCTTTGCGAGCTCTTAACAATGGCTACATCAAAAGCATGGCTACATATCGGACTCGCTGTCCGCATGGCACAAACTTTGCGAATGCGAAATGAATACAGTGGACGGCATATACCACGCAAACGCGAGATCCGGAGACGAACATTCTGGGCATGCGTCATTTTTGATCGCCTTGTTGCGTACTGCACGTTCCGAACCCAAACCATTGACTTGGCACTAGTCGGGCTACATCTCCCCTGCAGTGATATCGCCTTTGCCTTTGGACACGACTCCCCAGGCCCAAAGATGCATGAGCTCGGAACCCGGCCTCATCAAGATGATGGAAAGTCAACTCTTTCATATTTTGTCAAAACATTCATTCTCTGGTCCCCCATTGCACAGGCGTATGTCGACGGAGGTCGCCGAGTTTCGCCATCCTCTCTTTACGATCTTTCAAGTAGACACTGGCAGAACCTGGCAGTTATCAAAAATTGGCTGGAGTGCTTGCCGGAGGATTTACATTGGTCTGAAAATAACTTGAGAGCACACCTGTCTCTTGGACAGCTGTCGCATTTCACGAGCGTTCACCTCCTCATTCAGCACGCCTTGTTCTTGGCACATCATGAGCATCTTCCGCAGCTCGAAGATTTACCTTCTGACATTTCAAGTACTGCGCTAGCGTCCGATGTAACCAATCCAGACACAATCACGACTTGTATGACTGGCGCCAACTGCGTCATTAATATGCTACAACTCATCGATGCCGTTGTTCCAGGTTTCAGAAGCACACCGCCAGGTATTTGCAGTATAATACCAGTAGTGACCACCGCGAGTGTGTTGCTATGGTTTCAATATGTGAGCCCGCTTGTGGATAGCCTAGTGCAGTCCTCGCAAAGCGATATTCACCGGGCCAGATCAGATGTTGATTATTTACTGTCACTGTTAGACGGCTGGTCCAAAACTTGGGTTTTGGCAAAAGCGTTTGCAAGTTCGATACGGCTTTTGGACGATTTTTATCAGTCAAAATATGGCCGTGCGATACGTGACCCTACGGTAATCGACATAAATACAACGCACTGTCAGTCATTGAAAGAGCAAGGAAACGGTACGGAGTCAGTGGTAGCATCTCCAACCCCGCTATGTGATGGCGACGGATTCCCAGAAATTACAGGCATCCCCAGGGAACCTACTATAAAGTTCGACTCATTACTGGTTTAGTTTTAGAGCAACCCGAGCTGTGCAAGAAGTTTCTCCACATCTTTGGGGATCAGGGCACAGAGGCTACTGAGCAGCAACTATATTCTTGGGAGAATGATCTTGACTTTTCGTGGATAAATGATATGGATTTGTTGGCTGACTCTCCCCTTTGGCCAGATTCAGCACTGCAGCTAGAGCAATAGAGAAGCCTCTCATAGTGGCTGAAATAAAACAATCTAACAATTCCTAGTATACGTATCTAAAGTGGCCGATCTCCTTGTCTGTTCTGTCCATCATAGCCATAATTGTGTCTGTTCGCATATCACCGGCGTCCGCCGCGCTTAGGGACTCATTTTGCTGTTCCCGAATTCGATTGTTCCACATAAGATAGAAACGGAACATTAAGCATAGCAAGAAACATGCTGCTTGACATACCATGAGGGCAATAAAGCCTGAGTCGTATGATGGTGCTTCTCTTTCGAAAAACAGTTGCGGGCCGATAATGTTACCTGCACAATAAGCAATAAAGCTCTGCAATATGATGAAAGTTCTGGTCAACAAAATTTCCCGCTAGCATTAATATTTGCGTTATTGGATCACATACCAATGCGTTCACCGTTGTTTTCTTTGTAAAGCCACCAATGTTGCCAGAAACCATCGACATCAGCAATGGAAAAGAAGCCGAGTTGGCTCCCATTAGACAGGTCCCAGCATAACGACCCCATTTGTCATTTTCCGGTAGTTCACGAACAAGTGCTGCTCCGACAAGTGCAACTGCAAAAGATAGCATCATCCAGAAAGTCCGGGTATTCCGGAAGTAGCTACTCCCGCCAGTGCAAATGATAACCAGGGCTAGCTGAACAAGATATGGCACGCATTGCAGTAGCAAAGTATCGAATGTACTGAAGCCAATCCCAGTAAGAATAATAGACCGGAACTATAAATCATTAGCATTTAAATTGTCTGGTTTAGCATTCGCGTTCATGAAAGATGACTCACAGTTGTTACTCCACCGTTTGGAATATTAGAGCTGAATTGAATAAGAACCAAAAACCAAGTTTTCATATCCATAACAGCCTCTAGACATTGTTCCCACTTGAATTTGTCGTTCTTGATTCCGGTCAGGTTCTCCTGAACTCGCGCCACAGCCTTCTCCCGATCCGAACTATTCAAGAACCATGCATTTGAGGGCGTATCTGGAAGCAGGAAAATATTGCAAATTGACCAGGCAACAGTTGCCCCTCCAAGAATAAGGAATGATGCCTATATTTCCATATTTTAGTAGTCGACTCTCCACTTAAAGATACCGCTACAATTCATACCTTCCACGGCGCAATAGTTTCTATATGCCCGATCCCATAATTAAGCAGCCCTCCAAATAGCCCGGCACATGTGTTTCCTAGAAACCACGCTGCATGGCGAAGAGGCTGCTCGGATCGCTTATAGAACATGGATATGATAATTGTGAGTCCGGGAGCAATTGCCGCCTCAGCAACACCGAGGAAAAATCGTGTTGCAAGCAGCCCACTAGAGTTATGGCATGTGGCCGTCAACATCAGGATTGCGCCCCATGCCAGGCTTCATCCGAATATAATGTTAGAGGTTGTAGAGCAGATTAGGCAGTAATGGTAGAAGTGCGCTCACATAGAAGCCGTAATAAATTTGCCAACTCTCCACCTAACCATCAGTACACCCGCTGGGTAAGATGCCACAAGATAGCCAAAGTAGTATATTCCACTTGACCAAGAGTATTCTTCGCCGGTGAGATTTAATTCATCACGAAGACCCATGATCGCAGTTGATGCAAGTGCTGACTTGTCAAGATATTGGAAGAGATATGAAAGAGCCATAACGGGCAACAAACTGATCAAGAGTTAGTATTCTATCCTTGGGGCCAAAAGAGTTCGCCCTCAGGGTGCGCACCACATGTCCAATTTTCGAAGAATTCGTTTATCTTCCTCGGGGCTCAGGGCTTCATAGGATCCCTCAACTGTTTCAATGTCCCCGCATACCAAGATTCGTCTTTCACCTTCTCTTCCACTTGGAGCTCTTTAGCCATGATGGTGTATTCTTATATAGTACTTTGAGGCAGGCAAAAAGACGAGTAGGAAAAATTGGTCTCGACGCAGAGCTCATGTGAGAGAGAACAAAAACGTAGTATCTCTCGAGGAGCTAACAATTTTATATGTCAGGGCCAAGGCCATATCTTTCATCGTTATCTTTGCTCCCCACTATTGCAATCTACGACTCCAATACAACTTTGAGTTTGCGGGGAAGTCGCTCGGTCCTCCAGCGGAGACTAGCCGGTTATGGGAATTCCTTTCCGAATATCTATACGGGAGCTAACTTTTTAGAGGCGGTCTATCCGCTGTCTCTTGCTTTTGATCAAGTTTGCTTTATTTCAATGGGCTTATAAAGTTACATGACTTCCTCAAGCTCATGGGATTTTTTAAGAACAATTTATGCACAACATGTTGGAAATTACCTGCTCCGGATCACCTTACGAAGTAGGTTGAGAAAGATTATTTTTTCCAGACTTCGAGCTAACCCATGTTTTCCAGATTGGCTTTCAACATGGAAGTCAAGCCAAGGAACTAGTGCACGGGAGCATTGAATTCTACGATGATTATTTTCAGCGAATGAGCAAGATGAACTGGGCAACTGCAGAGGATGTCGCTATGAAATTCCGGCCATTTCTGGAGCAGCATGTACCTCATCTCGTTGAGGAAATGCAGGGTAGGCTGAACTTTATCAAATTTGATTACATTTCATGCTTTCGTATGTATATTTCCTTACTTACTGATGGTTCATAGGAATTGCTGATGGTGCCGGTGTCTCTCTGCCTGCGGTATTTGCTCTCAACGCTCGAACGGAAATTTCAATGGGCATGATGGATGACGGTTGTACCTCATTGGCTTGGAAGGGCGATGCCTTTAGTGTCGCGGGTCAGAATTGGGATGTAAGTCTTTTTCATACCCTGCCGTTATTAATGTCGCTAATATTATGGGACAGTGGGAGGCAGCTCAAAAGGCCCGTCTGGTTATTTTACATATTAAGCCCAATCAGAATGGCATTACACCCCGAGCGAAAATTAGTTTGGCTACGGAGGCAGGACTTCTAAGCAAGAGTGGCCTGAACTCTCATGGCGTGGCTGTTTTCGTCAACGCGATAAAAGCTGCTGGTGTGAAATTCGATGCTCTGCCCATCCATATTGCTCTACGCACAGTCTTGGACTGTGAAAGCCGCCTAAAGGCGATTGCTCGATTACTTTCACTTACATTGGGTACCTCGGGCCATATCATGATCGCGGATAAAACAGGTGGAACATCTCTCGAGTTTAGCCATCTCGACATCATCCAAATGGAGATGACCAACGGACAGATCGCGCATACCAACCATTTTCTTGTCAAACATGACACTGCAGTCAAGGACTCTCACATCTTCCCCGACTCAATCACACGACAGAAGCGTATCATGTTACTTCTGGAGCAAGCCCGTCAGCATGGGCAGGGCATTAAGGCTCCAGCGGAGTCTTTTGAGAAGATGTTGGAAGACGAGGAGGGTTTTCCTACGGCGATCAATAGAAAGTGGAGTCCTATAAGGCAAAGTGAGACTTTATACAGTTTCGTGGCTGATCTCAATAAGCGGACTGCTCGCCTAAGGCTAGGACGGCCAAATGAGTGCGAGGGGGGTTTGGGAGTTCAAGCCTGTCGATCTTTAGCCAGTTGTAACCACTGAATCAAATCAAGCTTCAGTGCGAAAATAACAGAGACTTCGCCCTTTTTTTTTCTCGGCAGATGAAGTAGGACAAAGAGAGACATGATGGCTGAGCTGAGGCTGGGCAGTGTGGACTTCTAGACCTTAGGGATTCCGACATGCTGTGTACAGTGTACTACTCAATTCAGCAACTTGAGCATGAGCAGACATACTATGTTCAAAAAGCAATGATAGCCGAAACGATTTCAGTATGCTCTACTAGTGCGTTCCCGCAGTCACTGTAATACTGGTAAAGGTGGGTTGTACGGTACATTATCAATACCGTGACAGTGAAAGTGGTGCCGTGTCTGGCGGGCCTGTTCAATTTAATATGGTTAATGTAGTTTTTGCTAATTGCAGCCTTCGGGAACTTTGACAAGTCGGATGGTATAAAGCCGGCCACTAAATGCTGTCAAGATCGCAGGTAGTTCGAATTGTCAAGGATTGATATGGTAGATGTGGAGAGTGCAAGACATTCAAACCAGGCTTCCCATGTAGTTATTGGCTGTTCTTGCATGCTTGATCATGGTAATTATGCAAAATCCCAGAGCTAATTTGCAGTTGCAAGTAACTATCGGATGATTCCGCTCGTTTCAGCCGCATCGACCTATACGAGACCAGTCACATGATCCAAAATGAGTCAACAGCATCTGACAGCCCCGTCATCTTGATCCATTTTCCTCCCAAAAACACTTCTCACAGTCTCATAATAATTGTCAAAATGATTGCAAAGGGCTTATTAACAGTATCGGCGCTGGCTGCTGCAGCTGCATCGGCAACATATGCCGGCACCGTTTATAAAGAAACACGCCGCACAGATTCCCGGCGGATGACACGTCAAAATACTGTTCCTGATTCACTTCGCAATTCCAAATCCGTCAATGAAATTGTTGATCCCAAGGGATGCTCGACTTCTTTTGACACACGGTCTATCTCCATCGACATACCACCTCATCGACGAAATGTCTCGGATGAGGAACTGCTCAGTAGATTTACGAAGGCTTTCTTTGGGGGAGCTGTGATTCGCCCGGAAAGATTCGTCCTTCAAAATTTGACACCAAATCTTGTCAATTTCTCAGGTAGGATTCTCGAACCTCATGCATTCGGGTGATGTCTTCGACTAACCACAACCAACAGCCATAAATTCAAAGGACGCGCCCCAAATATGGCGCGTGGAGCAAATATCAGATTCCACTTTTCTGCCGACATACACAAAGATCTTTGGCACATTTCAAATTATCGACTCACAGACTCATTCCCAAGCCGATTCCTCTGAGGGAGCGGAAAGCTACATCGACATCGGATTTGGAAAGGACCAGTCTTCTTTCGCTGGACTTCACCGTTTTTCGGCTTTCAGGCCCACCTCTGAATCGCAGGACCATGTGATTCTACAGTTCGCGTGCCAAGTTGCCTCTGGTCCAAGATCAAATTTTGTGGCATCTACCTTACAATATACCGGCTTTTTTCATAGATTCTACGCGGACTTGCTTTTTAGGGAAAGTGTTGGTCAAGTTGAGAAGTGGCTACATAGTCGTGACTAGCGGTAGTCGGCATCATCACCCTGTATTTATAGAGTTCAGATGTGAGTTCATCTGACTCAATGGAGGAAATCACTGCTCAATCATCAAGAAATGTACATAATCAACCCCCCCTCTCTGGATATAATTTGGAAATTATTTGTACTTCTTCAAGGCAAGGCAATCGTACCCCTCCCTCTTAATGTCAATACACGAGAAGAAGCAGCTCTAAGCAGCGCAGTTTACTTCCAGTAATGTGTCATCAACCTAGAAAGAAGGTTCGTTAGAGAAGTTAACAACATACTGAACATGCCAGGAGAACTCACATTGGTGCAGACAAACTCATTATCACCATCCGGGCTCTGAACATCGATGTTCGTAGCCTTGATATTAGAGCAAACCTGCAGAAATCAGAAACCACACTTTCATTTGCTTCTTGGGTTAACTCACTGTCTCGCTCGAGCAAACAACAGTACCAACATCAGGGTCATACTTGCCCGACGTTGTACCCTTGATGTTCGTGAAAAGAATATCGGAAATTGTCAACTCAGAAGGATACTGATTGCACAGAGTGAGATTCTTCTGTCCGTAGCACTGGGTCACCTCAATGGCATAGTCGACGTTGTCGATGGTCATGGTGTCATAGGTAACGTTCTTCACACTGCCAGAGCCACCTCCGCCTTGGAGGTCGGTCGACAGGGCGGAGGAAATGCCTGGCCAGACCTTAATGCGAGCGCCGTCCTGGAGTTTGTCAGTATTGAAGTGAATATAGAGCATACATCTTGCTTGACTATCTTTGCACTCACAGATGCATTGAACATGGAAATGTTGTAGATGAGAAGATTCTCCACAATATCCACTTCACCTGGGTACTGGCCAAGTGAACCGACGGAAATACCGTGAGAGCCATTGCAGTGGAGGTTTTGAACGATGATCTCAGTGGCGTTAGGCTTAAAGGAAACGCAATCTAAGAAACATTAGCTTCCACGGACTTTATAAAACTTTCGCAACCCTGCCTATGTGTCATACCATCTCCATTGTTAATAACCGAGTCTTGAATAACAATATTCGACGAGCGGTATAGATCCCTGTCAACAAACACCCAATTAGCTTCAACGCTCCAAACATCGCATTCTCAGAGAAAATCTCACCATCCATCTGTATTCTTCGCAGTATTCTTGCTCTTACTGAATCCAGAAATATCAATGCCCTCGAAAAGCACATTCGACGAATTAGCCACGAAGTGATACCACTGCGGCGAATAGCGCAGCTTAAGCGGACCAATAGTGCCGCCCTGCAACCCAATAACGCCCATCAGAATCGGGCGCAGGATCAACGCATCTTCAGCATAAAGATCGTACCAGACCTGTCCGTTACCGTCAATAGTTCCGCCGCCGTAGACATTGACGTCTTCGCCGCCCAGCTGGAAGAAGGTCGTTGCGTTTTGGTAGATTTGCTTGAATGCGTTTTCTTGCCAGTAGTCTGTGTCGTTGGTAAATTGAATTGTACCAAGGACCTCTGTTAATAAAAGCCGATTGTTAGCCTGGATATCTCTTCTTCAATGGGGCCCCGGCTTGGTGCTATTTGCTATCAGATTGAACGTACCGAGATCCACATGCTTCAGGAAGGTCATATCCAGCGCAGTTCCAACTGTGTAGGTCTTATCTTCGTCGAAAACAACCTTGCCGCCGTTATTACATTTGTGCAGCGCTTGCAGGATATTTTTCGAATCGTCGACTCCCTTGCCGTGGTTGGCGACATGGCAAGTGCGTGTACGAGCTTGACTAATTGGCAACGGGCGAAAGGGGTGGTGAGGCTTGCAAGCGTCGGTTCGAGAATATTTCTTTCCTGGTGTGGATTTTCCCTCGGCTGTCATGCCAAAAGAGAGGAAAAGACCCAGAGCCTGGGTTAATGTATTGGAGATCTTCATTTTGGGTCAATGCTGCTGATCCAACAGTATATGATGTGATTGGCCGGGAAGTTCTCGAGTGACAGGTTCGCCACTTGTTTCGAGCAGCTCTTGACTTATATGTACAATTCTCCAAAAAAAGAGAAAAAAATCAATAATTATAACAAATGCGCTCTCCCTTGTCTGCAGGCCTCGTGCGACGCGCTAGCAAGGCCCGTAGTCGTCGGCTCGGCGGGGTAATCCGCAGTTCATCCGGGGAAATGGCATTGTCAGTTGTGGGGGAGGCTTCGGGGACTATGCTTTGGCTGGCGTATACGCAGGCACGGCGTACCTTTAGCGAGGTGGTCGGAGATTAGAAGACACTCTATTCTGGGGATGGTGGGAGGTTTCTAGGGGTTGGGGATATCCGATAGGAGGAATATCTGCGAGAAGTTTCACCGATTGGGAGGAAAATCCCGGGAAAATCGTCGGGGGTGGGAGTCAATTGTGGCAGTCGGCCTTCGATACTAACCCTGGTAAAGTAAACAAGGCCTCGATCAATTAGAGCCTACTTCTTCTTCAATGCTAGCTTTGAGGGACCTTGCTATTGCCGGTATGGGTTCTACACGAAGATAATGGCTCAGTCGCTTACGCTTTGCGCTACTGGCTACGGTATACCTGCTGATTCGGTTGGAACAAAATCACTGCAATTTATATGTACAGCGGGCTTTCATGGAAAAGGTCCGCGCGGGAATAAGTTATCGAGGATTCACAAGCGAGCTTCCATGATTGAGGAGATCTCAAGTATCATGCAAGGCCTCATTCCCTGGCAATGCTCATCCACGCAGGGCCCGTCCAGAAAGACCTTCTAACCCCTGCGCCATCCTCCGTCTGCTCATCTATGTACCAAGCTTTTTAGTTGGACTTGACGGCACCCTCGACGGCACCCTCGGCCTGCTTGGCGGCAGACTTAGCAGACTCGGCAAGATCCTGCTCGATATCCTTGGCAGTCTCGATGGCGGAGCCGTCCTGGCTGCGACGGTACATGATGATACGGGAGACCTGGACGACACCAACGCATCCGAGGAAGAAGTTAACGGCGGCAAGCCTGCAGAGTGAGATTAGCGAATGCGTCATCGCGGACGAACCGAGATATCGTAGAATGCAGGATATTCGACATACAGAACGTTACGGGGCTTGATGATCAAGCACCAGCGGGTCCAGATGGCACCAGTTGCAGTCAGAGCACCGTTCTGGGTGAGGGAGAGCTTCTCAGCAGGACGGTTGAAGTCGGAGATACCGGCGATGACCAGACCCCACTGTCAGGAGTCAGTCAGCATTTCCATTCCACGGCGCAGTCGATATAGTAGGGTAGGTTTATCACGGGTGAATCGTAGGGTATGTCGCATGGAAAGGTCACGGGGGGAAGGGAATATCAAAATGGGATGCTCGAATCATAATCGTACCTTCATAACGGGAGCCCTGTTGAAATGACGAGGTTAGCATTCCACCATCCTCTGAACCCCCAGCTTACCGTTGTGCTGGTCAAGCATCGAATTTATAAGCTAGAATTGACAAGACTCACCAGAAATGCACAGTCTTCACACCGACAGGGCTGTTCCACATGCGCTGGAAAGTGCTCTGCTGCTCCGCGGCGCCGGCGCCGGCTTCGGAGCTCTGGAAGCGCCAGCCCTGACCACCCGGCCGGCGGAATGGCGCAGAGGCATTGCGGAAGGACGCGCGAGCGTTGTTGAAGAAGCGGAATCCCACACGAGACGACATGATGGTGGAGGGGAGAGTGATGTGGTTGAGAGAAGGTCGTTGGGGCAAGAAGGGCGGAAGCGTCCGGTGATCGGGGGGTGAGTTTTCCGAGGGCGAACAATAAACCACAACGATGATAGCTACAGAAACCACTGAGAGGTACCGTAAATCAAGATGTAGCAGCAAGAATACAATGCAATTACCGATTAAGAAGGCAATTCAATTCTTTTCAAATTGGAATGTCCATCCGGTCGTATCTCGAGTCTTGAAGTGATGATGTAAGCACACGCTAGTCCGGGATAGGTAATTTCTAACACCTCAGGCAGCGATATCGGGAAAGGACTTGATGCCTTATGAATCAGGCATAAATCAGGCAGAAACTCTCAGCCAATCACCGCCCCCGCGAATAATGCTGCATCTCCCTCCGAGAGACTTGGATATCATCCACTCTTGATACTCTCTCCTCTCCCCTCCACCTCCCATACCCCCCCAACACCCACATCCATCATGTCTGGCAAATACGTCTTCACCAAGGGCCTGAAGGAGCTCCGCTTCCTCTTCTGCCAGACCTCCGAGCAGAGCGCCGCCACAAGGCAAGACTTCCCTTCGCTCCGAACCTGAACCCGACCAGCCCACTCCTACCATCCATTCCCCATGCCAATGGCTGTCAACTCCCCTCTACACAGGCTAACAATGCTATCCAAACAGATCTTTCATTAACCGCGCCTACCCCACCATGAAGAAGCACAACCCGCACACTCCCATCATGATGCGCGAGGCCTCCGGCACCGAGCCGCGAGTCTTCGCCCGCTATGGTACGCACCGCGACACACGCATTCGAGAAGATACACCACTAATGCAACATCAACTATTACAGAGCTTGGAAGGGAGAAGCAGGAGGCCCTGTCTGGTAAGTTTACCCCGGATGGTGGCTCGTCGGAGAGTGGGAGTCTGTTGAAATTGACCGAAATTGACCCGCTAACTTTCGGAACAGGACTCTCGGATTCCCAGATCGAAGAGCGCATCACGAACCTGGTCAAGCAGTCATAACCAAATATTCTGCCATTCCCCATTTCGCGTTTCAATTTATTCCTCTACCTCCATCCTCCATCCTATGTGTATCTATAGATGAAATCGAGCCCTCATCAAAATCAACATGCAATCAATCTCTCTACCTTTTTACAACTATGGCTGGAGACGAAAAAGAAAGACTCGAAAAGAACCCGAAATTATGCTATTAACAAGCAGCACTAGCAGCACTACCACACCACTACAACGAACTACTAGCATTCACGTCTCCAAATCGAAACTGCGCCCAACTCATACTCCCCTCAGGAAGCGTCCACAATCTCTTCCCCAAATCATCACCCGCCGCACCCGCACCCACATGAATAGGAAGCAAATGATCAAAGGAAGGATGCGCCTGTCTCGCATCAGGTCGATCAAGCAGCTTCGCCATCTTACCCTGCCGCTCCACCGGATCAGACACAACAGCCTCCTTCAACGCCTCGTCGAAACTAACCGCATACGGCAACGGGGGCGCATTACCACCTCTCGTGAAGCGCAGATCGCGCAGGTTGTGCACCGACATTCCCGAAACGATAATGAGGATGTTCTTCTCGCGCAGGTGCGAGACTGCTTGGCCGAGGCGGTAGTGTTGGTCTGGGTCTTCGGAGTTGAAGAGGGAGACTTGCACGATCGGTACGTTTAGGGGGTTTGTTTCTGGTTCGAAGGCTGGGTGGTGGGATTTTTGTTAGCTTTCTTTCAAGTTCCTCCTGTCATTCATTGCTAGCACTGATGCCTGCGTGATGTATAAATAACATACCGCACTTGAAACTAGCCCAAACACCATGGTCCAGTCCACGCTTCACGCCCTTCGCCTCAATACCCGCATCGCTCAGTGCGGCTAGGACTTGATCTGCGACTTTCCGGCTTCCGACGTTCGGGTATTTCTCATCGTAGTAGTGATCCGGGAAGCCGTAGAAACTGGGTCTTAATTAGCGATATCCTTTCTTTTCTCTCCCGCTCAGATAAAGAAATCTCATCTAAGAAAGGATAGTATGAACATACTCATAAATCAAATCCGTCATCTCGGCCGTATTCACATAAATCTCATCCCGACCACCCTGCCAATGCGCAGAGAAAACAACCACAGCATCGGGCTTGACTTTCGTCGTGATTTCCTTGCCGATGGATCCTAGTTTCTTATACGCCGGGTGGCCCGTTTCATACATGACATTGGGCTGGTGGGAAGTATTAGCTCAGTCCTGCTCTTTTTTTTGTTTCTCGTGCTACTCCGTTCCAAGTTCAATCCATAGTTGCATGCATTCCAAGCCAACCGATCAACCAATAGGGAACCTGAATTCAAAGAGAGAATGGATGGATGTACATACCCCGCCATGGCTAAGAAAGTAAACAGGTGTCTTCATAATGGAAGAAGATCCAGATTTGATCTTTGTATCAGCCTTCACGTTCGATCCTGTCGCAGAAGCTGTCACGGTCGTCGCAGATCGAACAACCCGCGAAGAAAAGCGGCGGAGGATATACAGATTGGCCGGGTCGATGAGAGCTGCTATGAGTACAGCTACCACTAGCGCAAAAAGTGACAGCAGTATTTTTCGGCTGGGCGTGTAAGATGTCACTGGCACGGTATGTTGCTGTTGGTGGCTCGAATGATGAGACTGTTGTTGATGTTCCGAAGACATATATTATCAATCAGTGCGAGTGTCCGAGTCAGTGCGAGATTCATACGCAGGGTCTTATGTCTTCGAAATATAAGGAGCACGGAAGCCAGTGGCGCAAGATGGAAGACGCAAGATGCAAGATGCAATTACTCAGGCTTAGCAAGAAAGTGCTGGTGGTCGGGTATACGGGGATAGATGGGTGCCGATGCCAGCAGCCGATCGGAAGGGTGTGTCAGCGCGGAACGGGGCCGCTGGTTACACTGCGTAGCACTACTGGTTGTATGTGTATACAATTAGTACTAGTAGAGTATGATGTTATTGTACCGATTGTACTATAGTATAGAATAAACCAGGATTTCCATCCATTCTATTGATGTAAATGCAATATAGTGCAGCCTCCGGGGTATTTTTAGGCTCCCTTCCGATCATCAGGCGATCGCAATCATGATCATATCGTTTCCGTAGAGTATACACACCCGATTCAAAACAGGACAAGAGGAAGTAAACAGCTAGCCAAAGGGGGGAAAAAAGCATCATCAGAATAGAACCTGCTGGTCGGTCGTATTGTTCGGCTCGGCCAGCAGAGAACGTGGTGAGAAGGGGGAAATAACTGAAATGGAATGGAATAGTACATCAAGCGTCGTTGGTCATTAAAAGTTACATGAGTCTAGTTGGGTGAGACTAGAAGAAGGCATAGCAGGTATAGTAAGGGCAGGAGATGGTGTAAAAATGCCCCTGTTTACATCACGACACAGTCTCCATCGCTCTGCTTGTTGACAGCCGAGCGAGATAGACGGGTCTTCTGCATACGCTGTCCGCCCTTCTTGAGGTCTTCAAGACGCTCACGGGCCTTGGGGAATCCTTGTGCTGGGGGAGTATTAGCATATATCCTATCCCGGAGAAAATCGATGTGGTGTGTTCTGCTTTCAACTTACCAGCTGCACGCCAATACCAGCGCTTCGCATCCTCCAAATTCGCAGAAGCCCCGATTCCCACCTCAGTGAAGTACCCCATCGCATATTCCGCCTTGGCAAGACCGGCCGTAGCGGCCTTTCGAGCCCATAGATACGCCTCTGTATCGTTTTGTTGCAGAATCCCGTCGGAGCCAGTCAGATACCAGCCACTCAGAGACAGTTCACTCTGATGCTCTCCCTGGGCAGCGGCACGAGTATACCAAATAATGCTCGTACGATTGTCGATCGGACAACCCAGCAAGCCATACTCATAAGCGTTTCCCAAGCGGAACTGGGAAAATTTGTAGCCCAGTTCTGCGGCCTGGTGGAAGAGTTGGTTTGCGTATTGTTCGTCGCGGATGATAACGTCGTTGCCGCTGGCACTCTGGTACATCAAAGCAAGTTCATGGAGCGCGTGCGGATTCTCTGCATCGGCACGCTCGGCTGCTCGCTTCAACCATGAAACACCTTCGCGGGGGGTGCGTTGTTGGCCAAGAAGTCCCTTCAGGTTGATCATGCCCATCTTATACATCGCGGGTGTATCGCCTAGAGATGCAGCTCGCTTATACCACTGAACAGCCTTGAACGGGTCCCGCTTGGTGCCACCACCCTCTTCCTGGCCGATCTCGCAGCAGACTGCCACACGGTACGCGGACTGTGCGTGTCCTTGCTTTGCGGCAGATTGATACAGAGAGAAGGCTTCCCTGGGGTCCATTTCTAGACCCATCAGGCCCTCGCCATAGCAGTCGGCGAGGAAGAACTGAGCCTCGGAGTATCCAGCCGACACAAGCTTTTTGATAATCTTGTGCGCATCGACATTATACTTTTCCTTCGTCTTGGCCTTGGTCTTCGGGTCCAATCGGCTGTTGCCGTCCACAAGAACCACAGCAGCTTCGGCAAGCTTCTTGGCCAGCAGGAGCTGAGTCGCCTGATCACCGGGATTGGAGCGTGCCTTTGCCTGCAACGACTGTAATTCCTCAAGCGTAACTGGTGTATGCGCCACGCCCATTCCATCTGGAGGCATGGGGCGTGGGGTAGCGGTAGCCGGCGCCGGCGCCGAGGCTGGGGATTGGGGGTTGTTGTATTGGCGAACGGGGGCCGGTTTGGCAGCTTGGTCGTGGCCCGGTCGGAACGGCACCGGCACCGGGTGATGCGGAAGAGCATCTGGGTTGTGCTCTTGCGCTGGCGCGGGTGGTGGCGCGGGTTGATAAGGCGGCTGGTTGGCGTATGGGGCATGACCATTAGGAGAATATGGACTTGTCTGTTCGTATCCATACCCCGAACCATCAGGCTGACGCATTCCTGGCACTGGTGGCGCATCTTGCGGAATGTCAAACTGGAAGCCCGCATTTTCAAATTGATTAGGGCCATCGCGGAGGTTAGGCTGGGACCTCGAACGCGGAGTCCCTGGTCCAGAATCCGGGGAAAATGCAGTGTATTGAGCTCCCCCGGAGGAGGGTGATGTAGGCGTTTGAATAGTCGGCTTGGGCTTGGGGGTTGTTTCCAGTCCCATCTCATCAATCGGACCCATATTGTTTGACGGCATGGCATCGAAGTTGGGCATGTCGTGGTCATCCTCAGCAGGTGCGCCGCCAAAGTAGCTATCTAGGAAGTCCTTGGGTGCGTAGGAAGCACGATTGACGGGGTCAGGCGGGATCATGAGACCGGGATCAATGTCGTTGACTGGGCGGGTGCGCGGTGGTTGGGGTTGGCGCATTCCACCCGCGGTGTTAGGACGAGGAGGCATCATCTCGCCCATTGGACTGCCTGGATAATCGTGTTCGGGGTAGTCCGACTGGGGTGGGTATATCATTGGTGGCTGCGCGAGAGGCATCGTGTTACTTCGCGACGGGCCTGGCATAGGCCCATTTGGATCGGGGTACGCGCGATCGGGACGATCTGGCCGCGGCCGTGGAGCTCCGGGGCCCATGGGATATCCTCCTCGGCCACGGCCTGGCGGCATTCCGCGAGGAGGGGGTTGGCGCATGTCCGGGCGGCGTGAGTTAGAGGTATGCGGTCGAGGAAGGGGTCGTCCGTTGATATCCATGGCAGCCATTCCATTTTCTAGACCCCGAGGGGGAGGTCCTCTGCGGTCTCTAGGGTCTCGAGGGTCTCGATGATCTCGAGGATCCCGGGGGTCCTTAGGATCTCGAGGAGAAACGGCGGGAAAAGGGTTGTCGAATCCGGGCGGGGGGCGGCCGTTTGCTTGAAAGTGTTATTAGATAGAACTCAAGGGACTCCAGTGATCGCGCGCGGTTTACTTACGAGGTTGTCCTCTGCGCTTTTGCGGGAGGAGGTCTGTCACTGGGATGACCGCGACCATTTGGGGGACCCATGGGTCGACCAGAACCTGGTGGTCCTGGCGGGCGCATGGAGCGCGGTGCGTTCGACGAGCCGTATGGACCCGGGGGACCGGGGGGACCAGGCTGATAACCATATGCCGGGTCCTCAGGAGTAAGATCGGGTGGGTAGTCACCAGCGCCGTACATGTCCCCTGGGCATAGGGTGCGGCCCCCGACGCCGGAGAGGGGGCGTACTGCCTCATCGGCGGCGGGCGCTGCGACGACGGAGGGTATGCCATGGCGCAGGCTCGCGCAGGCAGAGCGATCGCTCAAGTCGAGTGGAAAGGGTGAAGCCGAAGTCGAAGTCGGAAGTTGGGGATGGGAGGTTTGCGAACGACTTTGCGAATGGCCTTGGGCGCATGCAAGGAGGGCCAAGATGACTACTTCGGATTAGTACTGTTTGCGCACGAGACCACGTGTGATTTGATGGGATGCGATGTGGTGTAAAGTAGAGGGTATAGTATGAATAGGATGACTTACCGTGAAAGTGTAAACCACAGTAGAGAGTCGAGCAAAGCAAAGCCCAGAAAGCGAGGCAATTCACGCGGGGAGTGGAATTTGAGGGGGGAACTTCGGGCGGCAGGTGACTTCCCACTTTAATCAAACTGACCAACTGACCCACTCACCCGTCATCTCTCTACACTTCACTTCACTTCACTTCAACCCTACCAGTATGACTTAGGTGGGGTCAACATGTTATGAATCAGTTTCAAGACAGTCCACTGTACCAGGCTATGCGCCTCTCCACTGATGACGCTTTTCATTCTCCTTCGTTGTGGGCAAGGCGCGCGGTTACTGAACTCGGTCGTGTACCGCGCTGTGCCTGACGATCAGGGGGGCTGCCGAGTCAGACTGGGCTAATGCAGCCGACCAGAATGCAATTTGTCCAGAGTATATTGATAGCAGAGGATTATATCCAGAATGAGTACTCTCTACTCTGTATTGACTACCCTTCTTATAAAAGGGTAGTAGTCCCTTCAGTTCTCTCCACTACCAACCACGGCACGGCTTGGACCCTGACTACCCTGACTGGCCCGTGAAGAATAGGAAATTACATGCTGATCGATGACCAAGTTAGGGCTTCCTGTCACACCTGCTTGTCACAGCTGCCCACATGAATTCGCCATAGAGTACTACTAGTTAGAGTACTACTAGTAACCACACGGTGCCCTAGGTGATCTGCACATAATTCGGCATTGATCAAATCAAGCCGATGCTCGGGGTCGGCGTCCGATAATGCCGAAATCTACACTCTGAGTGCAAGTATACTATCCAGTGGAAACTACATATTAAGGATTGCAAAAATACTAGTAGACCTATTGGTTGGGGAAGCCCTCCATCCCCTAGAACTTGACTACTAGTTATGTCATTAATAGTAACAATCTCTTCGCAACTTGAACTTGAACCTTGGGCCTACTAAGGTTGTCAAATTTGACAACCTTCCCAAGTTGGTTAGACTCTCTCAGTTGTACCTGCTCAGCCACAGTTCAACCCACCGCCACTATCACCGCCACTCCTTGCACCGCCATATGCCATCTCAGGCATCCAAGACATTAGAGTGGCTGTGTCTGAACCCGAACCCGACTCCGACGGTACGGAGCACGGAACACGGAGCACGGAGTACGGATAGTCGTAGAATTACGGAGCATACTAATCAACCCCGATCCGCCGGCTCCATGACTTCAGGCCGAGGTACAGTTACAGTGGTACGGGACTGCCGCGGGTCTTCTAGAAATTCCACGTGTGGGCTTGCTGAAGGGCTGTTTAAGCTTGGAACTAGGTGCCCAGGTGCGCTTCTGGCGGAAGTCTAATCGACAATGGGGCTGACGATGTGTACAATTTTGTGTCTGCAGGTATAGATCAATAAATGATTTGGGAGGTGTCAGTGCCTCTCCTATGCCCTGCTCTGACTCGAATTCTCCATCTCTGCGAGCACTCTGCAAGCACTCCGCACTAAAAACTGAATCGTGACCGAGCTGAGTTTTCTATTTTCTACCGATCGATCACTGTCTCACCCACGTTCCACCTGTAGTGCCACGTTTGTAAAGCACTAAAGTAGTCAAAAAATTGGACATACGAGTATGTGAGTACTAGCACATCATGACGAGCAGGAAAAAGTTGACTCTTCATTTAATTGGTCGCGTGCCCAGACGACTACTCCGTACTAGTAAGTAGTAACTAGTCGTGTGACACCCGCTAGCCAGGATCTCAGATGTCTGAGAGCAACAAGGTACGAGTACGTACTTGTACAATTACCAAGAGCTCATGGCTTGAACACACATAAAAGGGGTCCGTTCCAGGGTTCAATTTTCCATGCTCTGGTCTTCTCGGATGGTTCTCTCACTCACTCCGTGTGCATAATCGCCAAACCGTTTATGCTGAGATCCACCGAATGTCTCGGCGGAACGCGATGGCGCGCCAAGAAACCCTAAGTCTCGGCGCAGGAAATTTCCCCATTTGATCCATTCGATCAATCCAATAATTATGCCCCAAAATCTCCATTCCATGCAATAGTATGAAGGATTCTGAAGGGTTTCCCCGAAATGTTCCTATTTTAATCTAGTCCAGGGCTTTCCTTCCCTTTCCCCTTTTTCCTACAGGGTACGGGGTATATACTCCGTACTGGTACAAGCTCTCATGCAGTGCACTCGCTTACGGCCGAACGAGATCTCGGCGGAAATTATACTAGTAGAAATTATGCGTACGAGTTCCCCGGTATCCATCGATCAGGAAATACATGAATACTCGTGGACACAGAGTTTGAGGAGCACAATGTCAAGCAAAGCCAAGATCAATCAGTCAGCGGCACTCCCATCTCTCCGCGTCCGACTCCGATCCGTCCCCCCCTTTCTCGCGCAAGGATCAATCAAGTTTTATTAAGGTGTTCCAGCCTTATCGGATCGCGGATCATCATACGAGTACGCTCGAGCCAGTCAGATTTGGGCTAGCGGCGCCATCAAACACCCGGTGGTTCCGAGATGGATCCCAATTTGGAGACGGTAATCGTATACGTATTCGTGCCCGACTTCCATTGGATGCAACTCCATGTCAGGCCCGCCAACTTGCTTCTTTTTCACTTCCTAGAGGTCGGAGAACGGAGTTCTGGGTGAAGAATGACCCTACCAGGCCCCCGCTCTCCCTTCCGCACTAACCTCCATCAAGTATTCAAGGAGTTGCGTGAAGCGGACTCCTAACTCCGGCTTTTCCCTCCCCTAAATAGATGAGTGCGAGCCAATGAGAATTGTCTTGGCCTTGGACGCGTAGGTGTTGAGCATTTTTTTCCCCATTATTTCGCTTTCGTTTTATTTTCCACCTCGAGAGGCGCTGTGGTGCGTCTGGGCTGAGCACTTACATAGTACATACGCCCGCACCATTGATTTGGCCTTGGTGTCGATCATTTCGACGCTGGCTTTGTTTTCTGGGCGGACCTTTCATAGTTTCCTACTTTTCATCTTCTCTCAAGACCATCCTTTTCTAGACTTGGTTCCTTGTTTCCCCTTCTTTTGGCCTTTTCTTTGGCCTATTTCTTTCTCATGTCGGAGTCAACCCCAGAGCTGGGAAAGCCTCAGTTCGCGTCGCACTCATGGCTCGAGCCACTGGTACGTTTTGCGTTTGCCCGCTACCCTGAAAGGAGGAGCAGGGCGGAGAGACAACGAAGCTTCGATTCCAATCAGAATAGTTTGCTCACATACCACAACAGGTCGTCGTGACCATTATGGTTGGCTCATTGGTACTTAATCGACGCAAGAACTACAGCATCTTCGGCGGAGGCAACAAGTCACAGAGCGAATACTTCAACCCTATACCTAATAATGGCCGCGACTCATCACCCCCTTGCCCACAGAGGCCGGAGACATTTTGCGGCATCCCTATCCAAACCCCGGACTCGTCCCGCTGGGCAGATCACATCCACAGCCGGATTCTGTGGAAATACCCTTTCTTAATCGAGATGTTCTATTGGGCTGTTAATTATCTTTTCTACTCCGTCACCAAGGCCATGTCACAGTGGTTGTTGCCCGCCCAGATCGAGGTCGTGCAGGTTGCCCAACAACACGGCGAGGATATTCTCTGGTTTGAGCATGAATCTTTCTTTAGTTGGATGTTTCCTATCCAGGAGTCGGCCTATCAAAGGTTCTTCCTGGACCATGCCCCGGCCATGATGACCTTCTTCAACCGCATATATTCATTGGTTCACATTCCAGGCACAGTGCTGTAAGTTTTCTCCAAATTGTGATCACAACTCGACATGTTTCCCCCATGCTAATATCATATCTTGATGGCGGATAGATTTCTTGGCTGGTTCTACCACGAAGCTCCCGATGCCAACACATTCGCCATCGCCCGTCGCACCATGACCCTGGGTAACTTCCTCGCCTTCGCAACCTTCTGCGTCTACCCCTGCATGCCACCCCGCCTCCTCCCCGAATCCTACGGCTTCTTCGACACCGTCCGACAAGAGCATGCGGAAAGTGTCTGGGTGAACAGCAAATCCGTCAACCAGTTCGCCGCCATGCCAAGTCTGCATTTCACCTACGCCTTTTGCATCAGCAGCACTTTCCTCTACCATTCCGGAATCCTCCACCGTCTTCGCGGAAAGCGTGTGCGTAGATCGCCCGCCTCCCAAATCATCTATAGTGTACTGGCCGTGCTGTATGCCGTGCTAGTACTCAGTGTTATCGTTGCAACCGCCAATCACTACTGGTTAGATGCTGTCCTCGCGATGGTGTCGGTCACTGCGTGTTTCTTTGGAAACCGCATCCTGCTGCTCCTCTTGCCGGTGGAGTACTGGATTTGCTGGATTCTGCGGATCGCGAAGCCGGCCCCCAATATTGGGAAGCAGGATGATTGGAGGGAGGCTGAGTCGCCTCGTTACCGGCCCATATCGAATTATGATTTAGAGTGATGGTATACGGTTATGCTATACTATACTACTATACTAATTATATACTAGGGGATACATGGTTTATATGTATATGCGGATATTGAGGTAGATATATAGTGCAAATATAATTTGCGGAGGATGATCATGAATCATGAGAATCATGATCATCCTTCCGACCCAAAAAGTGGAGTTCCGAGTCGTGCAAGGCTGTCACATTAAACTACTAGTAACCTAGGGTAGTAGTACTGTGGATGACGATCTAATGCTCTCAGAGTCGTAATATTCTCTATTCACTATATGAGATCTTTCACCAGCATGTGCTCTTCAAGTTGTTTTAGCTACGTTGAACCTACTAGTAGGTATGTTCCGTTGTACTAGTTATGCATAGTAAACATCCATCGGGTACACACCGCCACACCGCCACAGCTCCTTCACCGCCACAACCGGCAGCAAATGAGAGCCGCGCCGATCGCGATGATGTCCGTCTCCCCCGACTCCTCCGCCCAAATAACATCCCACCCATTTCATCGCCAACATGTCTCGCGCGGGGCTATGGTTCAAGGTCATTGCAGGGTGAGTTATTTCCAATCATCATTCCAGACAGACAGAGCTGCAATTTCAATCCCAACCGTAATCGCAACCACCGGTCGCAAGCTCGAAACTGTCGCAGAAACAGGAACAGAAGCAAGAAAGAAGGAAAGAAAACTGACCGCATCACCCATCACAGAGGAATCCTGATCTCAATCGGAGGCCCAGCTTTCGTCGAATACATCCGACCCACCGACGAGGAACTGCGCAAGCGGTATAATCCGGATCTCCAGAAGCGCGCAGCCGAGCAAGGCAGTCGGCGCGAGCAGGAGTTTGACGACTATGTGACGAAGTTGAAGGAATGGTCCAAGTCAGATAAGTCGAGTATGCTCTTTTCCCAATCGCGATCAGGCTGTGCCCTGGCTCTCTCATGTTTTGCAGAATGCTAACTCGCTGCTCTTCTAGTTTGGTACGCTGCGCAGGAAGAACAGGATCGGAGACGGGCGGCTGAGGAAGCGCAGCGCTCGCAGGTGAAGGATCAGGCTAGGGCACAACGTGAGGAAATGCGCAAGGAGATGCAGGGAGAGAAATGATTATCTTTGGTGAACGGACCCGTTTCGGCTCCTATGGGTTGATGCTGGAGCCGGGACGCCCAGAACCGGACAGCGGACAGCCTTGCTCGTCAGTCGTCCTGTCTTCCAGTGCCACCAGGGATTCTGGGGTCTGCGCATAGTAGGGCCTTGGTATTTCCAGGGTTGGATCTGACCTCTACAATCATTACGGCGTGTATGATACCAATTGGTGTATTCGTTGAATGCCTTTCAAGTTAAGGCTTTGTATTATATTCTTTACGATCGCATCTCCGTTCAATGAAAGCGTCCAAATTCAGATTGAAAGTGTGAAAATTGCATAGGTGATTTGATTTGCATATCTATTGAGATTGAGTAGTAGTTACTACCTGGTACATACCCTATTTCCTCTGGTGGATAGGGTTCTAGTCTAAAAGTCCGTATGGATCTTTGAATCTTTGATATACTGTGCTCGAAAAAGTTCGACAAAGTCTTATTGGTACCTGGATAGTTGGAAATTAACTAACTTGTACAGACAAAGAAGAACAAAAAGACAATTCTATTATTCGGCTGAATAATTATAACGTTCTGAGAAATGAAGCTACCAAATTCAATAAAATAGAACCACCGATATTTCGCATAAAGCGAAGTAGGTAGGAGTGAAAAAACCCAGAGCAAACGAGCCATTGGGCCTGATTAGATACCCAAGAAGAATTATTTCGTTTGTAGATTTCCTTTCAAAGGACTCGACTCGCCTCGACTCCATCATTAATCCCACATACTGGCATAAGGCCAGCCATCGAGTGTATCAGGTTGAACATAACGCGATAGTTCTTCAAGGAAATAATCCTCCGTGTGATAGACATTTCCTAGAGAACCTGGATTATGCGGATCAATCCCAGGAGCATTGTCGAAGCTCACCACTGGCATATTGACAAAGTAGTTTGACGATGTATCGATATTTTTGAGAGCATTGTACATATCACTAGCAGTGGCGTTCTTAAGGTAGGCCCCAAACGTGTTCTGGTACCAGTCGGCTGATTTGGCGAATTGAAGCTTGTCTAGACCAAACTCGTCAAGTTTGTCTAGACCCCTAGGATTCTTGATACCTCCTCCTTCTCCTAATGCGGCAGCGGATTTTCTGAATGACTGGGCCATCACGAAAAAGTAGCAAGTGCCGTCTCCATCTTCACCATCATCGCAGACTCGAGCATCATTAACAAGATCATGTCCACGTATCTTGAAGTCTCCGAGTTTTTCACCATTGATGGTACGTGTGCCCTTTGCGATAAATACCTGATCCTTTCCCCAGACCGGATTGATGGCGGAAGCGGCGAAGTTTTTATTCAAGTTTTCCTTAACGTCATCCCATTCCTCAAATGGAGCTGCAAACATGCCATCTTGAAGCACGCTAGGGGCGCTATACGCGTAATCATAAAAATCCCTGCCCATGTCGCTGATACTGGTACCAAGGACTTGCTTGCCAACGGCTCCAATAACATTTGCTAGAACGTCAGTGGATTTTTTAAGGGTTAATTCGAGGTCCCCGATATCTGAAATTTCCTCCTGAAGACTGAATAGGCCATCTGGCTACTAACGATCCAAAAATAGAAAGAAATCTAGCCTAATGAGTATGCAGAGAACTCACAGTTCAGCAGCCGTGTCTGAGGTTGCTCCCGCTATACCTGAACCCATTGACAATGCACCTCCAGCGACCGTAACCACCGCTGAACATGGACCACAAACAGCAAGGGCCCCTGACAGCATTGTCAAAACAGAACTCGCAAGAGCAAGACTGTTAGAAGTGCTATCCTCGCTGGCCTTATCGTGCTTGAAATCGTCCACGATTTTTGTAGCTGTGGTTCCTATGCTGGTTCCCACGTCATTTATAGTGTCCTGCATCGTGGACGGCCATGAGTGGAAATTCTCCAGGGCACTGAGGATGAAATAAAACATCGGAGTCCAAAAATCATTCTCATAGGATTTGCAAGTTGAAACATCAAAATGAGAGACAAGATCGCAGTCCCCGTTGGCTTCACATTTACCTGATAGGTCAAGTATGTTCATCAAAAAAGTGACATGGGATGCATCATCATTAACCTGATGATTATGCCAAATGTCAGTGGGGAATTGAGTCCAGCTAAAAGTATTATTAGCTACGGCTTTTCTGGGGGCTTATCATGATAAATGACAACCTACATATTTCCCGTTTGATTATCGACACCAAACGTATTCCAAGTAGTTTGATTCATACCACCGTCTCTGCAGACCTCGCCAATTTGGAATATAATGTCCGTGGGGGTAGCAGTTGCAGTGGCTTCGGTGGTGCTACTCGCTTCGGTGGTACTGCTAGCTTCGGTGTCGGACCGACGTTGATTCCCACTGGGGATACCCAACGCTCCAGCAACTATTTGAGATATCATTAAAACAAGAACCCACGATTTGGTTCATTGAGGGGTTAGGGCTGACCAAGCAGAGCACAAAGCAATATTTTCTGCATTGTGGATTGAAATAACGGATTAAACTCGAGCCTTTCTATAGAGAGAAGTAGCTTAGTGAAAAGAAAACGAGCTGGTTGATGGTTATTCTTGTAGAGAAAGGGCCTCTCATTTATAGATTCACGAGGATTTGATTCACCATAGACAATAGCTTCCATTGTTCGAAACGTGTGCCTGGATATAGTCCCATGGGGGCTAGGATTTCTCTCTAGTCTGGTTGTCGGTCGCAGGTTGTGTTTCTACACATCATGTCCTATTTGGGAAATGCAGATGTTCACTTTGGGGCCGACGGGTGCACTCGGTGAAGCACTAGGGCGTTGAAGCAATCAGCAATGCAAACGAACTCCACATCTTGGCAGCCCCGTCTTGCCAAGAAATATTATATCTCCGCTGCGCATTATGTCCTGTTCATATTCCATGGAGATATGCAACTTCTTGGCCATTTTGCACGTACTCCTCGCACGCAAGTCATTGGGTCGAAAAAACACAGGACAAATGCTGTTACATTCGCAGTCATGCCTTGTTATAGAAATGCAACGGCGGGGCGTTCCTCTTTAAATCAGCCTCCCGAGTCTCTGTGTGGTGCAAAACTACTAGTACTTGTTTTGATGACGGAATGCTGTATTTAACCCCCAGTGCTTTGCTTGGTTCCCGACATTGTTCCAAGACTCGGAACCCTCCAGGCCTTTTTTGATTCAAACCTTGGAACTTTGAAAACTGTTAAACATTTAGCCCGGAGATAAAAGCCTCGTCATCTCGTCTTGATGCCTAGGTATATTTCAAGTACTTGACGCTACCTGGGGTCGGTTTCAAGAAACTGGTAAGGCCTAGGGGTCCTAGTAGAATTAACACTTATTTCAAGTTACTATCGTACAAAGTACTATTGGAAACTGGAAGTTTGTAAGAGTGAAAGATCCGGAGGTTCTCCCAGCTTCTCAGTTCAAATTGTAGACAGTATAGATCCCAACTCCAAACCAACTCCTAAATATATGAATGCAAAACTTCAAACAACATCGAATCAAATCAATTCGCTCAAAAAGACCAATGCTCCAACCGGCGCCAGAACAAACAACACAACCATAACACTGGCACCAGCTTTATCCCCCGTCGTCATATCCCTCGTATTGACATTTGTATCTTTCTTTCCCCTGTAGACGGATCATTGCCCGTACTAGTACCACCAGTATCCTTCGAAACAGGCACATTCTTAGGTCTAGCCAAGGTACTCTGAATAACCTCAAGAGCAGACATCTGCTCCCCAATCCCCGTCGTCCCATCATATTTCCCCCCATCTGTCCAGCGCAACCCGCATTTATTATCCGAGCCTCCGGAACACTGCTTTGCGGCCGCGATGGCGGACGCATTGATCTTCGTCATGATAGTTGTCTCGACGAATGGCGCGAGTGGTACCGTTGCCCCCATGAAACGAGCTAGGTAGGCCTTGAAGGATTGCTCGTTTAGGTTGCATGAGGCGACTTCGCATGGCTGGGACATTACATTGTTGTTTTTCTTTTCGAAGAAGGAGTCCAGTGCGTTCGTTATGCCGGTCACGCGGGTTTCCCACTTTTTGGACCCGTTTGTCTAAATGCGAGATCGGCCGTCGTTAGTTGGTATGTTCATGGTATACTTCTCCTTTCTTCCACCCCTTTTCCAGGATATTGCTGCCGTATTTGATGCGCTGCACCGGAAGGCTGGCGACTTACCACGGCATACATATTGGCACAGCCATGCATAAAAACAGCTGGCAGATAGGCATGCTCCACCCGATCGAAAGTGGTACAATTATTCTTTGAATCGGTATTATCCCAAATAGTATAGTCCGAACGAATGAGACCAATATCCTCAGTCCAGTCCCAGATTTTCTCCGCCCAGTGTGAATACGTCTCATTGTTGGTATAATGCGCCAACCGCGACGCTATGTTGAACAACCCGCCATTTGAAATCGAATTTTTCAAATGCCACCCACCAAGAGACTCGTATGCCTGCCAGTGTAAACCGCCGCCACAAGTTGACGCGTCCCATCGAGCGACTTGCGAGTTGAATACGTTCTCCGCGAGCTGGAGCCACTGCGGTTGGCCGTCGGGTGGATCGGGGTACTTCGTTTCGGCGGCGGACATTGCGGCAAATGCCCAGAAGATCTGGTCGTCGTTTCCCATTGTTCGGGTTTGGTTGTAGGGCATGTAATTATCGTCTGCGCCGACTTGGTGCAGCAGTGCTTGCGTGGTCCAGTCGTTCCATGTGTCGTCGCCGGTATAGTAGTAGTATTCCACCATCGCGCCGAACATCGCTCCGGCTTCCCACCAGTAGTACGGATCTGGGATGTTTCCTGCTACATCGCCGGGTTGGTAGCCTGTGTAGTAGCTCAGCATGCCTTTGGCGGCTTCTTTGGCGGCGGATTTGATGGAGTCTGGGGGGTTGCAAGGATTTAGTTTCGACTTTTGCTGGACTCCAGCCACATTTCAGGTGGAGTTGAAGATGATGCGTACCTTTTGATGATAAGTCTAGCTCTATAGATAGCGCGAAGTGTGATATAAGAAGGGGGGTCAGAAGAAATGACTTCCATGATTGTCTTGGCCTTGTCATTGTGATAGTGAAAGGTATATCGACCTCGGGAGGAAATGGCTTCGACTAAAAGGCTAAGTAATTGAAGCTAAGAGATCCGGAACGACCTTTGATGTGAGTGTCAAGATCACCCGGGAGAGATGGAGATGGAGAATGAAATATATTCGAACTAGACAGACTAGACCACCAATACAAAAATGGGAGGCAAGGCTAGATAAAGGATCAAAAGTAAAAGTACCACCACTCATCACAAGGCAGCAGACACCACAGGATGCTACAGCAGATGGAGATCGACCCGAGATGAAACAGGATTACTTGAAAAGAGCGAAAAGGCTGGCTTAGCGTGCGACGGGAATGGAGACCAGGGTCCAAGGGCATGGAGCCGACGTTGGGGCCAAAATAGGGCAGACAAATCAACTGGCATGGTTTCTGGGGATCATCGACAAGCACAGGGACGGACTTGTGCTCGGGACAGTGTCGCATGTGCTCTGACTCGCAACTTGAAGATGGCACATTTAAGTGCTTGTGGGGAGACATGCAGCTGTTTGACAGGCGACTTGCCGTTGTTGGGGAATACTCCATTGAAGAATGTCCGCGCGGGGGTCGCGGGGTCTAATGTTAGTAGCGAAGTTCTGTTACCATAAGTATGGTGTATACAGTCGAGAATCAGATCTCATATATGATCTGATTGGGTCAACCCCAGAGACAGTTCAATCTGTAGGTGGGAGGTGCCAGCATCCATCCGATTCCCACCCCACGGCACGGGGCAGTGCATATCGGTAAGGCTCGCAGAGGAAGACTGTGTACGCAGGAGATACTCCATACTGCATACGTAGTGGATATTGGGGCCCATGAAGGATCAATCGCGGATTAAGATCAGGTAATCCAGATCCGGAGGGCGGTTAAGATCGACAGATCTCTTGCCTGTTATGGGGATGGTGCAGCAGTCGGCCAGGGGCGATGACAACCCAGGACAGCAAGCAGTGCGACGGTGAAATATCCTTAGTCAGAAGAAGTATAAAAGGCACTGATAGGTGCCATTGCTGCTCAGAATTCAGCAGAGGAGTTCGGCACGGGTATTATTCCGTCTCCGTGCAGTGCGAGAGGTGAAGAGGGAGAGTGGCGCGGCACCCCCGGAGCGTGTTACTAAATTAAGAAGCGCCGTTTCTCGAGCAACAAGGCAGCACTACAGTACGTACAGTATGTAGTCTAGTATTGTACAGTTGAGTAGAGAAGAGTGAGTGAATTAACAAGGAATGGAATGATATTAATTAAATGTATATATATATATATATACTATACATACTATACTCTACTCTACTACTTTGACACGTTGCGACAGCGGGACAGAACCAATGTTTGTCTAGATTGGCCTCCGCAGACCCTACAATGATGCATCCGATGGCATGAACAATTACCACTCTGTCGAGTACCATAATGAGTACTGCCTATATCGGTAGTTAAAAATATTCTATCTAATAAATACTATCTAATAAATACTATTTATTAGTTAATAATTGACCATCTCTCTGGTTCCGCCTACGAATATGGCAATTATTCAATGTTGCCTTTGAGACAGCGCCACCGCACGTGACTCTGGGCGAAACCCGCCGTGGCCGTGTGAAAGTGAAAGTGGAAGTGGTCAGCTTCAGATCGATCTCCCATTCCACCTCCACTCTCATCTTCACCCCCTCTCTGTCACGACCTTTCCATCCCACCGAATCCCGCAACCGAGCCCTCAACACTCTCCGTGTCCCCTTCGTCGCATCCACCTACACCTCCTGAGTTGGTTCGCCCCCCTCCCAGTCCCCCCAACCCAATCCGATCCGGGCCACCCTGACCCTCCCCGAAATCGAGGCTGCCTGTCTAACCCTTCGCCGATTTGTTCTAACATCTCTGACTCTCAGAAACATCTTCCACGATGGCCTCTGAAGCCCCCTACGACCCTTATATCCCCGCCGGTGGCCAGGGCGCGACAGCAACCGCAGGCGCCACCCAAAATGGCAACCAGCGAACAGCCGCATTGCAAGCGGTTAGTCCTTTCGTTCCCCCTCAATAAAGAGACTCGTGGATAAACCCGGCGTGCGATCTTGCCATCATATCTTCAATATAGAACGGCAGATGAGCGCGCCGGGGTTGGCCTCGGGCATATTTCTCCAAACTACCCCAAACAATGGGCTTTTGGCCGGGACAAGACAACGGACAGAACTAGGCTAACCCGGGTGGCTTTTTAGCAAATTGACGATACCGTCGGTGTGATGCGCGAGAATATCAACAAGGTCTCCCAGCGTGGTGAGCGCCTCGACTCTCTCCAGGATAAGACCGACAACCTGGCTGTATCAGCCCAGGGATTCCGCCGCGGCGCCAACCGTGTGCGCAAGCAGATGTGGTGGAAGGATATGAAGATGCGTGTATGCCTGGTTATTTGTGTGATCGTCCTGCTGGTCGTGATCATTGTGCCGAGTGAGTGATACCGTGGGGGAGGAGGATAAATTCATTGGGCACGAATCCAGCTAACAATAGCCTTACAGTTGCGGTTACCAAGAGCCACTAAATACCCATGGAGATACCTAGAGTATCCAACCTCGAGTCGCAGACGATTCGATCTCACGCAGCCACGCGCGTTGTGCTTCAATTGGGAACATGGGAATGATGAAACTATCTGTTTTAACCGGGTTTTTACTTGTCGAGGAATCATGGCCGTCGCGTTTTCCAGCCGTTAACCGTTAATACCTCCTGTTTTTCGTTATTGTGTTTTTCTTTTCTTTTGTTACCTTTCCTTTGTCTCCTGCCCCGTTCTGCTTTCTCAGCTGTTCTTGGGCGTGTTGAAATGACCAAATGCCTTGCCTTCCCCCGTGCCGACGAGACGAGCGACGTCCTTTTGGTTTATTTTGCATGGGATGAAGCCCCGCCCCCTCGTCCGGGAAATGTAAATGTAAATGATATTGCCGCGATTAGTTATGTCACCACTATGCGATTGCTATTCCTATTTTACTAGTAGGTATCGATCTACTCTGTACTCCGTACTCGTATACTCCGACTAATGCCTGAATGCCTGATGGCTGCAAGGGACTCCACTGTACTTTTGCGGTCAGGTACATCGAAAGGGTCCACTGGCACTGGCACCTAGTCAAGCAGTCGAGTACCTTTTAGGTGGAAGTAGGCTCACTTGACAATGCATGGATTCATATTCTCACTCCAAGTCTTTTATTGTAGTTTAAAAGAGGTACCTGTGGTTTACCCATGATCTCACTACCTAGTCTATATTTAAATTCCACTGGAAGCCTAGGAATATTTCTTACATTACCCATCGGGCACCAGTATCTACCCCTGCATAGTACTAGTAACTCTTCAATGCACAGGCGTAATTGGTAAAGTGAACACTTACCTTTCCCTACCCTTCTACTGCTCCTACTGCTGTTGTCACTGTCACTCTCTACCACACCTCCCCCTCCTCCTCCTGCTCGAACGGGTTGCAAGGTCCGCGACCCGCTTCCTTGGCAAAGAATCTGCGCATACGAGGTTTGCAGACCCAACAACTCGGCTGACTGCCCCGGACAGCCCATCAGAAAGGCCAGCTCGAATGTGAATGGCGGGACGAAGCGAAACAGACCCGGCAAGCTCAGACCGAGTGGAGGAAGTGTGGATAGTCGGATTACGCCACGCACGAGTCACAGCGGCCCAGAGGATCAGATAACCTGGCACTAGACCCAAGCCGACATTGAATAAGTCAAATACCCTCGGTAGAGGTAGGGTGATAGTGGATTGACGCCCGAGAAATGGGAAAAAACCTTCGGGTCTTTTGGGTCTTTTGGTCCTTTTGATCTTTTCTGGGTCCTTTTTAATTTTCGCTTATGATAAGGCGAGATTTCCGCCGACACCGCTGTAGCCACCAGAATTGCGCATTGCCTCCAAAATTGCGAACGTAAATCGCTCATGCGCAGGACCATGCGGGTAGTAATGGGGGAGATGTTATTTGTAGAGAGATGGGCAGAACCATGACTGCTTTTGCGGTGGAGGAGCTCATTCGTGAATTTATTTCACGCTGAGAGGAGAAGACAAGAAGATGAGTGGGCGGGAGGTGTGGGCGGTGGGGAAAGATCGCTCCGACGCCGCTAAAATCTCTCAGTCATTCCCATCTGCCACTGACACACCACTTCCACTCCCACTCCCACTCCCACTTCCTCCTCTTCCATCCCAACCCTCTCCTCTCTCCTCTCCCCTCTCCCTCCACTCTCATTCCCGCTTTTTAAGGGGCTTCCTCCCCCTTGGACGACTGGTCAAATTCCCAATTGAAGCTGCCGCATGTCGAAGATGTTGTCCCTTCGCTCCGCTGTGCGGAGAGCTTCCTCTACACCCCTCCGATCTTTCTCCGCACCGCACACTCCCCTCCGTGCTGGTCTCTCAGCTGGCCTCAAGGTTTCCACTGCTCGCTCGAACGCCCGTGGCTACTCTCGTGCCGCCGACCCTCACCTAACCTCGACTCGCAACACCGTTGTGCAGCTGCTGAGCAACATCGGCTCCAAGCGTGAGGTTCAGCAATACCTCTCCCACTTCACCTCCGTTTCCTCCCAGCAATTCGCCGTGATCAAGGTCGGTGGTGCCATTATTACCGAGCACCTGCAGACCCTCTCCTCCGCTCTCGCCTTCCTGAACCATGTCGGTCTCTACCCCATCGTCGTCCACGGCGCTGGTCCTCAGCTCAACAAGATGCTGGAGGATGCCGGTGTTGAGCCTCAGTTCGAGGATGGTATTCGCGTGACCGATGGTAAGACCCTCTCGCTGGCCCGTAAGCTGTTCCTGGAGGAGAACATGAAGCTGGTTGAGGAGCTGGAGCGTATTGGTATCCGTGCCCGCCCTCTGACCGCCGGTGTCTTCTCCGCCGACTATCTCGACAAGCCCAAGTACAACCTCGTCGGCAAGATCAATGGCGTCAACAAGAAGCCCATTGAGTCTGCCATCGACGCTGGCTGCCTGCCCATCCTGACCTCCATGGCCGAGACCCCCGATGGCCAGGTCCTGAACGTGAACGCAGACGTCGCAGCCGGTGAGCTGGCCCGCGCTCTGCAGCCGCTGAAGATTGTCTACCTCGCCGAGAAGGGCGGTCTCTTCAACGGTGACACCGGAGAGAAGATCTCCGCTATCAACCTGGACGAGGAGTACGACCACCTGATGACTCAGTGGTGGGTTCGCCACGGCACTCGCCTCAAGATCAAGGAGATGAAGGACCTGCTCAGTGATCTTCCCCGCTCCTCCAGTGTTGCCATCATCCACCCGCCGACCTTCAGAAGGAGCTGTTCACCGACTCCGGTGCTGGTACCCTGATCCGCCGTGGCAACAAGATCCACGTCAAGACCTCCCTCTCCGAGATCGAGGATCTCCAGAAGTTGAAGGATGTCCTGGTGCGTGATCGCGAGGGTCTGGATGCCCGTGCTGTTGTCGACCGCTATGTGGAGGGCCTGAAGGAGAACGACTTCAAGGTCTACTACGACGACCCCATGGAGGCTCTTGCCGTTGTCCTGCCTCCTCAGCAGGGCTCCGTGGTCGCCCAGCTTGCTACTTTCACCATCACCAAGTCTGGCTGGCTCACCAACGTTGCCGACAACGTCTTCCAGAGCCTGAAGAAGGACTTCCCCAAGCTGGCCTGGACTGTTAAGGAGGACGACGAGAACTTGACCTGGTTCTTTGACAAGGCCGATGGCAGCCTGAGCCGCGATGGCCAGGTCCTGTTCTGGTACGGTGTCGAGAACGGTGAGGAGGTCAAGCAGCTGGTCCAGGAGTTCACCAAGAACGGCCGCCAGATGTTCGGTGACATTAACCTCGAGTCCCGCCTCCACCGCGCTCACCAGGAGGCTGCTACCAAGTTCGCCAAGGGCCACGGTCTCAGCGGTGCTTCTGCTGAGCAGAAGCGTGCTTTCTCCTCGACCTCCAACGCACTCCGCGCTTCTCGTGTGCGTCCTACTGTTGCCGTCAACTCGATGCGCACCTACGCCACCACCAACCCTAACCCCCCTCTGGGCGAGAAGAACGCTTCCAACGCTACTCCCGCCAAGGTTGCCCTCATTGGTGCCCGTGGCTACACCGGCCAGGCTCTGATCAACCTCCTGAACGCCCACCCCAACATGGATCTTCGTCACGTCTCTTCCCGCGAGCTGGCTGGCAAGAAGCTCCAGGGCTATAACAAGCGTGAGATCATCTACGAGAACCTCAGCCCCGAGGACGTCCGCAAGATGTCCGAGAACGGCGACATCGACTGCTGGGTCATGGCTCTCCCCAACGGTGTCTGCAAGCCCTTCGTCGACGCTGTCAACCAGGGTTCTGAGAAGGGCAATGTCATCGTCGACCTCAGCGCTGATTACCGCTTCGATAACCAGTGGACCTACGGTCTGCCCGAGCTGATCGACCGCTCCCAGATCGCTCGTGCCACCCGCATCGCCAACCCAGGCTGCTATGCCACCGCCGCCCAGCTCGGTATTGCTCCTCTTGTCCCCTTCCTTGGCGGCCAGCCCACCACTTTCGGTGTGTCCGGCTACTCGGGTGCCGGCACCAAGCCTAGCCCCAAGAACGATGTCAACTACCTCACCAACAACCTCATCCCTTACAGCTTGACGGACCACATCCACGAGCGCGAAATCAGCTCTCAACTGGGCACCAGCATTGCTTTCATTCCCCATGTCGCGGTCTGGTTCCAGGGTATCTCTCACACCATCAGCATTCCCCTCTCGAAGGAGATGACCTCTCGGGATATCCGCAATCTCTACCAGGAGCGCTACGCCGGTGAGAAGCTTGTCAAGATCACCGGTGAGGCCCCATTGGTCAAGGACATTGCCGGTCGCCACGGCGTTGAGATTGGTGGCTTCGCTGTCCACTCCAGCGGCAAGCGTGTTGTTGTTTGCGCTACCATCGACAACCTGCTCAAGGGTGCCGCTACCCAGTGTCTTCGTATGTTCTCACAGTCCCTACAAGTTTCCGATCAGCATCAATACTAACCATCTCGCAGAGAACATGAACCTGGCCCTGGGCTACTCCGAGTACGAGGGCATTCCCCTGGAATAAATTACCACCTCCCACACGAACCAAAAAAGCGAGATAAAAGAAAGCGGACACCGAGTCTTTTGAGTGCATAAATTTTCATGCCCCTTTCTTCTTTCTCCTCTGCTGTGTTGTGTTTCCGCCCGTCATGCCTGTATCCTGTATACTGCACCATGTGGGCATGTTGAATGATGTTGCGACATTTGTTGGGCTGTTTTATATTTCCCGGGATCTATCCAAGCTATATTGGGGTTTTCTGCCTGTTATTTTGTTCATTTTGCCTGTGAAGAGTCCTTGCGTGGTCGGTGTTTCGCTTCTTAGATTCCATTCTATTTTTTTGTTCCTTTCCCGATCTCCATTACATATTCCCTATACCTGAGTTTTTGCCCACCGGGTCTATCCTATTTCTGATACTCGGGCGAGTTCGAGCTGGGACTCCGAGGAATGAAAAGCGTTTGAAGAAGTTGCCTAGAGGTCATAGCCATTTAAGGCTAGGATCAAGTCTGGTTCGGGTGTGACTTGGTGTAGATGATAAAAGAATACCTAACAAATTACCTCTGCAGGGATTCTGGATTAGTGTTGGTAGTACTATACTAACTATCCTTTATGGAATTTTGGGGGGTTGCAACTTGAAGTAGCCTGTAGTGTGTGATGCTTGCCATCACCTCCATCTCCCACCACCAACCCATCCATTCCATCCATTCACCTTCGCACTCGCCCACCAATTCCCATTCCCATCCTTATTCATTCTCATTCCATCGAGTCTAAAACCAAGAAACAAGCATCTCCAGTGCCACTGGGTCCCTTGGGTCATCATGTTCTACAGCCATGAGAGTCAGTCCATCCACGCTACTCCTCCAGAAGCGACACCAGACAGTTACCAGCACAAACGAAACTAACAAGTACCAGTTCTGACCTCACCAGAGCATGGAGTCGCCACAGTCTGGTAAGTTAGACGTCCTCCATCATCCAAAATCTCCCAGAATCCAGTTAACCACCAACGACCTACCTCAGGCTAGCCGCAACTCTCGGCCCCAAGTCAACAACTCGGAAGATAAACCGCAAGGCTATTTTCGACGTGAATGTACCTGGGGCGTGCAGGGTCATTGTCAATCCAGAAGTCCCGATGGCATTGCGTCTGCAGGGGAGTATGCTGTATGTTTCGTCCACCCCGGCCGGTCCTTCAATGGTCATGTTTGGAAGTCGTTCTGATAAGACATGATAGATACGGCGTTAGCAGGGTCTTCCATCAACAGTGTGGATATACCCTTCTGGATGCACAGTCAATGCGAGACAAGATGGCTTCAATGCTGCGACTCCTGCCTGGCAGCGGCTTGGATCCGAATGCCGGAAAAGCAAAGTGAGAATGCCACCCTTCTCCGAGCGAACAACCAGCCGTTTGAGAGCGCCAAGTGAGATTGGCAGGAAGAAAAGGAAAGAAAAACTGACATATCACTCGCTGCAGACCAAGTTCTCTCATCCTCCCCTATGACCCGACCTTCCTCCCCGAAACAGGACTTCCGGGCCTCAACTTCGACTTTTCGCTCTTCAATTGCGCAGATAATGCCTCCACTCAAGGGTCAAGTCTCTGGGGAAAGTCAGCTGAAAGTCAATCTACCTTCCTCCAAGGAAATAATAAGATCCAAATCGAATTCCCGATGGAAGATGTGGGGACAGCCAATATTGTGGCAGGATTCGAAGATGATATCTTCTGGTCTGCGGCAAATCCAGGACTTTTCGGACGAACTTCAACTGTTGCAAAGGGGGGGCGAAGAAGGGATTCTCCTCCAGCCTGACTTCGAGTTTGACGAAGATGGGAATATCGTCGAGTTTCATTCTAGCCGACTCTCGCCGAGAAAGAGACGGAAGATTGCTTCGATGCCGCGATTGAGTGAGAATACCCCTTCTGGAAGTTTACATCGAAAGGAAAAAGTGAGTAATGCATACATAAAACGAGTGATTCAATTCGCAGATGAAGTGCAGAAACTAAGACCGCACAGATGAACCAAGAAGAAGATCCATTCCGAGACGAAGTGATGATGGACCTGGACTTGGATCCGAACGTAGTGCAAACAACAAATGTCCTTGAACTCGAGGACCAGGCCCTAAACAATCACCAAAACCAAGCGGAACAAGAAGCAGAGACAACCTACGATCCAACAGAGATCTTCCGAGCCCCATCTCGCAAGCGACCACTCCGAGAAATTGCCCTAGACGAAAAGACAACCCTCCGAAATGCAGACCTCGCTCGCTCAAACGAAGAGTACCTGGTAAACATGGCCCAAGCCACCAAACAAAAGAAGTACAACAGACTGCCAACAATTACAAAGAAGAATGCTGCTTTCTGGGTCTATGGCCAGGGACTGGGCTCTGTCGGTATGGGACTGGGAGCGAATCATGAACCGCACCCGTTGAATATGTTCTCTGGGGAAAGACTGTATAAGTCGCTCGGGGGCATGGGACTACGCCCAGATCCCCAGGATGAACGAGGTACGGAAGATGAACAATATCATGCGCGTGCATTACCACGCGAGGCTCGAGCCCAAGATCGGGGTATGAATGCGGATGTGGATCAGCATGAAGATGTCGAATTCGCACGTCAGGCTCCGTCAAGCATACTCGATGATGGTTTTTCGCAAATGCCATGGAACATCAGTGCCTCTTTACACTCCTCTGGTCAAGCTCAGCGGTTCGGGAGTAGGAGTATGAGTATCGGCGACCCCCGTTTCGAGTCGAGTACTCGGGCTGGAGTTAGTGCTGGAGTAGGGGGACGATACAGAATCACAAGTCCCAGTCCCCTCGCCGGAAGAAGCCATCTTGACCCGAGTCATTTCGATACTGCTGGTGGATATATCGATGACGAGCTTGAGATAACCCGGTACCTGGAAAATGAACTTGCATCGGACCGTGAGAACGTGAGTATTCTATCGAATCCGAATATGCAGTCGCGTTTACGGAAAACCCGGAACAGTCTGGGTGAACAACTTCAATATCTACGTAAGAACCAGCGGGACCTTGCGAGTCTTGATCGGGAGAGTTTGAATTTCTATGAATTCATTCGCGAGAATATGTCTGCAGCTGCACCTGTGCTCGAAGATGGGGATGATGAGGGGAGTGGGAGTGGGAGTGTTATGTTCGGCGATATCCTTCCGCCCTCTCAGACGACTCGAGTTGTTGCTACGCAGGCTTTTATGAATGTTCTCACGCTTGCGACGGAGGGGTGGCTGGTTGTTCATCAGGATCGACTTTCGGATGGTGGTGGTGATGATTGGGGCGCGCGGTATCGATCTGGGGGTATCTTTATGCGGGTTGTTGAGGGGGATGGTGCCGGTGTGACCTAAGTTTGATGACGAGGGAGGTTGATTTATTTTATAACGGGGGGGTTTTTTTCCATTGTGGGGTTTCGAGGGAGACTATTCTTATGATGGTTTCCTATTTTTTGGGGACCGCGATTTGATTTTCTCTTCAAGTTATTTCGGTATCATTTATATTGTCTTCGGACATGGGCGATATGCCAAGGCATTTTTCCACTCCTGTTTTGCAATGCGGTTTCCGTATGTATTACCCTAGTTAAAAGTAGTATATTTTCATTAGTATCTCTGTCACAGCCCTAGGTTCAGTATCGTGTGGCTATTTTTAGGCTGTGGGGATGGAGTAAGGGTGACCCGTTTGACAGTTGACAATTGACAGATTGAATACGGAGGAGTAGAGAGTGTGGAGAGGGAAATTCAATTTCACTTCATTTTTATAATTTTAATTCCAAGGTGAATCGGTGCAGTACTCTGTTTACTAGTATGCTAGGAGTATATGCTGGTCTAATCTAATCTAATCTTACCAGGAACCGGTTGGAACCAGTACGCTGAAGACGTTGAGTATCGCGTATGAGATACAGGAACGGGGTCGCCTTTGGAACGGACAGTAATGGGTATTGATACTCATACTTGTACTGCAGTGACTGCGGTACAGGTATGGGAGTTCCCAGCATGATATGGGGTAGAAGAAAATGAAATGGAATAGAATGAAATGAAATGTCTGACTTTAGGTATTGAGAAGATGGTTTCTGCCTTTTCCAGCATTCTCTTGCCTAGTCCTGAGTCGTGTGTTGAGGCTGTCTAAGCGAGTGCGCCCGGTGAGATTACTTGGCGCCAATCTCGGTAGGACAGAGGGTGGAGGGTTAACTAAGGAGCTAGGGCAGTGGTTTTTGTGGCATTGAAATATTTAGAATATTTCCTGAACAATAATGCCTCATAACTAAGAATTTAATTATGCTCTCTGTCGTGTCGCAGTGCTTACTGACTTTAGTGTATGTTATGCTATCGCGCGTATGTTATCGGTGGCCAGTGCGATCACTATCGGCTGACGCGCGTGTACAGCAGGTGATGGAATGGGAATGCTCAGAGATGATAACTTTAAGTGTATGCTCGGTAGACTTAAAGTATATTCATCGAGTACTAGTATCTGCCAGTATAATCTCCTCATATTAAATGATAAATACATATACTAATAGTACAGACAAGTGCCACAGAACCCTATGTACTGTATACAGTAGTGTACGTACAGTCTCAAACATACGCAGGCGCGTACCCGTTACCGCGTACAATACTGCCGACCGTCTCGGTCATTTCCATTTCCAATTCTGCTCTTCTCTCCTCCCTTTCCCTCCCCCCACCCACCCGCAAACCGTTTTCTTCCCAGCATCGCGCGTTGCATCGCGTTAGCTATATTCTTTCCCGGGTCTCATCATAAACCTTCACCATCTCTCTCTCCACCATTGCGATGGGTCGCACCGTCGACCAGGAGGTGCACGCGGCGTTCGTCGAGTTCCGCGCCAAGGAAGATGATAAGGTGCGTGACTTGTGTATTTCGTAATATTTCACCCCCATCGACACCGCGTCACTAACATACGGGACCTCCGTTTTACATCTTTTTTAGTGCCTCTCCGTGCAGTGTATCTATTGTCAACAAATCCGTGCAAAGAACACCTCCCGACAGAAGCAACATTTGCTAGAGTGTCCTGGCCTACGCGGTCATCCCAACGCCCCCCAGCCTACTCAGCCCACTCAGACCCCCAACGGCCTTCCTACCAATGGATACCCCGGCACTCCGAACGGCCCCCCGGCCGCACCACCTGGCCCGACAGGCCCGACAGCCATTCCCACTCCAAATGGCACCATGATCACCAACGGTGTTAATCCTCATGCGACTCCTATGCAGACCCCGCTGCAGAACCTGAACCGCCCGCCCATGCCGACCCCAGGTCCTCCCCCGGGACCCCCGGGTTCTGCGCCCCCATCCGCTACTCCGTCGCGTCCCACCCCCAAGCCCAAGCCTAAGTCTGCCAATTCGAACCTGCCTGCGCCGCCGCTGGACGACGTGCACGCGGCCTTTGTCGAATTCCGCGCCAAGGAGGAAGACAAGGTAAGCTGTCGCAACAGAAGAGGAGTACGGACGATCGCGAAGACCGAAATGCTGACCACGCGCGCAATAAACAGTGTTTGTCTGTACAGTGCATCTACTGCCAACAAGTTCGCGCCAAGAACACAAGTCGCCAGCGCCAACACTTGCTAGAATGCCCAACCTATCTCAGCGTCATGAAGGACTCGATCCCAGCCAACAACCTGCTACACACATTTCCCGAAGGCGATGTCGCGCGATCATTGCAGATCCCGGCCCCATCTCTGGAGCTAGATTTCCGCATGAGCATCAAGATGAACCCCAAGGTTGGCGTTGGTGCCAGTATCTGGGGTCACCGCGAATGGGTCTCGTACCTTGGTGGCCAGTGGGCTGGTCGATGGGGCAAGGGAATTGTCCTGGTGAGTAGCCCCCCCGTCTTGAACATTTGCAGAAGTGAGATTCAATTTAACAAAATGAAATAAATAGCCCGGTGGACAGGATACTCAAATTGTGACTAAGGATTCCACAACCAGCATCCGCGCGAACTACCTCCTTCAGACCGCCGACGAGCCCCCGGCTTTCATCATCATCAAGGCGGACGGCTGGCTCACCGGCGCCAAGGACGTTTTGGAAAAGGTCAACGACTCTTCGATGGCTGACGGAATCAACCCGGGAAGCTATAAATACCGTCTCAACCTTGGCATGGAGACTGGTGATGAACGATACACCTTTTTGAATACCCTAATGTGGATCGGCAGTGGCTGCCGCCGCGGCCAAGAAGGTATGGCGACGCCGCCCCAAATTTTCTTGATGGTCTCTCTTACTAACGATTATCTCCCAGTCATCTTCGACGCATTCCGTGTCAACTAAATGCACCCCATGACTTCTTCACTCTCTTGCCGTTCTTAAGCGATGTCTTCTTTTTGCGATGGGAAAAATGGTGTTTTGTGAACCAATTTCTTTTTCTTTTCTTTTTTTACGTGGATTCGTTTGAACGATCTATTTCTGCTGTGCGACATATCTACGATTACATTGTACTCGGGCCTTTTCACACCCATCTGGTATCGCTGCCCGTATCTTGGCAGCCGGGCGCGATTGAGTCCCTTTTTATACTTCTGATGTACCTCTTCCTACGACATGTTTTTGAACCGATCTGAGCGAGGGATTCTCCAGAAATCGCTGATATTGGTCTAGTGTGCTCTACCTTTTGTTTTTGTCTTTTTTCCACCCCAGTTTTACCCCAGTTTTATCTTGCAATGGTGTTTATGCCTCTTTTTGATTTGCTCCCTGCTCAATGTTTCTGTTATGGTTACGGTTATCCCTATCTAGGCTGTTCTTTTACTTTACCTTACTCCGACTTATTGAGTCTGCGCTGTTTCCACTCTTCTTACCAGGATGCCCTTTAAATTATACATTCTTATCTTGCGTATTGCGTATACCATGCCATGGATCTGTAGACATAGTTTTAATAGCCCGTATTGACTAGTATGTACCGAAGTTTCCTGAGGCCTGCTTTCGTAAGTGGTTTCAATTGACTTTTTACCCCGGACTGGCTAAATACTAGTAGCTAGGTAGTCTGGTTCTGTTCGGTATGGTTGTGTATGTATACAGAGCTCAGGCTACTGAGGAGGATCCACCCACCTGCAGGAATCGATTCCCGTTTATACTTTATTTACGCCCCTGGCTAGTATGTACCATTGATACTGTTTGATTTCCAAGGTTGACTCCGGGGTAATAACTTGAATGAACTCGAATGTATTATCGAACTGAACAGAATAATAGTAGTGTATTTCTTATACAATACACCGTATATTATATCACTGTATGGAATGCGGTATGTATCTGCCCTTTCTTCCTTGGAAATTGTGGTCACGGTGCTTCCGTGGAAATGGTTCCCCGCCCGCCAAACCGGTACTCGGCTGTATGTCGGTACTTTGCGAGCCATACAACGAGGTATGCGGTATGCGGTAACTAACTTGGTATGTATTCTGTCGTACTTGTACTAGTATGGGGAATTTAGGAAAAATATATCTTGATCTGGATGTTTAATGTTTGGTATTTTTGGTGATCTGATTTGGAAAATATCTTGAAATCTGCTGAAGATAATAAGTACATTTCACTTGCACAGCTTGGTATTTTAGTTGCCGGATTTCAACTGCAAGTGATAGTCAAATGGATTCGACCCCATTCATTGGATACTACTATAATTACACTATTCAAGTCAACTAGAAAGATGCTTGCCGATGCCTGCTTTTTGACCCCACTTCGCGCAGGGATTCACCTTTGCCTGCATGATTTGACGTGGACATGCTCGTATCGAAGGAAGCAGACCCACGTGATATATGCCTTACCATGAGGCTCATTTGGGTCGAAATCCCCCTCATTTCATGCATTTCCTCAATCTTATTCATTCTATATGGCCCTGCCTTATGCTCCCACTTCAGTGCGACTAGACAAAACCGGTTTGATTTGATAAAGTTTGGATTACCTTCAACTTCAAGTCTTGTGCTTGATATGCAAGTATATTGGATTTCAAGATGCCCGGGGCTCTCTATATCTGTTGCCAGTGCCGTGATGGTCCCAAGTTTTGGGATAATCAGCCACAGTGTGTGATCTGTAACCACACGGCGTGTAGCTCCTGCACATATTTGGTAGGTGATTCATGATGAAAAACATCACATCCAGTACACTCGAAACCAGACTGATATCCTGCTATCGAAGGACAATACTTACCCGGGGGATTCTACACACATGCGGGGGAAGCACTACGTCGCCTCAAGACAAAAGCTCCATGAAATATCGGGTAGATGAGGATATTCGGAGCAGAAAATCAGCACAAGAGGGTCAATTCAATGATATCAATCCCATCCGACCAGGCAATTATTCAACAATCCAACCAACTGCTGAGCAACGATATTCGAATCAGATAAACCCAGCTCTTATAGAAGGAGTATCAAAAGGAGACGTAATCCATCATTCGGAGGCTTATAAGCGCGTTGAAAAGGCTATGAATTTTATCTCTGGGGACCCAGAAGAGCTATATACAGTGACCTTTCACCTGGATCTGAGCCTTAAAAACTTTTTCAAGTTCGAGGTTCAACACTCTGAGGATTTGGAAAGCCTACTATATCTTAGTGGCTCTGGCTCTATAGCTTTCGCATCAACATGCCGTGAATATGTCGATCGCTTTTGGGGGCATGAAGGATGGCAATTTGTTCAAAGGCTTGCACATGCAAACAAGCAGCCTGGTAAGAAAGAATTTGTACTTGCATGAATGAACCCCCCCAGCGTCTTGTGTTTCTTCGCCCTCCTCGAGTTTCCATTAGATGCGTTAAATCTGTGCTAACCTTCGAGCTGGATAGGAATATTCAAGTATCGCGAAAGCGAGAATGTGTACCACTATGTGATCGATGCCTGGGGCCCTCGCATGCCAGGGGAAGGGGAAATCAGGATGGCAGGCAAAGCCAGATATATTCTCAAATTCGCCACGCTTTTGACATGGATGACCAGCGTCTGTCCGCAGGACTCAATTCATTCCCTTGAGCCCAACATACTGTCATATTCAGAATCGAGCGTCCATTTTCTTGGGTCTATTCATATCTCCACGGGATCGGATTCTTCGCCCATATTTAACTATTCCTTCTTGACCAAAACGGGCACAAAACTGGCCCGAACAGGTACATGTTGGTTTCCGTTGTTTCCGGGTTCCGTGGTAGCGGAAGGATTTCCAGTGCCTGAAAGAGGCAACGATATGGGGGTTGAGATCCAATTCGATGTCATGGTCACGCTTGGGAAAGTTTCATACTTCCTTGAATTTCCAGAGGGTAGGGTACTAAAGGGATATTCAACAATGCTTATCCCTACCATTGGTTCAAGCCCAGGAACTATTCAATGGCATTTCATCCAAGCAAATCCTCCAGACCAGCCACTATCACCTAGCTGGATCCCAGAATCTGTTCGACAAAATATCCTTTGTCTCGACATTGATGATCTCAGGTCCTACAGATCATTTGTCGGGTATTGTAGCGAGGCCCACGTACATGTGGGAACACGCGATTCAGGCTATAGGAATGTGAAAGCATCTGGTGCTGAGAACGATGCACCGAGCCTACGCTTCGCTCGCGAAATCTCACCAACAATTAGCACTTCGAGCATGGGGATCTTTGGTGCCGCATTTGGGGGTAAAGTCACTCTTACCAGAGGGCTTTATGCATCTGTGCAGAAGGATGAGGCTCGACTGGATGAAAGACTGTTACACTCGAAGAAGAGCCCGGCTTTGCTCTACGATGTGGAGAAGGGGGGTCGGGTACCTTGTACCCGAGTTAAACCTTGTTCTTCAAATACTTCATATTTGGGCGGCCAATCTTCCTGATGAGAAGGATAGAGACCAGATCCTGCAGAAAGTCCCATTTATTCCAACTTCAGCCGAATCCGAAGACTATGCAGTCAAAGTGGTGGCAGAGAGCAAGAATGTTATCCTCCGAGAAGCGTATGCCGACGAGAAGACGCTGTTTCTCATCACGAAGCTCAAAGAGATTTTTCTTGCTATCGAGCAAAGAAAGGATCAGCGCAGATTACAGAACGAATCGACAAAACGAATTCCAGGTGTCAGCGGACCCTACTTACGAGGCTGGGAGCTGATTGACATCGCCACCTGTAAACCATCGCCGGAGAAAGGCACGAAGCTGAATGTTGGACCCACAGATTCATGGTACAAGATTGCGCGGGACAATGAGGACATGATTGTGTTCTTTTCTAAAGGAATGGCTGATGCCATTAGACCCACCGCAGCAAGAGTATGCCCAGCTTGGTATCCACCCCCGCGGAATCACTATCTTCTAGCGAGCGTTCCAAGTGTGAAGATGCTGTCAGAGAAAAATGGCGGATCCAGAAAAAGCATCAGAATGACGAAGAAGCATTTCCTCTTCAATGCTAAGGATACAGATGCATTTGGAGTCTGTGGGGGGAACACAAGCGGAGCATGCAGCCATGTCCATTCATTGGTGTCGAAAGTTCCCAACAAGGAAGTCGTTTTGGAAGATAGGGGTGCAATTCTTCTGGGCAACACGACAAATCGAAAAGTCCCAGGCACTAATTCCCAAGCGACAGTACGAGAGAATGCATCAAAGAGTTTCCAGTTATACCATCGCCTAGTCGACAGAACGGCTTGAGATAACTGGCTAGAGAAATATTTAAATTTAGCCAATGTGTGGAATTGAAATGAATTCAACCCTGGAGCTTGAAGACATGCATTCGTGAAACAAAGTTGAGCAAGAACATAACTCGAATAAAATTATAGACGCGTGAAATCAGTCAGATCCAAATCACAAGGTACGGCCTGGACTAACAGCACCCATCCTCATCTCATTATGCTCCTCATAAATATTCCTCTCATAAGACACCGAGATCTCCTGCGTCTGCTTGATACCACCAGTTTTGGCCAGAATACTTTTCTCACTACTGTTATCTCCCGATCTAGAAGGGTAATTGGCTCACCAGCAAAATAGTGGTATCGGTCTGTACTGGGTGTATCTCGATTTTTGCCGCGACTTTTGGCAGTGATGCTGTAGCTTCCTGAGACGGGATCGTCTGTTCGGTCGAAGGTGGACCGCATACGGACAAGGAGGATTCGGAGGGCTGGGATAGATGCAGCAAATATTGTTGAACCTGTTTCTGCAGATGCCCAGATAATGATGCTCGAGCAGTAATCTGACTAATGTTAGGGAATTCATATGGAGGTAGGTAGCTTTACTCACAGGTGAAATCCTGAACTTGAGAAATATTGACAAGCTTCGAGGTCTTGACAAATGCAGTGGCGGCAGCACTTTTGGGAGTTGGTTAGCCTTATATTCTTCCAAGTTGTATCACAGAGAGTCTTACAAGACACCGAGACTCATGGCGACGGCAATGCCGAACTTTTCTCGTTTCTTCATTTGGAGTTTCCAAATAACAGCCCATGGAAGGAGAGCAAGGATGAAGTCCATACATCCTGAATATGCCCCAGCCGTCAAGGCGATGTTTTCAAAGATAGAAGTTGGCCAGCATTTAGCTGTAGCCATGAGCTTCGTATTCCAGAGAGCAGCCGCTGGTTTGCACTGGGCCAGATAACAAACCGCACAAAGCCACATGATCGCATTCATGGTGATGATGATGAACCATAAAAGAACCTTCATCCATACCCGAGTCACGATTCTCAAAAGAGTTATGGCGAAGGAAGTTTTGCTGAGAACACAGCCGATGATCACGATGACGAACGATATGTAGACTAGTTTCAGTGCGGGGGGAATGATAGATGGATCTGCGATTGCTTCGACATGCTTTCCGATTACTCCTAGCTGGACGGCCTTTGTAATCAGTACGGTATAAACAAGTTGTAGTAGCTATTGTACAGGTCAGCTGGTCTAGAACTTGAGAAGAGGAAAATATTGGTAGAATACCCATGCAAGACCGACGACTAAATCGTCCCATCCAAGCCCTCGACTCAGTGCGGTTTTGCACCATATACGTAAAGCCAATACCAATCCAGGACGAGAACCAAAACCCAGCAGACTGCTAGAATTGTGGGACCTTGGTTTTGGCCGTCAAAGATAGGAGAAGAAGACATTTTTAATGGAAGGTATCGAGCCGCTGCAGCCAAAAGATCTCAATTGAATAGAATTTTCATCGGAAATTACTTCTATAAAGAAGAACTTTCAGTTTTACTCAATGGCGGTTATGATGAGTATTCTTTTCGAGATGAAGCATCGCAATGATCCAGTTGGAAGAAGGATGGAGGTTTCTTGTCTGCCTCGTGCAGGAAGAGATTTCATTCCTGAAACTACGAATCTGAATCGGAAGAAAACAAAGGAAATACTTTAGTTGATTTTTTCGGAAATAAATTCCAAGCTTTTTGCAAATGACAGGTACGAAGATGTTCGAACGAAAAGATCCAAAACGGCATTCCGAAATGATGATCTTCCACAACGTTGCTCGATGTCACGGCAAGGCAATATCGCAGGAGGTCAAAGGTATAGGAACCAGCATCCATTTCGCATGTACCAGAAGTGACCCATCACATCCGTTGATTCCAGGCCCTGAAGAACGCAGTTCTTCAGGACCAGCGATCCGAGAGCATCAATGACAGGTGGGGCTATTGCTGAACGGAGTCTAGTGGGCGTTTATCTGAAACGGTCAAGCATGTGTACTGTGATGTTGGGAATTGTCTGTGCGAAGCCGTTAGAGCTGTCACCAAAATTGAGCATTTCATGTCTTGTTCAGTAAGGCGTTTCGTTTCTTCAATATACCCCTGTTTGCAGGTGATCACCCCGGAAATACCATCCATGAGACTATAACTTTAGCCATCTCTCGAGTCGCTCAAACTAACCCCTCTCGCAGTTTGCCTTTCTTATCAGCTCTGGTATGTGTGCACACCCTGGAGCACAAGAGCATAGAATGTATATCAATCCTTCCTATAGCCAGAGGTTCAAAGGGGCGATCGCTTCCTTTGACTTTGGCATAATCAAAAGTAGATTGATTTATTTTACCGAAAGTTCCAGTCACACCAGTGATAGTATCACTAGTTGATTCGCTCTGTATTAATTCAAATATGGAATTTGGAATGATGAAAGATGGCTGATTGGTCTGATCAAGATACTTGCAAGCAAAACCGTGACCACTAAAGGGGTCTGGATTAACTTTACAATGGGATGTCTAATTTGTAGGCAAACAAAAAGCGCTTCTGGTATCGGAAGCTCTCATATTCGCAGATATTTTAGTAGAGCAAGCTTGAAATATAAATAATATTCAAGGGATTAAGCTGCCCCGGAATTTAGTTGCTCGGGCTGTCTAGCTTCAAGTTGAAAAGGGGGGTTGCATACTTTTACTACCCTCAACTCTCCCTACAACTTTTATTTAACATAAATTTCAATGTTGAACATGCGCCTGATTAAAACGAAGCGTGAATGATATTATCATCTGTTAGTGAATTTGGGCAAATCACAACTTCGGTGATAAACGTCGGCGGCCGACCGAATCGCCCGATTCCCCTCGCCAACCTGCAAAAAGGTGGGACGGGACATGAGATACGACCGCGGAAAAGGAGCGCTTTCGTGCGGGGTAACAGATAAAAGGTCGACCAAGTTGGCTGCTATCTTCTCGACCTTCAACTTTGTGCCCGTGCTTATTGCTCTCTGCCTTTCCCTTAATTTCAATCTAAACGCCATGTCTGCCCCGTCGCGTGAGAGCCAAGCATGCGGCTCATCTGCTAGCTTCGATATCTCTAATGAGCACCTCACATTTGTTTCTCAGGCCATTGATTCCGCTTCCACGGAGCTGCGAAGATTAAATCTGGAGGTGGGTTTGAAGATAAATTTCTCCAGAATATGTGCTGATAGTTACTAGATTTGGAATAATCCAGAATTGAAGTTCAAAGAGGAAAAGGCTTGCAAGCTCCTCACCGAATGGCTTCAATCGCAAGGATGGACGGTAAATACGGGGGTCTACGGCATCAGCACGGCATTCGAAGCGCGCTTTTCGGTGCTCGGCGGTGGCCGAACTATGTGCTACAATGCTGAATACGGTTCGTAACATAATTCAGCAAGAAGCTGTGTTCTCTACATGAGATAGGTGCTGATATAGACTACGCACTTTAGATGCCCTTCCCGAAATCGGACATGCCTGTGGCCACAACCTCATCGCTACATCAACCCTCGCCTCTGGAGTGGGCGTAGCATCAGCAATGAAGCAATTCAATATTCCTGGAACGCTAGTTATTATCGGTACCCCGGCCGAAGAAACTGGCGGAGGAAAGTACATCATGGCCAACAATGGAGCATGGAAAGATTGCGATATCGTGATAATGACCCACCCAATGCCAGGTTTCTCTAGTTCGCAAATGTTGACGAAAGCATCATGGAAATTCAGAGCGAAGTTCCATGGCAGAGGGTCCCATGCAGGGGCGGCGCCTTGGGATGGTGCGAATGCTTGTGATGCGATTGTCATGGCGTATAATGGTCTCGCATTGCTTCGGCAGCATGTTAAGAAGACGGAGAGTATTCAGTCGATTATTTTGGAAGCCGGGAAGGCGGTTAATGTCATTCCTGATTATTCTGAAGGTCATTTCTCGCTTCGTGCGGAGGATTCGGTGTCGGTTGAGAAGTTGCGCGAGCGAGTTATCCCTATTTTCCATTCAGCTGCCGCAGCGACTGGATGTACGGTGGAGCTGTTCTGGTGAGTGAACAAAGGTGGTGTAAGATCTGAGTAGATGGGTGTTGGCTAATAGGCCTAGGGACGCTCTGTATGAAGATGTGGTGAACAACATGGCCCTCGCCAACAGGTACACCAACTACATGCTGAACGGCCTCGATTTTGACCCGGCTGAATTCGTGGACCCTGCCACTCAGCCCAAAGCTGCTATGGGAGGAAGCTCGTACGTTCCTTAACTCTTGTGGATATGCGCTGAATGGGTCGTACTGATTGAACTAACTCGATGCAGTGATTTTGGCAATTGTTCATATCTGAAGCCCGGCATTCAAACGCTATTCAAGATCAATGCGACCAACATGCCGCATACACCCGAGTTCCAGCAAGCAGCGGGCAGTGAGTACGCCCACACGGAAGCGCTCCGAGCGGGTAAAGCCAATGCGATGGTAGGAATCGATGTGCTCTTGAACGATGAATTCTACCAGGCGGCACAAAGGGAGTGGGAGAGCTCGATGGAGGCCAGAGGGCGTAGATAAGCTCCAGTTAGATCAATTAAGGAGAACATTTCACTTGAGATCAATATCATGAGACGTCAATATCAAGTTACTAGTTAACCCCCCCTTGTCAAATCCATGTTCGCCTCCAAAATTACCTAGCACTGGCAGAATAAGTCCAAAATGAGGGTCAACCACAACATAACTATAGGAGGGTCCGTTGACGGAGTGTTACGGGAGACAGCCCTAATAGAGCGAGTTAAGCACATTGGATTCAATTGAAATCTTATGACATTGATCAAGCTGTAGATGCAAAATGTGTACTAGAATAAAATACCACCGCGCCAAGTCTGTGCAACTCCATATCGAAAGCTGGAAGATAATGTTACAATCCCACGCGGGGATCGACAAGCGAAAGAGTAAAAGGACGGGGCTTCTGGGCCCCAAGTCCGGACAGGGTGAGACCTCGTCAAACCAGGGTTTCAGGGCATAGGCTGACAAGTTCCAAATAATAGTTTCAGCCAAGTAGCGTTTGCCATGAGGATTGGTCAAGGGAAGGTTGGGGCGGGGGTGATGGTGGTGTTGTAGTAGGCCAGGAGAAGAGGGCTCATTCTCTATGAGGTGACCGAAATAAAGGATTGGTCAGGCCAGTAAATCATTGCAATACCGCGCCGTAGATGGTAGAAGATCGAAAAGCAAATAGGTCGTCAAACATATACACATGAGGTGTCACGCGGCGACGCTCATTTCTCGCGAGGGATATGCAGAGTCTCGTCTTTGCTGGCAATCAAGGCAATCAGGGCGGCACCAACACCGCTTCCATCCTTGGAGATACCAATGCGGATCTTCTTGTCACCTGCAGCACCGACCTGGGGAACCTCACGCAGGGCTTCGCGGATGTATCCCTCGAAGTTGGGGTAGAACTCTACGAGACTACCGTCAACACCGATATCGACAACATTCTCGGTATCGAGCTTGCCAGAGTCAATGAGGATGGCGGCAATGGGAACAGCACTGAGGCGGGCAGCACGCTTTCCGATGGCGTGGACGAGGATCTTGACAGCCTCGCATTCAGCGTCGCTGGGGTTCTCGATCTTCAGGTGGTCCTTGAGAGCTGCCTTGACGTCGACGAAGTCCTTACTAGTGTCGGCCTCGACTTGGCTCAGAAGGCTAGTGTCCAGACCCCACTGGCGGTAAAAGAGGGAGTCGGAGGGAAGGGAAACCTTGGAGGTCTCGCTGGTCTTGAAGATAGCCAGCTTAGGGTCGTTGTGGATGGCCAGGAGCGCGCGGCGCAGAATCTCACCAAGGAACATGCCGGAAACACGCTTCTCGAACATCTGAATGCCGGGGTTGTTGCTCTCAGCATCGAGATCGCGGTCGTAGACGGTGCTAGGCAGCACGCTCAGGTGGTTGTCGAAGCTACCCCACTCCGCGTTAATGATCATCTCTCCGGTGGACTTGTCGTAGTGGGCGTCCTTCATATTTTGGAGCTTGGTGATCTTGTCGATCTTCTCAACGTAGGCACCATTGGTACCGGTACCAAAGATAGCGCCCAGGAAGGTTTCAGTCTCGCCGGGAGAAGTGTAGGAGCGGGCCATCAGAGTGCCGACGGTATCGTTGACCAGCGCAGCCACGCGGACGGGGAGTTCGAGTTCATCAATGGCCGACTGGAGCAGAGCGCAAACGTCGTGTCCGACGGCATCGGGGATGTTGAAGCCCTTAGTCCAGCGGATCAGGGTTCCGGAGTTGATACCGAACTGGCGCACGGGGAAACTGAAGGTGAAACCCAGATCGAACAGGTCCTGCTCGTTGTTACCGGCAAGGCGGCGGCGGAGGTGTGCCTCAAAGTGCTCATTGTGGTGGATACGCAGGAAAGACTCGATCTGGCGGGCGAGGAAGAGGAAGAGGTCCTTGGAGGTACCGGAGGCCATGAGTTCCCGGGGGATCATGATCTTGGATTGGGTGAGGGAGAATGTGGTATCTCCGTGTAGCTGGACAGAGCAGACGCGGAAGTTGGTACCGCCGAGGTCAACGGCCAAGTAAAGACCCTGTATAGAGGTTAGTGAGAGGTTCATCATTGCGCGGGGGCCTCAGCAAAACGGACCTTTTCCGTGCCATTGGGGACTGCGGTCACGAAGGTTGGAATTTGGCTCAGAGTGGTGTTCTCCTTGGCCAGACCCTCATTTTGCTGGCGGATATACTCGGCGACACCGCGCTGGACCTGCTCAGCGGGGTAGTCAAATTCGCGCGCAATGCGCGTGGCCTCAGCCAAGAGTGACATGATGGATGATAGGTGGGGAAGAGCGGAGGTGGAGGATGAGAGGAAAGAGGAACAGCCGGAAAGGAAGGAAAGGGAAAGTAGAGATTAAGAAAAGAGGGAGAGTAAAGAAAGGGAATCACAGAGAAGATGTTAAGAGTGGAGGAGAGTAGAGGAAGGAGAAGAAGAAGAAGAAGAAGAAGAAGAAGAAAAAGAAGCGCAAGTGGGATGGCGGGGGTCCATTTGGGTGGATGAGGTCAGTCCCCAACCCAGCCAAGAAGACTATGGGAATCTCCGGGTTCACCGGGCTCCTCATCAATGGCTTTGACTAGGGCTTATTCTGGCCGAGATCATTGTCGCAGACGGCATCTTTCTAGAAAACATGCTCCGATCTTGTCCATTTTGATTTGTCGTTGCTAGTGAACTATTCTCTCTCTGTGCTTCTACACTGCTGAATGCAGCCGTGGCCCTACATTCTTGCGGGGTCACACAACACCTGGTGAAGACGCTTATTTCCTCGGTCTGTCCTCCCTACACCCAGTAGTTTGCTGGCCGAATTAAATTTCCTACTTTTTTTTTTCTTGATTTTTTCCCCCCCCCAAACAGCCCATGACGCAGGCAACTGTTGAAACTACGAGTTAGTACGGAGATGACAAGCTGTGGAGGGCTCTGCAGGCTGTGACTGGTCAATGGCCCGAAACCCACGTTTCCCCGGCTTCACCGGTGAGCGACACTGGTTAAGACGCGGGCGACACGGGGGATGCAGGGGACGGGCATTCATTCGCACAGCGTCACACCCGGGGAAACTTTGGGGGAGGATGGGGAAATTTAGGGATTCAGGGGTGCATATGACCCGACTGCAGAAGATATTTTCAAGTCTCCTAATTTAGTTAACTTCAAGTTAGTACTACCATTCATCCCCGGACATACCCCGGCTTCTATTGACAACCTTGGAATCGTTCGTTCGCTTCGAGGGTGTCTCGGGACGACTCGGCATGCACTCGGGAAGCCCTGCATAGGCTGGCGAACCCGAATGGCGGCCCGAGTTGACAATCCAATCCCGAGAAACATGGAATCCATCGGTTTCGGTGACTAACAGTTCCAACACCTGCAAGACACTTCCCGGTATTAGTTAGTCGTATTGTAGGTATTGTGGTACTGTCCTTCGATACTTCTCCAGATGTATTGAGACTGATCTACACAACGATCCTTGCCTCTCAAAGTATACCGCTTGACAGTCCACATCTATCTAGACCAGATCAGCCTACCCAGGGCAAGGGCAAAGTGAAGACGATGTTTCCTTCATTTTGTAAATCATGGCGCCGCATTCTCTTTATTTATTTTTCTTTTGCTAATCAGCTCTTAGGTGAATAAATTACGCCGCATACTAGGCAAGTCAAATCCTTACTACATTGCCAATAATTCTTAACGAGACTGGATTGGTCTGAAATATAACAATAAACTTATAATTTCAACTGATTGATAACGAGTAGAGATCTTCCAAGGTTGCTATCCCCCATGCTAATTCCCCGGCTCATACCCAATCGCCCGCGGAGCTAACACATAATCAACCTTTGCAAACCTTCCCACAAGGGAGCCATCCACTCCACCAGTCGTCTTTGGATCAAACCCAATCAAATTATTCGGAAATCCAACGTCAAACTCCTTCGCCTTCTCCAAGAATTCAATCTGCTTCTCGGTTAAACGAATTTTCAAAGCCTGAATATTGTCCTGCAAATGCTCAACCTTCCGCCCACCAACAAGCGGAAACACATTCGGCGCCTTGCAAAGAACGTAGGCTAAGGCAATAGCAGTCACAGATTCAATACCATGCTCTGCTGCAACAGTCGAGAGAGCCTGTGAAATCCGCTTCTCCTCATCCGTCTGCCCGTCGTCGAGTAAACTTCGTAGCTTCTCGCCATTCTTCTTCCGTTCGGCTATCTGCTTCTCGCTTTGGAAGTGTCCACCACCCAGCACATCCCAAGGTGCAAGCGCCATACCAAAGTGGCGTGCCATGGGAAGAATATCTCTCTCAAAGTCTCGGAGCATCACGTTCCATCGTCCTTGGTAGATACAGAAGGGAGTCTTTCCATGCGCGCGGGCATAGGTATTTGCTGCTGAAACGACCCAAGCCGGAGTATCGGAAATACCGAGGTATAGAACTTTGCCCTGTTCAACCAGGATATGCAGTGAGTCCATTATTTCTTCGATGGAGGTCGTATGGTCCCACCAATGAAGGTAGAGAATATCGATGAAGTCAGTTTGGAGTTTGCGGAGCGAATCACGGACACTATTGAACATGCTTCGCTTGTGATTTCCGCAAGTGTTTGGCGTGTTGCCCTTGCCTAGAGCGTGGCTGCGGTAGTCTGTGGTGAACTTGGTTGCGATGACCATTTGGTCTCGGTTTCCGCGCGCTGCCATCCATTCGCCGATCCAGGCTTCAGATTGTTCGTCCTGATAGTTGTTTGCTGTGTCGATGAAGTTGCCACCTGCGGCAGCGAAGGCGTCGAGTAGGGCAAATGATTGCTCTTTGTCCATGCTGCCCATGAACTTTGACCAGCTGTCTCCAATTGACATGCCGCCGAGTTGGGAGGGGATACTCGGATTCCTGCATTGGGGGAGAGGACCCGGTAGCGACCCAGAGGGGTAGCGGGTTCGGGTGCGGGTGCGAAGATCTCTTCCATTTTTATGGTTGGTAGAGTAGTTTGAGATGTTATGAAAGTGTTGTATGTGAATGAAGTGTGAATGAAAGCATATTCTCGCTGAAATATCCTCGTATTTATAGACATTCTGAGCCTGGCTGGAGAAGTAAATATTCGGTGTTGTCAACGGAGTTAAGAACCGCCCTGGAAATAACATCATAAGGGGGAAATTGTTTAACTTAGAGCGGAAATAGGAGGGATTTAATTCGAATTACTATCTATTATCTTTGTGACAATTCAGGTCCTTGCAACAGTAGGGCAAAATTGAACCATGCCTCTCGTTAAATCGAGACTTGCAGGCTCTCCCCCATTGTCATAGTATCTTCCTCGAATAATCAGGCACTATGATATAAAACGAAACATAACTGGGCATTATTATTGTCTTTGCAATCTACTGTACTTGCAAAGCTAAAGTTCCAAGGTTTAACTCCAAAGTCCGGTCTGGTAACCCCATATACATCATGACGCTAGTATGTTTTTGGTTAGATTGCTGTCATCAAATCTACTGACTCATCATTCTCGAGCCTGGGTGCCACTATTTCCAGGTGTCAATCAAGCGCTCTTCACCACCTTGAAGTCACATGTATTATCGAGTTCAAATGCAGGTGATGAACATTGACCTCTAACTGGATTTCCAAATAAAATAGCCGAAAAAATATTGTTAGGCAAGTACCTAATTCCGACCTTACATCAAACTTCGCCGAACGCCTCCAAGAAATACCCTTATCGTACGCCATCATCTTGTGCGATCTGATCTGGAGAAAACCCTCCATTCAATTTATCAAGGTAGTCATCAAAGCGTCCCGAGACTCGAATGGCTTCAGGCCTTGCAAGTGATTTCAAATCAGTGTATTATTGACCAGAAAGCCAGTTTGGAAATGGCAAGAAATCTAGGCAACCGACGTCGGTTTTCAAAGGTCAAATTATCGCCGTTCTGGAACTCAGCTACTATGGGGAATTGGAATCGTTCACCAACCAGCCAACGTCTTTATTGATCACTGTTAAAGCTCATTTTCCGATCGACAGTCCGTCCAGGACTTTTGCACCAACGCCATCGAGCAGCTCTTGCATTCTAAAACTGCCAATTTCTGGGTTCTCAAGACCCACGATGATTCTCATCCGATTATTGCAACGCTGAAGAGTCTCATCAACCAGGCTGCTACTTTCATCAATCAAACACCTGTTGGATCTGACCCCGCTCAAGGCCTTGATCGTTTTCTCCACGCACAGCTTGAGGAGCACTACATACACCTGCTTGCTGATATACTCAGTCGTTTGAAAGTTGTGTATATCATCGTGCAGTTGGAAGCAATCGAGGCTATTGACAGTTCACAATTCACACTGTGTCTTCAACAACTGATAGACCGGCTTTCGAGGCTTGGTGCTTCTACCGTGGTCGGGATTCTCGTTCTCAGTTGGAAGCTCGGTCTGAACTCGGAGGCAAGAAACTCCATCCCTCATTCTCAACTCCGTACTCGAAATTCCTCTCGGCGTAAGGCGACCCGGCTACCCAATCGGCCTCTTTTGACTCCACGAATTGATGTACTAGAATAGGTAGCTCCTAATTGGTTTAAATTCGAATATAGTCACTCCGAAGATACTTGAAATTCAGACATTCCCAGCCGTGTATTGCAAAATAGAAAAATAATCACAACTATTAGAGAGCGGTCCGGAATAAGCGTGTTGGTCATTCATCCTTTCAATACCAGAAAATTTCGGCCAATTCTAGCCTTTCATGAATATTGCATCGTCACTAATGAGACTTGATGACATCTTTCATTAGCTTTCCCTAGTAAAGCCAGTGATTATCCCCCGCATAATCTTCTCATGTCGATCTCACCGCTTTCCCACAGCCAACGCCATGCGCACTGGCGCCCTTCTATTAGCTTTCGGCCCCTTGCGGGCGATCTTCTCACTCATTTTTTTAAACCTGCCAGATTGACAGACGGAGCTCCTCGTCGCGATCTCCCGGTCGATCATGATGCTGTCCGGCCGGGTTATGAATTCGTTTCACTTGACTCGATATTGTCACTGGCTTAGCACTGGCTGACCTGTGCTGGTACGAACAGATCGTTCTAGACACAGTAGACTCACTGCGGTGTGTACAAAAACAGTTGGTTAGTACCCAACGACTTAAGTCAGGAAATTGTCTCCTCAACGTCGAGCAAGGAGATCGCCATTATTCACTCCTTTTTGCATCCCCATTGGTGACAAGGGTGCACCCCACTGGCACCCACTGGAGCCTGGGCCAGAAGGTGACGCCTGCAGAAGATAGCTTGGAGATCCTTGCATCGTCTCCTGGCCGATGTGGCCCTCGGCTGCGGCTGAGACGCGGTTTCATCTCTGCCTGTCGCCCGCATCGCCACAACTCTCGGATGTTTTTCTTTCCTTTCTTTTTCCCGGACTCGGATCACCGCGCATTCAGAATTACGTATTTTGTATGGCGAGCTAGAACAACAACAGTAACCCCGTAGATGCATTCTCTCCACACGCACACAGAACTGGGGGCGAATTGACTGCAAAATGCAAATTGCGGAATTGAAAACTGAGAATTGACCCCATACCATGGCATGCACTGCAATACTGCGCCGTACTATTGACTCTGCAGACCGCTACGGAAGATTCACGGACCACATGGGATGTGAAGGGAGACTCTAGGATTGGTCCTCCTTCATGCCCACGTTGGTGCATCGGCAAGGTCGCCTGGTCGGGGATGAGACCTGTACAAAGGGCCAGTTGCGTTGGCAATCCTGCGCTGACAGAACCTGCGTCGACTTTTAATGCGTTGTCCCCCTCCGTTTGAACTTGTTTTTGCTCTTGTTTTGTTGAGCTAACCCCTTCCCCTCAATCTCTTCCCACCGTCCACTCGTTTACTATTAATTATCCTGGGTTTATACGCCCATAATGTCTACATTTTTCAGTCCACCCGACCAGCCCAAAGAGGGTATTGTGCTTGGGAATAATGCCCCCTCCGACACAGATAGTCAGAGTCGTCCACAGTCTAAGGGGAAAGCTTCCTCTAAAGCGGCGAGTGAGAAAAGCACCTTGATTGAGGAACCAAGGAATTCCAACGCTTCCAGGACTTCGAATATTCGAGCCGAAGATACCCAGAAGGAGACTGCCAATGGTACAGCCAGTACTACCGCCAATGAGACTGCCAAGAATGAAGAAGACACCAACAAGGAATCCGCAGTCAAAGACAATGCGGAGAAGGAGGTCAAAGACGACGAAAATAAAGCAGACAGCGATGCCGACGGTGAGAAGAGTCAAGAACCCGAAATTGAATATCCAGCGGCATGGAGGCTTGTCCTTATTACCATTGCGCTATGTTTCTGTGTGTTCTGTGTGGCATTGGTGAGTACAGACCATCTCAATTGTATCAGAGAGTGAGTATTTATCTAACAACATCCAGGATAACACTATCATTGCAACTGCCATTCCAAGATTACCGATCAATTCAACTCTCTCGACGACGTCGGCTGGTATGGAAGTTCCTACTTGCTCACTACTTGCGCTGTCACCCTGATTTTCGGAAAATTCTATACCTACTACTCTATCAAATGGATTTACCTCGCCGCCCTTTCCGTCTTCGAGATTGGTTCGCTCGTCTGTGCCACAACTCCTACCTCCGTCGGTCTTATCTGTGGTCGGGCTATTGCTGGTCTCGGTGCTGCGGGTCTGTTCTCTGGTTCTATCTTGATCATTGGCCAGACTGTTCCTCTTGACAAACGACCGATGTATACCAGTCTGATTGGTGCTATGTTCGGTATTGCAAATGTCGCTGGTCCTCTGTACGTTGGCTCCTCATTCTGGAAACAGGTTCAACTGCTAACTTAGGATAGTTTGGGCGGTGCTTTCACTGATAGACTCTCCTGGCGCTGGTGTTTCTATATCAACCTGCCTATCGGAGCTGTGACTTTCCTCTGTATTATCTTCTTCCTCCCTGCCAACAAGGCATTGAAGCAGAAGGGTAATTGGAAGCAACAACTGGGCGAATTTGACCTTCTCGGTTCTCTGTTTTTCCTTCCATCCATCATCTGTCTTCTGTTGGCGCTTCAGTGGGGTGGTACCAAATATGCCTGGGACAATGCCCGTGTCATTGCGCTCTTCGTCGTTTTCGGAGTTCTTTTCATCGTCTTCGCCGTCCTGCAATGGTGGGGACAGGACCGTGCAACTGTTCCCCGCGTCTAATCAAAAACCGAAACATCTGGGGTGCGGCATGGTATTCGTGTGCGCTGGGTGGTGCGTACTTCGTTTTGACCTACTATGTGAGTACTCCAACACCCCCAATTATCCTCTTTCTTCTACACCAAGCGCGCAATGCTAATACTATCACAGCTCCCAATCTGGTTCCAGGCTATCAAAGGCGCAACAGCAATCAAATCCGGTATCATGAATCTCCCCATGATCATTGCCGTCGTCGTCGTTTCTCTTCTCGCTGGCGGCCTCGTCACAGCCTGTGGCTACTACACACCCTTCATGATCGCCTCGTCAATCATCATGACTATCGGCGCCGGCCTTCTCAGCACCCTGCAAGTTGACTCCGGCCACCCGAAGTGGATCGGCTACCAAGCGCTCTTCGGCATCGGTCTCGGACTTGGCATGCAACAACCGATGATGGTCATGCAAACGGCGCTGAACCCCATGGACGTCCCTAGCGGCACGGCTATCGTTATGTTCTCGCAAACCCTGGGTGGTGCTATCTTCGTCTCGGTCGGACAGAACGTGTTCCAGAATCAACTCTTCCAGAATCTTGCTCACTATGCGCCTGATGCCCCGGCCGCAGAATTAATATCCGCTGGTGCGACCATGCTGCGTACTCTTGTCCAAGGTGATGAACTGCATCGCGTCCTTGTTGCGTACAATGCGGCTATCATGCAGACCTTCTATGTCTCTGTTGCGATGGGTGCTTTGACCCTTGTCGGTCCGATCTTCGTTGAGTGGCTCTCTGTTAAAGGGAAGAAGATTGAGATGCCTGCTGCTTGAGTGATGGACGATCTGAAAAATATTCCCTTGTTTCTTTTTTTCTTCCTTTCGATATCTCCCCCTCTTCGTGCATATTCTTTTATTTCCTCTTGGCTATGCGGTGATCCGATTCTGGTCTGGGATAGTATAATATGGTTGTTATATACCTAGTGACTTGATTTGAGTAATACAGTTGTTCATTGATGAAAATTCCCAGTGTATGTAGTAGACTCCATGTCTAAATCTATTAGTATGCCCCGCTGAGATTGACGCTAAGAAAGAAAATGAGATGAAGTGAGGGATTTTGGGTATAAACTATCATTAAACTGCAGCGTACAAGCTGAGATAAATTCCCCATATCACTCCACACGCACTGCCAAAGACGACACGCCGGTCTACGGGGATGACAGTGTACATCAGCGTTGACACGATCGGGCGGTATTTCATCCGGGCGATCATAATCGGCCGAAAATCCTGCTCCGACATGATTAGAAAAGAGTGTGCAATGATGATGGTTATATCTCCACATCGAAGAGATAAAACCCAAAGGACATACCTCAATTATCAACTCCCAAACTCTTCCAAGCGCAACCCCCTTCAAAACATTAATCAAAAAGACAAACAGCACAATATTTACCACACCGGCGACAGTCTGGTCAAAAAGGAACTTCATCATAAAAGCATGCAGGCCGGACTTCCTCACGCGAGGCGCCCATCGACTGGAAGCCTGCCCTTGAGTTTGCTCCTGTATCTCGGCCATCTTCTCCTTCTCCTTCTCCCGATGATGCGGGAGCTGGGCATCTGAATCAGCAGACCACGGCCAAAGGGAGACGACAAAGGAGCGCAGAGACGCGAGAGAGCAAAGTGCTTTGAAACTGCATGAGCGCGAGGAGAAAAGCGTTGAGATCTCCGCGCGTGAGGGAAATCCTGGATACTGTGTTTCCAGTGCGCGTTGCCAGTAGAAGTTCAGGGGCACAATTAGGATGCCGTAAGAAACGAATTGGAGTAGGGCCAATATGTTCAATTTGAATGGGGTCTGGAGAGTGGTTAGTTACGATTCTTTTTTTTGGTGAAGTATTCTTTTTCTTTTTTTTTTTTTTGCTTTAGCTTGGGAGATAGGGATAATTACGGTGTTGTTGCGCTGGTCGATTAGCTGCGCGAGGATGTTGGAGAGGGCATTTAGCACGGTCGACTGCACGAATGTGACTGTGAGTGCAGAAGGCATTGTATTTGCGACGCCATGTGAATTTTCTCCGAGTTTTGGGGGGTTATCACGGCGATCCAGGGCCGTTCAAGTTCATGTTGGAGTGGAGTGGCGCTGGCAGTTCCAATTTGCGCTGGGGCCGCCAAGACGCGCAACCGTGTCCTGAGAGCCCGAGATGATCGACATTGCATTCGGCCTTTAGAGTTTCGACGGCCCTGAAGAGGTCATTTAATTGCAGAGAATATATACATGACAAAATCTAATTCCATGCCATCAATTTTTATCACGAATGCTAGTAAGTATGCTTGCACTGGCAGCCCTGGGGGTTTCCAAGGTTCAAGATTCCAACCAAGGGATGATAAAAAGGGCCCAATCGAGAGGCGGAAAGGGTCGGGTTGCCGTTATGAAAGGAGACCGGGGAGTTGAGTTATCAAGTAGATTCGGGCGAGGTACGACTTCAGACTCGAAACCCTCTGTATTCGTGACATAGAAGAGGATGAATGCTTAGTGGAGATTGTCGCGACTGGGCTCTAGTCTTAAAATAACTATGCTGGGATGTCCTTGGTTGAGCAACATTCGACACCTCTCCCAGTACCCACTGATTGCGCTTCCGTCACGTCTACTTGCCTCTGGCTACCATTCAGTGGCTTGTGCCTTGATGGATTTTAGTTCTTCGGGCCATTATCATATGGATCCCAACATATTTCCTCGGAGCGAGAACCTTGGAAGTCAGCCGTTCTATCACTCACTAGGTACTAGTAGTTATATTTTTATCGCATCTCTGAATAGGAGACCATTCTCGGATTCCGTGAATTTCTCTTTCACCTGCCCAGGTGCCCACTGGCAGGTGGGACAAGTTTCAACTACTAGTATAATGCCTTTCCCGAGCGGCCCAAGTTTGATACATGGTTCTCAGAACGAGGTTCAGTGTGCCTTTTGTAGACATCTTTGTCCACGGTAAAGCCGGTCCTTTTCGCTCATGCTATTTTTCTGTCTCCAACTCTCCTCAGCAGCCAGCTTCTACTCCAGAACGCAATTATATGCTCCGTGACTTCCACAGAGACCCCCATAGTCCACCGAATGTACGATTGGCAGTGTGTCAGGCTTGCTTGGTCTGCTTGATTCGCGGCCCATCGCCCACGGCTAGAATGTACTACCTTGATCTCTGTCCAATTTTTCATTCATCATCCCGATATATTTTTAGTTGCTAATTTCAGTTGCCCCTGCCATTGCAGTTGCTAGAAGGCAGCGACAAATGACGAATGGCATTGGTTGATCGATAATTCGACACCATAACGAACTCCTCTTTTTGCGGTGAGTCCCAGGCATCGAATGGCCTGTAACCGGTCAACAGGTTGGTTCAGGGAGGTAGCGAGCTTTTCTATCTACTAGTACTGATTGTTCATTTGTTGAACATCGGGTGCCGATTTTATATCGTTGCCCAGGTGGTCATTTTAGCACTACAGAGAAGTGTTTGCGAAGCGCTGCAGCAAATTATTTCCAGGTTTGGGCCCTACGGTGGGTATGGAGATGGATGGTATAAGGTACCTGTAACATGATCATTGAAAGGGGAAAGTGATTCATACTGTTCACAGGACCTATAAAGGACAACCTTGGGAATACAAGATTAGACTTGCCTAGTTACTCTCGTGAGTCGTAACATATAACCTTTTCCCACCATTGTGCTTTTCTTCACCGTCCATCTTCCGGGTCTTGATTTGTTTGCTCTTATTGCTTTGTTGATTCGCCTATTCAAGGGCTGTATGTCTCCAAGGCTTCTGCAGGCACCAACGTTGACAGAAACAAGATTAGATTACATAAACAAAAAGGTGGTATGAGTCCCTTACCCGTCATTCTTTCCTTCTCCTTCTCCAAGACCTCTAACAATTATTCCATCGCCTCTGTGCGAGACCGGTCATTCGACTGTTTGTTCATTCTGGTAACCGTTTTAGGCCATCGCCGTGCCTGAGTGGGCGAGCATAGGCGCCGCTTGGCACACCCATAAACCCCTCTTTCTCCTTCGAACTGAACCTCATACTTCCTTGCGACGCATTCAAAACCCTCGTCTCCGAGTCCCTATCTCTCTCTTTCACTAGACACGAAGACATCAGTACGAACGAAGCAATGTCTCTTCCCGGGATTCGAATAGCGGCCGTGGAGATTCCCGAGGCGGCCGCCGCGACTCAGTGACTGGCTCCCGACCTACTACGCCTACCGGCGCTAGTGATGCTCCTCCCCGATCTCGTAGTCCACAGAGATCTCCCAGTACCGAAAAAAGCGGACGAGGCGGAGGTTCTGCGAGGGGCCAATCATCAGGCCCTTCTCGAGGTGGCCCTCAGCAACGTGGTGGCTCTCAACCCCATGATGGCTCTGTAGGTCCTCCTCCGGAGTACCACGGCGCCCCGACTATCAAGGCAGACAGACAGTAAGTTCAATGGCCCCTCTTACATTAAAAATCACTAACCGGTTCCATTCAGGGTGATGTTCATTGCTCAAAAGCATCTGCACCACCGGCAAAGGCTGAGGTTTGTTCCTTGTCCACTTTTTCCCGATCATCATCGCTCCTATTCTAACACGAGGTTTCCAGAAGCTCTTTTGCAAGGTCAATTTCCGCTTTCAAGCATTTAAAAGCGACGTATGACACCATGCCTCCGATAATATTTCGAAGCACGCCAGTGAAGTCGATCATGGTGCCTTCGACAGACCTGGCTACTAAGCCATCGCCACGACCCTCAATATGAGCAAGGCTCCGCGAGTCGAAACTCGCTGGCTCTAGGTGAATTGCCTCTCGGTCTCCGTGGATTGAATTGTTTCCAGGGCGGGTGGGCGGGAAAGATTCGATTTTCTGTTTGCATTCAATGGCCTTGGCCATTCCAATTCTTCTGCCTCTGCCTGTGGCTATGGTATCTTTCGCGGGTATCCTAATTGTCGTTTTCGCGGTTATTCTTCCCCATACCCTTACCCATACTGTTCAGGTACACCTGGTTGGCAGTAGATAAAGTACCCTTTGGAGGAAGTGGAAGAGGTGCCAGTGGTTTGCAGAGTAGAACGGCTTAGAAGTGGCGGGTGGTGATGTACATTCGCTGACTGCTATTCTTGAAACCATTGTCATCCCACCGTATTTTCAGGGTTATATCTATATCTATTCTTATAGTCATGCCCAGTGACTGCCTTATTCGAATTCTAGTTCTCGCCCGACCATCAGTAGTCTTTATGGGCTTCCTTTGGTCAGTCAGTATTGAAGTGTGGAGCCTCAGGCACCATATCAGGCATTCACAGCTCGCCTTCCCGGCCACACTCCTTCTCTCTTATAGACATCCGCATGCATGCACCATTTCCTGGTTTCCATCCTCCATCTGCATTAGTATTGAATGTAGTTCTTGATATCCAGTGACTCCGGTTGCGTCGCGGCCAATCGCTCCCCGGCCAGCACGCATTGCCTTGTGCCTTAACTTCATCTTCTTCCACCTTTTGAATCGTCGTTGCGACTTCTTCTTTCGCCACCAACTGTGAGCTGCCTCCTGTAATTACCGCTTGGATATCTGAGTCCTTCCCCGCCTACTCGCCACCCTACTCGCCCAAAGACTGAGCGTCTTCGGATTCACGCCTTGCACATTCATTCCTTATGTCGCCTTCAGTGGGTAGCGGGTGGCGGTCAAGTCTGAACCAGACATCTCCTAGTTAGATAACCAAACCCATCAATAAACACCTCCATCGAGGATTTACGCATACACACTATGTCGCATGAGCCTGATGCAGTAGCACTTACTCCTCCTCCCCTTCCATTCTTCCCGCTTCTTCTTCTTCATCCGCACCCTCCCAATGTCAGTCACCGAGTGACGGCATACTCTTTTTGTCATGTTTTCTCTTGTCAGTCACCGAGTGGCGGCATGTGTCTTTCTCCTGAATTGGGATTCTTCTTCTCCCACGCCCTCCCCCTCCTCCTCCTTGTCAGTCATCGAGTGGCGGCATACTTTTTTCCCCTGAATGCGGATGTCGACTTCCACGAGCCATGGATATGCTATATCACTACTAGGCCAGTTTTGGTTCGCTCCTGCCGTCATACTTACCCTTTCAGACCGTCAATAACTAACTTTTAATTTCCATTCAAGTTTCCATTCTCTGCTCGACACCCACTCGACACCCACTCAACACCCACACAACTACATCACTGGATTACGAGAACAGAGGCACGATGGCGAAGAAAATACAAGCGAAACCTGCAATGAGTACAAACAGAGCGATGCGTTACATGGAGAGAAAGTGGAACGGTTTGACGGACGCAATTGCTGCTCTCACGGCGTCCAAGGAAGCTCAGGAAGTTAATGACAACTTGGCCAACTTGAGGGAAGCTTTCGCGGAAGCCAACGAACTTATGGACGAGATAAAAAAGAACCCTCCCGTTCCAACCTTAGGCGTAAGCGATGCAGCATCGGGAGATCATGTCAACGCCCTCCGGACAGGCTTTGGACTCCGAGCCGACCCAGAATGGAGAGATTGGATGGAACCCAAGCACTCCGATCAGCTTGATGGATATTATCGTGATTTACAGCCCTTTGGTAGTTTTTTCTCACTGGATTCAAGGACTGTCCAGCCAGCTAATTCCTTTTTAGGCAAGATTATCAAAAGTATGGGTGGTATGTTCCGGCCGCAGTCGTTCGAAGCGAACATTGACGACGAACCATGTTTGCGTGCTAGCCTGAACGCACTTATCTATGCAATAAACTCAACGGTCCAAGAAATGAATCCTGAAGGCAGCAGGTCGCTGAGCATAAAACCTGAGCAATCCATGTCATACTACCCATACCGATATGATGGTGAGGATTATCGGCTGCGGGGTCGAGCTGACTACGCCCTTTGGTACGGTCGGCGCAGGGACATTGATACCAACCTGATCATCTGGGAGGCCAAAGGAAAAGCCGGGACAAATGGAGAATGCCAGCTGTTACTCTACATGGGTAAGTGTAGACTGTCTACCATCCCTCGTTTGAATATCGATACGAATCGTTGGCTAACCGACTCTTGATCGCCTATCTGCAGCCATGGTTCACAAAAAGCGATGCGAGCTTGGGAAGAAAAATCGCATTGTGTACGGAGTCCTCGCTCTTCCAAACTACTTCGAATTCATCCAAATCGACAATGACGGTGTAGTATGATCAACCCTTCGCTGATGCTTGTATGCCAATATCTGACTTGACTTTAGTACTCGATGCATTTTATCAAATGTTTTGATAGTTCCTTCAGTGCATACGTTCCACTCTTGACCTCCATATTTATGGAGGCTGTGGCTCTATCACCACCCGGAAGTGAAGAAACGGACTCAGTGAAAGCGATGGAAGCTGTCTAATTAAACCTTTCGGGTTGCCAGTCTTTGATTGCTGTTGAACTATGATTCTCATTCCCTTTTTTCTCGTCGATTGATTGATGAAATTATTCTTACCCTCTTGCTTTTACACCGTGGCTTTTGAAAACATTCATCCACGGATTAAAGATGTATTTTATGTTAGAATTAGCCGGACTTGAAGGACCTCGGTAATTTTGTTCAATCAACACCATTCGTATCAATCTAAGCAACTGATCACGGACACTCTTTTCGTAAAGTAACCTTGGAAGACTAGTAGTAACTCACCTCACCCTCTTGCGGTGCTCCATAGCGTCAACTGCCCAGGTGGTCGGTAGTAGTTACTGACAATTCCTTTCTAGTCTAAAGTACTATGTCGATACACATCTTGTCAAAATATCCATTCGGGGTTGAGACCTTGGAATCTTCATAGTAAGTGCCATTGTACAGCGCAAGTAGTAGCTAGTTCTCTTCGCTACCTGGGAACTTGAAGGTGACTATGATTTTTCCAGATATCCTAGAAAACTTTGAGAGATTGGTCCGTACTCGTAACAGCCCAGATACAAAGAATTCAAGTTTCAACGATTCAGCAGCATTGAACGATGTAACTGAGCATGAGTGAAGGAATAAGGGAAGAGTCACAGATAAAACCTTTCTATCAGAGAAACAGTGCATTGGTCTTTTATATCGGCCCGTGCGAGTCTCCGACTCCAGAGGGCGTCGGGAATTATCGTTGTCTTGAGCTCTGCGACGTTTCATGCGTTGACCGGCCAGTCGAGCCTCGCCCACGGCGGCGTGGTCTTCTCAGAAACAATATTCACCTGCATGAACCAAGATGGTATTAACGCAATAACGGTGATACATTTCCTCGTCTTCGTTCTCCGGCGGAAGGTCGAATGGATGCTGGGGGTACCAAAAAGCTATGTCAAGATTCTTGGCGTTGTAATAGATATGAGACTCAAATAATAGGATTGTATTGTGAGGGCAGCGTCCAAAGGCCCGGAGATAGCAATGGAGCTTCAACAACTTTATAGTCTAGAACAGCGTGGTAGCTATTCATATCAACCGTGACATTATGCCTCTAATGTCTGGATGTACACGTTAAAAAATAAGGCTATTGGACCGATTAACCGGGTCCCACGGGTCGAGCGTAAGCGATTGTAGGGACATTCCTTGCAGTTACAACCAGTGTAGTAGAGGCAGAGGCTCGCATTCCCACCGCACAACACGGGCTATTCAAACTGGGAATTAAACTCAAGAATCTAAAAGCCTGTGTATTGGAATAACTTCAGAGCCCATTTTGAACAGCCAAGGAAAGCCAACGGGAAGATTGTTCATCATAAACAGGAATCTCTAGACACAATACATGATTAAAGGTAATATCCACACCGTAGATCGATTCTAAATTTATACTATCACAAGGGGTACTGTTAACGATTTCTCTCAATTAATAATTACATAGCTTAAGTTCCAAAAACGTGATAGATCAACCCGGGACTAGTATAGAATTATTCGCATTAAGACGTGGAAAAATAAATTGAACAATTTCCAGACATTTTAATTCCTTAAGAAAATAAATTGGCCTTCTCTTAGCTAAGTATCTATTATAAAGCATATTGAACTGATTATCATAAAGTGTGTTCGGGTTCGCGGTTTAACAAATTATACCCCCCTGTCTGTTGTCCAGATCCTCAGAACCACTTCAGATATGACCCATATGAACACAAATGAGTTCAAAATTATTATTATAGCATGAAAAATCTTCAGACCAGCCCTGGTGGATAGAAACAACAAGCGACAGCGAGCCTTCGATATTCCATTGAACAATAGCGCCACTTTTCGTGACAATTTCTGTTCTAAAAACTGAAAATAACATGGTTCAGGGCGGCGAACTCGGCTGTCCGACTGAAATGACTAAATTGTTTCTGTGTAATGTAGGTGAGGTGTGGGGATATAAAGCATGCTTCTTTGTTTAACCAGGGATTGTGCGGGCATTAGGGACGGGTATACCCCGCGGTACACCTGGGTGATGCAGCCCATGCAATGTGCCCTCATCAAGGTGAGCCAGGACCCCTTCTATTTTCCGACAAGCTACTGACTATCTTTATGTTTCCTAGGAGCTGGGGCTGGCCAAGCCGTAGAGGATGGGTATATACTTGGGCGAGCACTCCAAGAATATTTCCGATCTCAAAGCACAACACACCCCTATACCATCGAGCATTGCCTTCATCTTTATCAATCTATCCGATACCCTCGCTCAGAGAGGGTCCAGATGACATCTCGCGAAGCAGGGGATTTGTATGAAATGAAAGTCAAGGGAGTGGCAGGGCTTAGCTATGATGCTGGCCTCCCTGTTATAAAAGCCTTATTGGAAGACCGCATGGCGTGGATTTGGAACGAGGACATTGAAGAAGTGTACGCAAAAGCTTGGTCTGAGTGGCAGCACTCGTAGTTCTAAAAACCAGTACAAGTTCACTTCAAAGTAATTGACATCCATCCATTCATTCTATTACATTTCTCATAACACGACATATAACCCATGTGCGCAGTCCTAGTCACTCGCAACAGAAACAGGCACAACTTTTTGAAACTCAACATTCGGCCCATCCTTCGCACTAGTAAAATGATCCACAAGCGCCAAATGACCCTTCTCATCCTCACCCTGCCGGTCCGCAAGACTCATATCGAAAAGGAAAACCAATCGCGCGAGCGTCAATCGCATCTCCATAAACGCCATGCTCTTCCCAATACACCCACGAGGCCCGATACTAAATGGACAAAATGCCCGACGCGCTGTCTCGATGTCCTCTTTGGTGCTTTCCCAGCGAGCACCGGATGAGGTGCTGCAGGTTGCGCCCTCGATCCAGCGCTCTGGGATGAATTGCTGCGCTTCTCGGTAGTATTTCTCTTGGCGGTGGATTGAGTAGGTTGGTGTGCCGCAGTCTGTGCCGGCGGGGAGGAAAATGCCGTCGACGACGGCGCCGCCTTCCATTACTTCGCGGGGTGGTGCGCCGGGGACGGCGGGGCAAAGACGGAGGGCTTCGTCGATGCAGGCTTTTAGGAAGGTTAGTTCATTTAGTCTGGTGCCGCTGATGATATCTTCGACTTCTGTGAAGGCGGTGCGGACTTCTTCCGTGAGCTTCTTCAGGGCGGATGGTGAGCGGACGAGGTAGAAGAGAGTTGCGGCGAGGGTGGTGGAGGTTGTGTCGCTGCCGGCGATCATTAGGACGTTTGCTTCGCCCAGAGTTCAGGCGTGCTGAGCCCTTTGCCTGTTTCAGGATCCTTGGCGTTGAGCAGGTAGTAGAAGAAATCTTTCTTTGCTTCGCGGCCGGCGGAGGCTCGTTCTTGTGCTCGTTTGTTTGCTTCGACGCGGGAGTTCATGATGAAGTTCCAGCGGTCTTGCGTGAGGCGGCGGATGAGGATCTGATCCAAGTTCCAGCGGTCTAGAGGCATCCAGAGACCACACTGTTGTTGTTTTTTTGTTAGGAGTTGATGATTGATATCTCTCGGGTTGAAGGAGGTACTCACCACATAGTGCCGGTTCGCAGCACGATCAACCAGTCCAATCATGTGTCGGCGACTGTCGGTGATCAACATGTCAAAGCTTTTTCCGAAGCATAGCTCGCCCATTACATCGTAAGAGAGATAACTGAACCAGTTGCCCATGTTGCGCACTAGGCCCTTTCGATCCTGCGAGTCGTCTGCTTCGAATCCGGATCCGGCAAGGACCGCGCAGAGTTGCCGCACATGAAGCAACATGACATCTTCCATACCTTTCAGCGCAGCGTCGGAGAATGCCTGGCTTAGGACGCGTCTTTTGCGGCCATGCATAGTCTTGTCAATAGCGTTGTGGGTGTTATACACGCCTTTGATGGCTGGGAAGGCATTGTAAAAATCCGCTTTTTGGAGGCGTTTTCCGTGTCCGTAGATGTCGTGGAGACCACGATCGGTGTTCACTGAGACGAAGTTCGGGGCGACACGCACATGACTGCCGTACTTTTGGTGGCATTCATCGAGCCAGAGGTGTCGATCACCTTTGAGTCCATGGTAAAGTTGGACCCAGGGAGTGATGGATGCTAGAAGTGGTCCGGGAATGTGTCGAAGTGGGTGTACGAAGCGATTGTAGAGGATATACGCGATGGTCTAACAATTTCAGTCTTTGTCCGGGGTTTTTTGAGGGGGTTTCATATGTGGAGATGGCGGGGGATGGGGATGGAGACGAGGAATGGAGTGACTGGAATGGTTGGATTGCTTACCAGCACAACCAGCACCGCAGCCAAATCGCCTAGTATCCGGTCGACAGTGAGGTGTCTGAGCACAGGTTCAGCTAACATGATGTTGGAGTTATTGGATCAGCATGGAGGCTCGGGTCAGCACAAGTTCCCAAATTCTTTATGGCTTTCAGTGAGGTGGTAATACTTTATACTCACCGCGGCCGAAGATACCCGCAACCAGCCGAGGATCGATGACGGAGCCTATGAAGAGCTGCGTGTAGCAATCTTGCTCGTCTCGGTGGGTTGCACGGCTATGGCCGGATATTTCTTTTACTTTTTTTAGGAATGTGTTAAGTGCCCCCGTGATCTTCTGACGTTTATGAAGGGGTGGTGTTAGATAGAGTCGAGTCTTCTGTTTGGTTACCACTCAATTGCCTATTGCGGGGAGAGGTCTTACAATGCTTGGTTGATCCGTTTAAACAAGCAAGTGGTTTATTACATAGCAAGAAACAGTGGCTGAATGGCTTATGCATGGCTGTGAATAGCTCTACCTTAGGTCTCACTCATATTATATCAGACATATCGTATAGGTAGGCCATCATCAGCATAGACTAGACGGCCGTCCTGGACTTCAGTAAATATGCCCCTCAAGAATTCAACCCCACCACGGCTGGGGGTGGCTTTTAACTGCGGCATACCGCTAGTATCCGTTCCTATATTTGGTGGATACCCGCTGGTTTAAGCACGTCGACCATAGTGGGTGGGGTTGCTGAGGATAGCTGACTGCAAGTCTCCCTTATCGGGAGTCTCAGTTCACGAAAGAGGGGAAGATGCTTGCTGTCTCAGGACGGAATAAGCGCTAGGCGATTCCGTCTGCTAGGCGTGAATTGGGCCGACGGGCTTTGAAAAAAAAGCCCTGTCTTTATCCAGACACAAGGTTGTATAAATCCCACAGAGCTGCGAGTATGCGGGGATTGGCGCTGGGCTCTGGTCGAGCCCACTTGGCACTCGACCGACAAAAACAAAGTACTATTATGTGCTGTGTCCATGCATTCCACCATCTAGGATCCATTGTTCGTTATCGTCATTGTCATCTTGCACCCGTCGCCATGTTTGCTTTCGCTCGGCCCTCTCATTCGGATCCACGGCCTTGCCTTCCGGGGCCTTCCAGACCGGGCGCATGAGTCCACCTGCTGCTAGGAGAGGATTCTTGCTGAATGCGTGTCCACGAGATGGGGGCGCGTCAGCTTCAGTATCCTCTACGGGTTCCGGTTCGCTAGCTTCGGGGGTGGATTCGGCTGCAGCGGTGTGATACACTCGCCGAACCTTTCCACCCTTGATATCAAGACTCATAAAGCTCTTCTTCTTCTCCCACTCAGGTCGAGCCTTTTCCTCCATCTCACGCTGGATACGTTGTTGCTTTTTGAGTGCCAGTGCTCTCTGTGCTGGACTCATCCACAGGGTAGAGGCAACATTTGGGGTTTCGAAATCAGCGGCTTCGTCGACCACCTTGGTTCGGCGGGCATTCTGGGCCTGGAACTGGAGTAGCTTATCACGGTGTGCCCTGGCTGCATCAAGTTTGCTGGGTGAGGCGGAACCAGAATCGGATCCAACAGGCCGCGGTCCTCCAGTATGGTGGACACCCTCGTTGTGGGCGCGCATCTTTTCCTGGCCACGTTCGGCTCGTAATTCCTTGATCATGCTCTGTACTTCCTCCGCAGACAGAAGAGGCGTATCGCAGAAGGAGCACGGTTGTAGTCCCTCTAACGAACAGATAATTTTGCCACAGTTCAAACAGTTTGGAGCGGGGTCGAATAATGAGTGAATCGAAGCGTAGCAGTTGCACTTTCGTCGTTCGCCCAAGGTCGGGTTGGTCGATACTTCCAAAGCAGCAATAGCAGCCGTTAGGTCCGAGATATCGTTTGTTGTGAGAGCCGCACCACCTTTAGTTGAATTTGTGGAGGTCCCCGATGATCGAGACGACTTGCTCGTCTTTGACCGCACATTTGGTAGCATATCTGACAGGACCGGACCCGCGGCGGATGGGGGAGGTTTCGAGGATGGCGTGGGCATTGGCGACTGGGCACGAGAGGAACCCGATGACCCAGGAGTCAAAGACTGAGTAGGGGGATTCAGCGTCGGCTTGCTGGCGGACATGTAATCTTCCTCGTCCCTCTTCATATAACCACCACCCACATCACCATAGTTGTCTGGCCGGCGGGTCGGGCCCGCGCTGTGTAGCGGTGCCTTCTGTTTCTTGCCCCTCCCTTTCGGTCGGTCATTCTTAGAGGCATATGCATCGTTGGGTCGGGATGGTGTAGGCACAGCAGATGTAGTTGGAGCAGCAGGCACAGACGATCGGGCTCGGCGTGCGTTGAAGGAGGCGATGAACTCAAAGGCGGCGGGGGGAGTCACCCAGAAAGTTTTTGAGGTGATCGGCACAAGCTTTGGCGGGGAGACTGGCGGAATACTCGATGACTTGCTTTAGATAATCTTCATCTAGCGGCAGCAGCTGGCCAAGCCGAGGGATAGCCCAAGCTACAAGGTCGGACATGATTGAGGTGGAAGTGGAGGTGAAGATGAAGGTGGATCTCAGACGGAGAGATGGGGAGATGGAGAGGTGCAGTCCCCGCCAAAACCAAGCCAGTTGATGCATACAGTGTAGTACATTTTGTATTTACCACAATGCAACGGTAACTAAAGTAAATATTAGTTATACAATTTAATTCTGAGTTTAGACGGATCCTTGTATAAATTTAAATACGTCTCTTCTTGGTTATGCAGGTAGATCCGAGTAACTATCAACTATATACCTGCTCATAGTATTAACCTCCCAATCAGGACGAATTACCTAGAGCTACAAAGGAAGCAGTTACTACTAGTATGCACTGCCAGTGTAATACCAGGTCCAAATCATGCATTGAAGCCTATATATGGCCCAGAAAATCTCAGAAAGCGCACCGTCTACAGCAATGCCAGCTGCAGCCCAGTGTATGGTATGAAGTAATGTACAAGACCTATCCCACCCTATCGTCATCGTCATCTATGCAAACTCTTGTGTAGGTCAAACCAGACCCAGGACGCCATAAGGAAAAAAGTTGGAAACAGAACATTGAAATCAAGACAAGAAGAGGGAAAACGCCAATGACACCGTGTAGCCCCCGACTGGGGGGAAGCAAGTATAGGAAAAGGACGACCATCTCGCGCAAACGCTTAGGCATCGGCATTCTCGCTCTTGATGTCATCGTCGTGTTCCTCTACTGTGAACGAGTTCTTCAGCTTGCTGGGCCCGGGCTTGTTGCTCGAGCCCTTTTTATTAGAGGAATTGAGCTTTTTCTTCTTCGTTGGGCTAGGGCTACCACCCTCGTCTTCATTTTCGTGTGGGCGCTTTGGCGCTGAGGAGGTCGGGCTGCTGGCGCCACTAGCGCCGCTATCTGTTGGTGTCTTGTTGCGGGTACTATTGCGCCCGGAGATATTCATACAGCGGTCCAGGTGTTGTGCTACTCTGTTCATGACGAAATATCGTGGACAAATGGGGCACTTGCTTGTCGGAACCTCGGGGATAGTGCTATCTTTCTGATCCTTGCGTTTCTTCGGGTTCGGCATGATGGCGAATAGTTTCCCGTGGACATCGTGGCCGGGCAGGGTGATCAGCGGCCCATTCTCGCAGTATTTCTTGTTCGGGTCCGGAGGAGGTCGGTATCCTGCCCCAACTGGAGGGTAGGCTAGACGGGGGAGTCGGCAGTCCGGACAGATGATCTCCTTCACGGTATGCAGGGGATTGCCTTTCAGGTGTACTTTTCCGCGGTCGAAGATGGCGGCGTCGGTCTCCAGGTGTGTATTCGCGAGCTTGTTCGCATCGATATTGACCTCTCTCGGTTTTCCATCGATCAGTGACTTGCTGGCGGTGTCCTCTGGAATGATGGCTCCTTCCTCGGCCTTTTGCCGAGCCACCACGACTGCGGAGCGCATTCGCGCCACCTTCTCCTCACGGTGGACTTTTGCAACGAGGTCATGGATGATGTTGTGAAAGGTTTCGTTCAGTATATCGGTTGACTAGACAGAAGAAAGTTAGAGACAAGTAGGCTCGTCATGATCGCGACCGCGATCATGATGTCTCGTTTCATACCACTTTGGCGATAGTGCCGGCAGGATAGCTCGGCCGGTGGGCCGCGGTGTTGGAATCGGCCATGATCGGAGTCGTCCTGCGACGTCGGTCTCGACAGTCCAATCCAATTCGGACCGGTCTGATCCAGTGCTGAAAGTGCGATAGCTGTGTCTACCCGCGCGACACAGTCAAAACCCTTCTCGCGCCGATGCGGGCTAGTTCTCCATGTGCCGGAAATCTATGCAGAAGCGTGCCAATGGTTATAGCCAGGTCGAGATCGGAATCGGAATCGGAATCGGTCCGAGGGAACGAAGAGCCTCTAACATAGAAGCTAAAAGAATAGGGGAAGGGGTATCTATTGGACCCTGGCGCAGTTGGGGGAGTATGTCAGTGCAAGTTCACGGGTAACCATGGTGTCTCGGGAACAGAGGGTTGAGGCTCAGCCACCGATTCCGAAAGGGGGAATGAGAGGGTTGAGGTCAAGGGAAAGATGAAGAGAACTGAAGACACTTGAGATGAAGGGAGAGGGGGAATTCAAAACTCACCGTACTGTGTTGGTCACCAGTCAAAGTCTCCAAGAGCCAAAGAGGGTGGTGGATGTGGATGTGGTTTGGTGTTGGCGTGGCTGGAGGTTGCCCATCGCCTTATCGCCTTATCGCCTTCCCATCTCCGCATTCCGTCCACTCACACCTTACCACACTCTACTTCTTCTATTTCTACCTCTACCTCTCTTACACACTACATCTACTCCTACTCCTCTACTCATGGCCTACCAGTTCTTCGCCAAAGGCCAGAACCACCTCCAGGCACAGACTCCTTCCATACCATCCTCCTCTCGTCCCTCCAATTCGGTTCCACCCATCCATCCCCCACCACCACAACCACCAAAGTCCGCAACTGTCGCAACAACAAGACCACCCACCAAAGAAGAGACATTCATCCCGTATCCCGATATTACTCCAGTCGGCTATAAAACTCCACATCCCAATGCTACAATCGAACCCATTGGTGT